CGCCCCCCCGGGATTTACGGCCCTGGCGTGTGGGGAGCAAGAGGTTCTTTGGCCCGTCACAAAACGGTCTAGAAACAAACTCTTGTTTATTAGAACAATTTTTTAAGAACACGAACCTCGAAATTGGTCGAAAATAAGAACAAATTAAGAACAAGCCGAGGCTAAGCGAGCTACTGTAAAATGCAATTTTTAACAATGTTTTGCCTCAAAAACGAAGAGTTTTAGTCATGTGTGGGTGCTTTTCGGCGAATATTCAAACTTGTCGGCAAGTGAAGGCTGTCTCGCTCACCTTGTTTGCAAATGAGGCCTGAACAACTCCCTAGTTTTCGAAAAAATTAACAGTCAGCCGGAACTTAGATTGACTGGTTCTTATAAAAAGAGTGTATTGCTAATTTTAATCAAACATGGACCTGACGTGCCACGCTTGTCTAAAGTCATCTGTCATGCGCGTAGAATCGTTTGGAGGACACAGACACCACACCAGTCTTTAGAGAAGAGCAAGGGGGCTGTAATCTACAGCCGATGGTGAGAGAAACATCGTTAATATCCTTTCTCAATCATCCCTATGGTAAATTCCTGCATTCTTAGTCCTTGGGATATAAGGTTTTCTGACGTTTCAAAGGGCGTGGTTTTTGAATATTTTCCAAGTACAATTTTAAGAATTTTCTAAAAATCTCAACTTATCTTCATACTTTGTGCAACGGAGAAAAGAGAATAGTTGAATCCTCCACTGTGAGATTCTTTCATAAAAGGACTTCGAAGTCTGCCCGTTTCTTTTTGGCAAACTTTCGTGGAAGAATTTGATTTCATCAAACGAAAAAGATTTTTGCTGTTTTTCTGGTTTGGAAGGTCATTGTATTTGTATCATGACTTGAGCAGTAGCCTAACTGATATGACACCAAAAATTCCTAAATTCAGTGTTTTGGGATTATAAGATATAAAAGAGTGACATCAAATGCTTTAAACAGCGAGGGTCTGATCCTCTTCCCCCGTAAATTTCGCTTTTTTGCATTCTCTAAAAAGTGTTGTGAAAATAATGATATTTGAAACAAATCCTCATGGTTATGATCCAGAGAACCAGTATTGGTTTCAAAAGCCATGAATTTGAAAGAAGATGCAAAGCTTTCAGATTCACTGATCACTGATCAATTCACTGGGCCGACGGAGCCAGGGGGGCCACGGGGACACAGGCCACCTGTTTGCGAAAAGAAAAACAAGTGCCCCTTTTCGAAAAATACATTGTGTGTATACTTTCACTGCCAGATATTCTGCCTTTAGAAACTAAGTAAAATAACATAACTCTGGACGTTGTTGAGGACCATTCACTGAAAATTCCTTAAATTTTTACTTGGTTTCGATGCAAGAAGCGCAAGCTGCTGTGATGAACAATATCAACTGCGAAGGAGACTGCCAGTTTCGCTTGAAAATTTCCTTAGTATGTCTTCAGCAACAAAATCATTAGTGACAGGTCCGATCAAGTCCCCGGTGGGCACAGTCAGTAGGTCCAATGTATTCGTGTGTGTTCTTGAAAGTAAAAACTGGACCCCTATCTCTGATTCTGGGTTGAGTAAAATGTACCCTATCTGTGCCTTTGCCAAAATTGTGTAACTCACTGAGAATAATCTTCTCAATTTTCACTGAGAATATTCAAGCTTGAACAGGAATTTTAGTTAAAATCAAATTTAGTGAACTCTGCTTTTCACTGAGCATGTTGGAGCCATTATTTTTCTTAAACTTATGTCTAGGCAAGTTAAAAAGCAGATTTCACTAAATTTGAATTTAACAACAATCCCTTATGGTTCTTGACATCAGGCACCGCGGAGTGTTGAGAAAAGTGGGGGGTCTAAAAAAGAGGGGGGCTAAAACCGTATAAAAAGAGGCTTTTCTGGTAATTTGATACTTAATATTGGGCATTTTTTGCAAAAGCCCCCCAGCCCCCCTGCTCTGCGGTGCCTGGACATATGTATTAACAAAATCAGACATCTGTAAAATTGTAGCTGGGACATATTGCTTGCTTCAAAACATTGTGTTCAATGTTTTTTATGAAGAAATGAAAAAGTTATGTCCCTGCAATGAGTACAGGCTAGCAAAGACTTAAACAAAGATTTAAACTTCTTATCTAGGTTTAGAACAATCTACAGTACTGCAAAATTTGTTGTACTTCAATATGCCATTGGTTTACTTAAACAATTATCTGCAACATCATATCAGTAAATTCCTGCCCTTTTTGTGCTTCCTCTAACTGATTAAGAATGCAACACTATTTTCAAGATTCTATGTCCCAGAATTCTTGTTTTTTTCAAATTTCGGAACTCACATGTTATACGTTTGATCAACTGACTGAGCCGCCCGGGATCAATTTCAAGGAGAGTTAAAAACTTGTTTCGTTCATAAGACTGTTGAGATAATCAATGTTACAAATTGAATTTGCTATGGCAGTGAAGAATGTGCCCGCACCTTCAGCCGATTGTGTGAAGATGACTTAACCATAAAATGTGTAGCTTTTAAAAAATATTCCATGGAGGCGAACAAGTTTGTGTTTAAGTGGGGATGGGAGGGTGCGAATACCAAGGGGGACTAAATTGTTTAAACATATAAGCAAGAAAATTAAAATCATTATTCGAATGGGGCTGAAACTTGGTTTAGAAAGAGATAGAGACTGGAACTCGCTTTGAAGTATATAGAGACTAAGAATTCAAAAATTCTATTCAGTACATATTCTGGGTCGGATTCGTTGGTATGTTGCAATAAATCTGAACATTTTTTGAGTGTAATGCGCCTGCCACAAGTATGAAAGAAGGATATGTGCCTGCTTCTTACCCGGGACCAAATCCACTTACAATGCAAATTATAAGGAAAATAAGTACAACGTATTGTAATAGAGGTACAAATCAGACATGGAAGAAAGATTTACACTCTCAAAAAACTTTGAAGGCTATGAGATGGGAAGCTATACAATTAATTATCATTAAGAGTGCGTGGTCTCTAAATAGAGTACTTTTAGCGAAGATAAATTTCACTATATCCAACGTGTGTCATTATTTTCATTAATTACCAAATTACCGTGAAATCTGTACCATTTTTGGCACTTACTAATTTTTCGGGAAAAAAATATTCGTGCCCTTTTTATTCGTTTTGGCCCCCCTGTTCAAACCTGCGTCCGGCGGCCCTGCTGATCAATTCAATTCACAACAATTCACTGATCAATTCAATTATAATTTATCGTTTCTGACGTCTATCTAAAGATTAACACCTTTGGTACGTTTTAATCTTTCTAAAATCATTGTGCTCATTTCTCTTTTTATTATTTCATTTCTCATTTCTCTGTTCATTTCTTGTGTTCATCTCTCTTTTTCTCTTTGTAAGTATAATTAAATGTTGTATTTTGTTAGTACCATACATAGCCAGAACTTGGTGATCCTGTGTCTTTTTTGGCTATGAATGGCACATTTTATTAAATATATTGTGTTAGTTTTTAATTGGAATACAAAATAAAGCTTTCAAAAAATTGGCCAAACATGAAAAGTACGTCGGTGTTAATTGGGTGATCAGTATTTACATTTGTTTATTCATAACCTCATCTTTGATGGTGCTGTCATTGAACGATTAAACACACCCACACCCTATCAAACACCAGAAACAATTCTCGTTAAACTCGAGCTAGTCAATGCAGTGGCTTAACTGAAAGGGTACACGAGTGCAGCGGCACCCCTAATAATCTAATCAATTATCTTCCCAAAATGATTTGACTAGAAACCTCCTCCTTGCAAAACCCCCAATAGTAACCTCTCTTTCTATTCTGTTTCACACTTCGAATGGCATTGATATAGAAAGCATTTATACCTTTGGAGGACACGACTTTAGGGAACTTATTATTGTCACCAGTCACTATGAAATTCTGGCAAAGGGGCAATCTGATATTAGGATTTCAGCTTTACAGAGTCACTAGCTCCTTCTCAAATGGCATGTGAAAAACTCTTGTCGGGTTGGGGGGAGGGGGGGAGGTGCCAATCGTGCTCGAACCGATAACTACGTCTTTTAGGATAGGAATAGTATTGTTTAAAGTGTATCGAAAGTACCTTGGGTACCGGGGCCGAAAAATTGAAAAACGTACAACGTAATATGTGACAAATATAGAAATGAGATTGTATTTAATATCTTCTTAATTTTCTGGACTTCGGTACCTTGTCGTGTAAGGTTCTCATTTATTGAAAAGTTAGAAAAAACTGGTAATCAGCATCTTAAAATTAGAAGGTTAAAATCAATTGAGAGGTTAAGTAAAGGCGGTTACTTTAATTTGTGTTACCAGAAATTGTTTCTCTGCCGCCCCCTTAAACCTCTAGTTTGCCACCCATCCCAAGAATATGATGCCAGAGCGTCCACATTCCGGAGCCCTTTGCGAATTAGAAGGGAATTTTTTTACGCAATTTTCCCTAAGTGGCACTAATATTAATAATCCCCAAAGATTCTGAAAATTTTATCACATCATGCAATTCATTGGCAGAGAATTTGGGAGAGGGGGGGCTGGTTGAGTAAGTAGAAGAAATGCACATAGTTAGCAATTTTTGTATACACTTCGAGAGACTTAGATAAATTTTAAAAAAAGAATCTTTTATTTTCATGTTTTATTTCATTTTGAAATACATTCAAGCATTTTTTTATTTTTTCGGCAGGCATTATCAACAGCCTCAAATTGTAAACGTAAGCGACAATTTTTCCAGTCAAAATCTCAACCAAAGTATTGTTAGCCAGAAAAGGGAGAAAATTCCATGGTTTTGGCTTGAAAGCGCAAATTTAGGCTCCATTAAACCTACACAAGTCCCCAAATTTTCTGTCACTGTCGCACGGTTTCTGTTCTAAACTTTGTAAAAAAAATTCATGAAGAATTAAAAAGGCACGTATACGCAATGTTGAAAATTATTCATAAGTAACCAAAGCAATTTGTAGCTTTATTTTCGTGTAGTCACCACTGATGACATTTGCAGTGTAATTTAATGGCAAATGGTCGAGATTTATTCCTTCAAAACAACGGTATGATTAAGATATTGAAAGTAAGAGTAAGTATTATATCAGACAATATCTGTATATTTAACCAGTTTTCATGGACTTGACATATGAGCAGAGGATGACATTAACAGGGCTATTTCACGAATTCTCAAGTTTATGCAAAATTTGCATAATATTTGCAAAGTGAGTCATTAAATCAGTCCAAAGTCCTGTTTGTAACAATCTTACGAAAAGACTTCGCAAGCCAATTAATATACAAGTTGAAGCGAATATTTGTCCCAATATATACGTCCATAAGCATGATAATCCTTGTTATGACATTGTGGAACGGGAGCGATTTTCTCATTCAATCTATATGATATTTGCAGAATACTCACAAGTGATTAAGCCACTAAACAAAAAGTGTTTGCCTGTGATAGTCACGCTTTCCGCCTAATCAAAGCTGTATTGAAAGAGAAAACTTGAAGGTTGCTGATAGACTCCTGTGTCTACTCAATTGTCTTCGCACCCTGTGACTCTATTGTTTTAATTAACCAATGGCAATTACTGGCGGACTCTTCAATCGCGAAGCTGCTGAGCAGAGAATTGTAATTAGACACCAGTTCCCAATGATTAATTAAAACGCGCCCGCATAACCACTTATAACAACAGTCAATTGAGCGGCCAGCGGTATGCGATTGCTTGTAATTAAGAATAATTTGAATAGGAGCTAGACAAAAGCATTATCTTATGTACAAATGCGAAAAATTGGCCTCTTCAGACCTGGTTGTCGATGAGTTACTTTGAATCCGCAAAGACGAATAGAAAGAGGCCAGTGAAAATCAAGGGAACAATCAAAAGGGACAGGCAGTCACAGGTCTAAATTATGGTATGCATTCGCAGACGGAAGAAGCCTTGCATCCATCCTAACTGCATTTCGCTCTGCCGATTTTAACACGGAAAGAAGGCGACACAACACCAGCAATTTGGTTTCGCTTGCAAGGCCAGTTGATTGCCCCATTTAGCAGGTGCCTCAACCAGATTAATATATTTGAGGTAAATAACTTATGTTTAAGTGTATCAATTTTTGCGTGCACTTTAACCGGCGGACAACTATGAAGTATGTCCAGCTTACGATATCTTGGTGTTTGCCAATTGCATCAATTCCACAACAGGCGCACGCTGTACTACATTGTTTTGCGTGTAAAAGGTAAAAGGCTTTGTATCTAAAGTTGCAAATGGCTTTTGAATTGCTGGAAGTTCGCTGCACTTGCTGCTTCCTTATTTAATCTGCTCGTCGAAGGTACATCAGGTAGGCCGGGCATTGTCTCGGAGCGGATATTGCTAAGGCAATTTTTTCCGAGCCATAGAAAAGGGAAATCTAAATTTATGGGGGATGTAAGACTGCCGAGTATTCTACCTGCCTTTTAGAAGGAAGTAGAGTAGGTAGATTATTTTACCGCTCGTGTAGACGAAAACAGTGTGCATAACACAGATGCAGAATTTTTCAAGAGTGGTTATATTTGAAGCAGTCTCAAAGGTCAAAAGCATTTTAATGAAGGTATATAATTATCAATCTTGAATTCTGATAGTGCAAGCTGATGTGCGCGATCGCCTAATGTGTTTGTTCACGTCCTTAGTTTCTCCCTGGTTCTGCCAGTGCTTATCTTGACAGTCTTCCGACTGTTTGAAGGTAGCGCATATTTGTGTGAATTCACTGTGTCCATTGGAAACAGTAATACTTTTACAATGTAAACAATACTGTATCTGAAAAGAGCTTGTTCATTGGTGCGTACAATCATTATTATTATTATTAATTATTGTAGTTGAAAGAAATGCGTTGATGCCCTTTTGTGGATTGTAAATTGGGTCTGTAGGCCGAACATAATAGACAAGACGTAGATATTGTCTAAAATCTTTGTACAAACGAAACCGCGTGCAATTTTCCCACAATAACATTTCATGGTGGTTACAGTCAATGTATATTTTCTGTGTTTTCAATCAAATGTCTTTTCAATTTATGTAAATGTAAAAGATTTGTTTAATAATCGCAGAGATTACAGAAATGAAATTACTTGATCGAGTGTTGACAGATAGACTAGCGAACCTGGACGCCGCATTGTCTTGAAAACAAAGCGGTTTTCTTGAACCATCAGTATGAGTAAATTAGCCCCCCATTTTTAAATTTTTTGCAATCTCAAACCACCACTTCCTCTTTTCGTTCCGCTAGCAAACACCCAGTCAGTCGATTGACTCGTTTTCCCAAAATAGTCCCGCCAACCGTGATTAATTAACGTGCAGTCGGCTATTTACTAGGCCTGCCAAAATAAATCAACATCCGCCATCCAATTTATAACGACTACCACTTGTTATCTTCCTGGTAGAAATGCCACTCATGTTTGCTGACTGCTCGAAAACAATTCTTTAAAACAAAGATGATTCATCATTACCACAAGGCTGAGTTATGTGGTTTTTGCACTTTTGTACCTTGGTGTCAAGACAGGCAATGTCATAGCCTGTGCATGCTTAAAAATAACTACAAAACCTCTATGCGCAACCAAAGTCCTGGTGTGTTTATTTTCCAGCATGAAATGTCTATATCTTTTCTGCAACAGTGAAGAGTATTGTAGTAAAGAAGTCCCATTATCATTATGTGAAATCTGAAATAATATGCACAACTATATTATTATTAACTGTTTTATTTATAATATGAAATTATATAGTTAAACTTGTACTATCAGGTACCTAACAACAGCAAACAACCCAGCTTGCAATTTTTTGTACAAGTCTTTTGACACATGAAGCTTGAACCTCATCTTTTTGATGAAATTGTGGCTCAAAAAATTAAGTTTTTCCTTTGTTTATAACAGAGTTAAATATTGATTAAAGAGAAATTAATTTGATATCACAATTCCATACTAAAATTTGCAATGGAGAATGGTTTATAAAGGTAGTTGGAGTTCTGTTCATGCAAACAACATCACCTTTTTGTTCCCAATTCCTAACAGCCAGAAGTTTTCTATCCATCATCACTCAGCTAGCTTTGTCGGCTTCCATTGGTATCTTTTGATGTAACAGTGCAAGAATATCTTATGTTAGAGTTTTCTTGACAAGGATAGAAGGATGTCCCATTCCCCAGCAGATTGACTGTTTTCCACCAGCCTTTTCTTTTCACTTACTGAATTTTTGTTTCAATCTGAGACAATTTGCAATAAATTACAGAAATTTGTTATCAACTTATTGTTGCAAGATGTAAGTCAAAGTTTCCATTATCAAAAAGATTTTGTATTTTGGAAGGTCATTATATTTTTGAAGGTCGTTGTATTTTTGAAGGTCATGTCCCTAACAGTAAAGAAATGATATAAGTTTTCAAATTTTTATTTTGTTGCAATTGCAAGTTTTTACCGTTATTTATTCTAAATTTTGTGAAGACTCAAAATAGTTATTGTTTGTTGGCCTAAAAGTTAAATTTTGTATTGGAATAGACATTTTCTATTTGGTTGAATTTCATCTTTGTGCTGATTGACTACTGTCTTTAGTAGCCCAATTTTTTATTTGCTTTTGACTATATCCATATACAGTTGACTCTTCTTAAAGTCACTTTGCTTCAAGTCACACTATTGTTTACATTCACAGAAAATTTAGAACCAAATATAAAACTATTCACTTTGGCTCTCTTCACAGATACACTGTGCTTACTTACAATCACATATTTTCCATATACATTTGGTGTGACTATAACTGGAAAATACTGTATCTTCATCATGTTGCAACTTGCCAGCAATTTTCTATTAACACAGAGATTAACACAGCTAAAATATCTTGGCTGATAAATTTAAAAAGGAACTGATCAGTTTATGAGATACATAGATGTTTTTAATGCTAAAAAAATTTTAACGAGAGTCTTAATCAATTTTTGCTATCATTTATAAAGTGTTTTTTTTGGATAAATTTTATGTTGTTTCACTGCTATCTTACCTGTTTATTTTTTTGTTAAGCACTTTTCTTTGTTATACTGTGTTGAGAATAATGAAAATCAATGTTAACTAGTTTTCTCAAAGGGCTTGATAGGCATATAGGCAGAGTTGTACACTCTATACACCAACAAATTTATAAAATAGGATGGTTCTAAATTGCCTCTCCCAATTTCAAACCCTAAAATCCCAAACATTTGCGTTGTTTATTTGCAGTATGTTTGCTAGCACATTTCCAATAAGGAAGTTTGTAGCAGGCAGCTAAACAAGCAGAACCATAGCAAAGCTTCAAAACAATTAGACTATACCATGCCTTTAATGATGTAAGAAATTGCTATTAGTTGTGTCCAAGTAGGAGTAACGCATAGGTGCTGGCTACGTGGGATCTTAGGGTTTGAAGTCCTCTGCGGAATTTTCTATATTTGAGCTATCCAGTGCAACTTTTTAATGCAGTAATGCAGAACAGTACTTTTCTTCATTTAAGATACTGTAAATAAAGGTGCTACTTGCAATTGAGAAATTCTGTTAAATTGTCCTTTCTTATGTCTTAGCTTGACAATAACAGGTTTCCCTTTTGAAGTAACATTTTCATTTCGAATTTTGAGCCATGCCATGTAAACTTTAACTTCAGGTTTAAAATAACTACGTGTTCAATTCACTTACACTCCCTTGTTTATAACTACGTATTTAATTATTGTAGCTGTGGAAAGGGAATGGGTACAATGCTGTCTCTGAACTGCGCGCCGTTTTTTGTTTTCTCTCTAAATATAGTGAAGCAGTCAGTGACTTATTTATCTGTTTTTGCATTTAGTAACTGCATCATATAAAAACATGAGCGATATCTGCTATAAGTTGAAAAAGAAGATATAACTTTCCTCTAGGGTAAATGGATATTATGTTTTTGATAAGTTTCCGCGTCTGCCATCGTATTCTAAAATATAAACGCCTAGAGTTTTTGAATAGTGTTTGTTGATTCACAAAAGTGTCAATTGTGTCAAAAAGGACTGAATTTACAGCTATAAGTTTCATAAGTTCAGTGTTTCTAGTGCTGGTAATCGAGTTAAATGTTTTCCAGTGGCTTTTCACATTATTTCAGTTAGAAGTTGAAGGTTTCACACTTGGTAGTCTAAAAGTGACATTTTCCACACCAGACGACTTAAATTAAAACCATAGATGATGAAAAGATGGCCAGTGGCGAAACTGCAGTGGATTTTAAACCCCTCACACCCGAAGTTTGGGCAAGGCTTGCTTGTTAGGCAATTTCCTAGGGCGTACTGTGTTTCAATTTCAGTTACATTTACTTATCCTAAATTTAATTCTTTACAAATACTTTACAAGCACGCACTTACAAAATTCCAGACTACCAAAATTGTGCTATGTTCTTGTTAAGTCGATCGTATAATATTGCGCGAAAAATATGACTTATATTCTCGACGTTAAAAACTCATATTCTCTTGCAAAGGATTGAATTTCTTGGCCACACCATTTATTCAAAGTAAAGGGGCTGTACTATCATAGGGTGTTGTGGATTTAGTTCGGTAAAGGAAAGGGGCAGACCTACCTGCATTTGCGACCATCTAAAAAGGCCTAAATATGTTGCTTATCCGACGAAAGAATGTGTTACTAAAAGGCAGGTTCAAAATACTTTCTTAGACTTTCTAAATAGGAAATCGTCAGAAATAGCATGAATATACATTGTGGATTATTCGGAAAAGCGCAAAATTTCCGACGTGAGGTGCTAGGAGGGCCCCCTACCCCTCCCACGGCGCCCTTGCCACTACTGCAGTACATAGGATGTGGTCCCTGGAACATGTGTCTTGTTTCGTGAAGTTGTGATCTTGGAATTCATTTTTCATTTGAGATAACCTTTATTAATTTTCTTTAATCTGCTGAAAATATAAATCCTTTTTTGTGTAGGAAAAATGAGTACACTATGTGACGAGTTCAAGGTCACGCAGATAGATAATTAAAAAAGCAACCGCTTTCAATCTTGGCTTTTGTCTTTTTCATTCACCAAGGGGATTTTTTGGAGAGGTAAAAAAGAAACGAAATCCTTTTAACAACAGAGCTTCTTTTCTTGGCAAAATTCCTTTCTTTTGATAGTCAAAAAACCGAACTTAGTTGAATAATTACATAACCAGTTTTGCAATTGCGATCGAGTGATTCTAACGACTCCAGTTATATTGATTTAGATATGAGGTATGGTCCAAAACCATTTTCATGACAGGAATTCCTGCCAAAAAGCTTAGGGTTCTGAACATCTTAAGTCTTGTTTCTGTATATTTTGATTTATACCACTTCTCCAAGATCCCTAATACTAGAGATCCCTCTTAGCCACATAAGCCATTTTGTAGGGAATCAACAATTCAACATTGGGTCGAGGGGAAGAGAGGGGTTAAATCAAACCCCTAAAATGCCAGTATCCAGGACTGCGGTATTGATTGTCGATCTATCTACGTTTTGAGTCGTTTAAGGAGACCAGTTTATGCGGTTCTTTTTTCGCTTGAGTTTTCCTTTATTTCTGAAAAAGGGACCTCAGAAGTTCCAAGCTTTTAACTGTTAAACCCAGGAAGAAAAACGCACAAGAGGTCAAAAAGTTGGTACAAGAGACCATTCGAGCGGATTTGGGGCATTTTACAGCCTAGGCTTTTGGCCAAGTCATGCTATGCTCATCGCTTTCAACTCCGTCTGAGCACCAATAACCCAATAATCCGCCTGTCATTGTAATTGTATGTAATTTTTATTCATCTTTCTGTCAATATTTATTTTTTGGAGCCGGTTTTTCGGGTATATCCAAATAAGAGTTGGATCTACTTCGCCTTTAGGAAATCCGGCAAAACTATTGCAAATTGTCCAACAACTTTTGCTTTAAATAAAGTAGTATAACACGAACCATTTAACTAACAATCACTCGTAGCAGTTTTGTAATTTTGGCCATGTTTCAACCTCTGCAGCAGAAACGAACGGAATCCAAACAGATGGCCCAGAGAGGGTCTCGGCTCCTATTTTCTAAACCATTAGAGCAAATTCCATTCTAACTTCTGTTTTCCAAGGCTACGGAAAGAATCGCCCATGCGTGCCATTTCAGACCTATTTCAATCTACAGGACCTGCTAAGATGGCATTATTGAAACTTGATAGAAAATTGTGTACCATGATGGTGCAGAGTCGATCAAATGATAATTGTTTACAAATATTTGATGTTGTGAAAGCAAGGTTATCTGATCATTTTTCATCAAGTTCTCTTTAGTTATAGATATCTTTCCATGGTTAAATGTATTTCTCGTTATTTAGAGTAAACTAGAAAATTTTGTGTATTCATATAGTTTTCTTATCAGAAGTATATTTTTCGAATTTTCACGACTAAAGAATTAATGGTGCTGGGAACTTTTCAAAACTTAAGTTTCGATAAAGGGTCTAGAAGAAATAAACCCGAAATCGAATTTAATATCCTCATGGCAGTCGCGAAAATATGGCATTTACTGCTGTGTAATCGTTATGCTCCCAAGATCTTTAGCATCGTTACTAAACATATTATTGTTGAAAATGCCGTTTCACGCTACTCAACTTGCGTAAAATATCATATTTTGCTCAAAATCCTTTTTGGATTTTTGCAGTTTCTTGGTTATATTTCAGTTATAAATTCAAGGGAAATCATGAATAAAGGGAGAATACAACCCTTTGAAACATTTTTCGAACTTTAGAACGAAGCACAGTACAGTCAAGCTATTGTGGATCAGACATTGTTTATGTCATAAAAACAAAGTATTTGAAATGAGACTTGCGTGGAAGTATTCATGTTTGAATGTGTTTAGCGGAAAACAGACGCAATCCCAAGGATTTCCACTAGTGAGATGACGCTTGCGTAATTTGTTTATTCTCCACGTTGTTGATGTCATGCATCAGTTACTAATTTGGTACACGATAAATCACTGATAAGCACAAAATTGTTCATTTTGTTTCGCTGTCACGTGAATTGTTTCTTGACCTATTTATTGGTACCCTTAAATCGGTCCAAGATGGTACCCTCTTGTTGCAGTGCAAAGTGAACGCAACTCATAATTCATAAAGCTTACACATGTGTCATTTCTTTCGCAGATTCAATTTACTGAAGATAATCAAAATGGCGGACAACAGTACCCAGTTTTCCCATGACGTCAATCGAGCGATTCATGATTTGAGAGACAAATTTAAACATGGCAATCATATTATAAAAATATTGGAAAGCCAGTTGGAGACAGCGCGGCAAAACATTAGTTTACTTCAAGGACAGGTTCGTCTGGCTAACGAAACTATAGATAACTTGAAGCAGCAATTTAACGAAGCCGAACTGACATTGGCCTATTTGAGTGACAACAGCAAGGGAAGTAACGAAAGAAGAGTGAACGCAAGGCAGCCGGTTAGAGAGATGGAGGAGTTCGGGCAAGGAACTGTGTACGTTTCAAGGAGTGAAGACCATGATGGTCACAGAAGAGAATATGAAAAGCACTCGCCAAAAGGTGGAGTTATTATCCCTAAGTCGAATGAAGGCGTTATTGGAGATAATGACCAGGCAGAGCGAACAAAGTCGCCCGCATCACACGAAAAGACTGTCTATGGCCATGAACGGCCTAAGTCCCCATATGCTCAGCAACTGAGGCAAGTGCTGGATGCCCTACAGGATGAAGACTCCAGGAAAATGAACGTTTCGGCTGTTCAGGAGCCACTGAGGGAGGTACCTACAAGCAGTCATAGCCAGCCGGCAGTTTGTGATTGCCCGGATTGCATTCCTCCGAGTAGCACCAGCCATCGGCATTATCAGTCAAGTGCACTGGTAAGAGGCGCTTCTTGTGGATGTGAATTTGCAGGTAGTGAGATACATTATCACGAAGAGTGTAGTAAACATACGGTCAAGGCAATGACACGTGCAGGCGATGACAGCCCCATGAACCGCCCCAGCTCCAGGCATGTGTCCCACCACGAAAATGTTTCTACAGCCCATGTTACCAATGTGACGCACTCATCACATCAAGTCGATTATTCGTCCCAGTGTACCGGCCCTTGCTGCTCGTCGATTGACTTGTCTAAAGGCTATAAAATCGTAGAGAAATCTCCTGGCCTGCCACATTACATTGCACCAAGATCTCCACGCCGTCACAAACAACACGAACTTCGTCATGATCCACATTGTCAAATGGTAGGTCATTGCGATGACAAATGCCGTTGTCATACATTTGTCAATTATGCTCCATTTGGTTATCAAGTTCTTGAAAGTGCTCCAGGGGTCCCACAGACAATCCAGCCAATTTCACCTGGGGTATTGAGCAAGAAGACAAAGAGATACCTTCCACTTGCCCCTGGAGATGAGCCCCCACATCTAAAGTACACGAAAGTGAAGAGGATTGATGGCAGCAAGGTCGCTGCGCAGAAGACTATTCAAGGTAATCTGCTCTTGTTTCCCATGGCAGCATCTCAGGTGCTGAATCCCACGCATACAATCTCTGTAGTCTTGACAATTAACGAATGGTTTATGTAGATGGCATAGAATGCTTTTTAGCATAATACCCAATTTTCTTAATTACTTGCAACAGTAGCTAATTTTCACATTGTCTACATTGTCCATATTTTCAATTTCCACTTGCAAACAGTAGCCAATTAGCTCAATTATATGCCAACAGTATTCTTTGACCTTGCTGTCGTTAATTGAAACAGATTGCAGCCTCTTCTTTTGGCAAATCTTTTCCAGCTTATGCTGAATTTATAATCTGGTGCTAGTGGTTGTACGAGGTAATGTTATAGTAACTTTTCATTTATGCATTCTTAATACCTTTGTTTTTTTGCAGACTTCTCCAAGCGGAGGTTGCAACCGTATAACCCTCGATGGGATCTTGATTTACTGATCGTCCCCCCGCCAATGCCCGCTTCTGAGCTGTTCACTGCCCTTGGACTAGAGCAAGAAGCGGCGAATTTTCAGCCGGGTCGTGAAATCACAGCAAGTGACAGCATTCTGTCAAATGAAAGCATGTCTATAGAGAATAGATGTTATGAAAGCCCTGTTTTGAAAAGTAAAGTTATAAACGCTGGGGGTACTGTTATAGTATTAACAGAAAGTGATTCGAGAGTCCCAGTAACACATACAGTTCCTGGAACTGAACATGCGGAAACTTCGATGCAACACACGGGGTCATTCGGGAATCAGACTTCATTTACTGAAGATCAAGAACTATTGCCTCAGCGCGACAATGGACTATTAGAAACCCATGAAATTAAGATGGAGAAAAATTCTGATAGCGAAGCCAACGGACAAGCGGACGCAGAGAGCAAGCCTGCCATACACAGTGAATTTCAAATACATGGCTCACCTGGGATATTTGTAGGAAACAAAGACAGCTCCGAAATGGTGATTGTCAAATCCAATGTTTCTGATTTACCTCGTGCGATGCTTAATAAAACGCCAGGAGGTTGTAATACAGGGTATGACGATTCAAGCTTTAGATCAAAGTCACAAGGCAAAATGGAGGTTGAAACCGAGCGAAATAACAACTCATTTCCCAAACGAACAATGGCAAGTTTAGTATCAAGAGAAACTCAGGATGGACACAATGAGACTGTGCTAGATGGCACAAGCAACCTGACAGCTAGGTACGAAAAAGTTTTGTTTCAGCGCAACCAGGACTATAGTCGGTTGACAGCTGACGATGAATACATCATTAATAACAGAGCCAAAGGGAAAGTTCATTAAATTTTCGTATTCTATGATTGAAGCATAATCGCTTGTTTTGCTTAAAGAAGCAAGGAAATCATTTTTTGATCAAAAATGCGTTTTGGTAATTGATTTAATAAAAAAAATTGCCCGAGGAGGGTTTCATAATGTGCGCAAAGATGATATATGAAGCCAAAGGCGACAAAGCACGTGGTGTCAAACCAATCTAATTTTTATAAGGACGAAGCCAGCGCCTTTCGAGGTGAAGCTCGCGTTGGTTTGGCTCTGCTGTGGGATTTAAGATTAGGTGTATAATTCGATGGGAACATAAATTAATTCGCGTGTATTCAAGAATTAACAATTCTCAAGTCACTGTCCTTTTTTTATACCAAGATAGACTTTGGTTGACATTCAGAATCATAATGAGCGAAGTTGGATGAGCGATTATCCAGGTCGAGGGCTCAGAGGAAAATGCCACTGCAAACCGGTAGAATTGAACTCTTTTGGATGTCTGCCTCATTTTGAAGATAAAATAATATCGACAGTCTGTGAATACTTTGCGTTGAACAGCCCATACCCAGCCGGAGTCACAACGAACGATGATCGAACGAGCCTAAGATATTTGTCCTGCATGTATTTAATCGAAATTTTGATTATAATTCTGAAAATTTATAGTAATCACGAACAAGATTGATTGAAAATAGGATGCACCAGGCAAGGATTTTGATGGTTTTAAACTGCATTTCTGCAATTTGTGTTTTATAAACTAAATTTACGACAAGTATATAAATTTAATGATTTTTATACGGGAGCCATTTTGACTTTTGATTAGGTACTGAGGTAAAACATATATTAGCTGTTATTAATTATTAGTTAGATGATATAGCAGTTGAATACGACTGCACTGTAGTTTTTTATCGCTGTCCAAGGTATTCTTGTTTCAATTTAAAACTGACAAGGCTGTGTGTCAGTACCCTTCAACGATGTTGTGATTATGTTTTTATGTTTTTGAAATGAATCTGTGGTTTAGTCAATAAAGACCTTATCCCTGCAACAAATGTGTTGTGTAAGCTTTAATTGCTAGTAACTAGCCCCAAACTTCCATATATTGCCCGTTTAATAAGGCTTTTGGTTAAGCAGACTCTGGCAGGACAGCCTGTTAATTGCTTTGATGATGTTGAAGCCGATGGTGTATTGATCAAGAGTAAATTGAAAGGCAATTCAAGTAAACATTGGTACAAATTCTGTTGACGAGATTTGCTTATTTCCAAAATGCTAAGAATCGTGCCTATCTGCCTGTGAGCTAGAACCCCTGTAAGTTAAAGGGTTTCCCTTTATTTGCAATAAACTTGTTCAATGTGTACCCTTTTTTAGGTAACCTTTCTTGATCCTCTATTTAGGTAATCTTTCTTGCCCCTCTATCTTTGGCCCCACGATACCCTACAACCCCACGGAGGGGTTTACTTTTCTTTTTTGTTACTTGAAATGTCTTTCCAAAAGTAAAGTTGACAAATTTTGAGGGACGCCGGAGAAGGGGGCGCGGGGGGTCATCCACCCTATTGCCTTTGATAGGAGGAGCCGGAATGGCCAAAGGGCCATTTTCATTAAAGTGCCCTTGAAACTGACCAATTGTAATAACCAGAGAGATTCATATGAAATTCTGATTGTAATGTTTAATTCACGGCGAAGTTTCTCAAAACTTGTTAAATTAATTCTTATGCCAAAAGTTAGCCAATGTTCAAGAGACCTACAGAAGATCGAAATAAAATGGCAGTTACGAAGGAATTTGTAGAAGCTGAGAGTTATTTTTCAAATGCCCTTTTACTCAAGCCTGCCCCCTTGCCCCTTGGTCGTTCCGGCATCCCTGCAAATTTTGTTCGGTTCTTCTATCCTTCCAACGTGTTTTTCCAATGATATTTACCGACGAAACACAGTTTCATTTAATCATACAGAAATTATTGAAGGTTGTAATTTTGATGTGCAAAGATTCATAGAATCTTTCGTTTTATCGTATCATTGAGATAGTAACTGAGATTTTAAAAAAATTAGAGTGGATGACGGCCTAGCCCCTATACATAGAAGATTCTTTTTGAAATGTTTAGATCTTTGAAGGAATAAATTTTCGTACTAGATTACGTAATAGATCATTAGTTAGCATGATACACGTTTCTTTTTTTCAAAGTCTTTGTGGCGGTGAGATAACCAGTTTGTTCTCAGGGCCCGCGCCACGAATTTGAAAGTGGGGGGGGGGGAGGCTAAAAAAGTAGGGGGCTTCCTGCCCCTTATACTACAGTTTTAAAACTACTTGCTTCGCAGAAAAGTGGTGGCACGGGCCCTGGTTCTCAAAATGCAATCACTGTCTGATAAATTTGTTCTTATAGTCAAAAGCTAAAAGTCGCCCGAAACAGATTAGCTGTGAAGCAAAGTTTTATTATTCGAATGAGGGAAAATACAATTTATCAGGCAGTGACTGTAGTGGCAACTTTGCCTCTCCAACGGGACATGTTCTTTGGAATACACTCTTTTCCGTAAAAGAACCCGTAAGTTGAGGCTAGCTCGTTCTTTATTTGTTTGTAAGTTATTAGGGTGTAAGTTCAAGGAAAGTATTCAAGCCCAATCGCCAATAAAATGATTGAACCATCCTTTTTTCCGACATGTTTGAAGATTCACCGACGAGGCACCCCCAAGATGGCAAAATACTCCTCTTGTTTTGGATGGAAGTCTTTATGGGAGCTTCACAACTTTGTTCAAGTTAAATATATTTATTATTTTGCCATTGTAGTAAGAGTTTCAAACAGACTGCTGTACGTTTGCAGCCCTTTAAGTTTGTAAGATAGATACTCTGTTTTCAGCAGGAAAAACATGAACATTTTCCGGAGTCAAATCTGTAGTAAAATAGTTTTGACCTTATTATCTGATGAATGGTTGGAAACCACATCAATTTATAAAAGTGAAAGTAAACGGGAACAGTGTTTTTGAAATTGTGGTCTACCTTCGATCTAAACTAAAGAATAATCTTTTTATTTTTTTGGCCTAACTGCCCTTTGAAAAGGTTGGTCGACAAAGTGTTCTCAAATAATTTGAAATACCCTCTGGCTGGTACATTTGCAACTACGTAAGAATAGCGTTGGTTTCGATATTGCAAACAATTTGTTCCTCTATTTTAATATTTTGAAATCTGAGTCTCAGCTGAGCGGAACGGGGGCTACGACACATTTAGGATAGTGTCGTCGCGTGACCATTCTCGCTGGGGGAGGGGGGGAAGCAAAACTATATTTTACTGACAGAAATTCTTTTGTTACATTAATATTTTGTTATAAATTTAATTCTACCGACGGTTTGCACACCCCCCCCCCCACACCCCCCGCACGCCACTGAGGATAGTGGGTTTGTTGCAGCAAAAGTCATAACTGAAGATTTTGCTAAAAATCTCTTTTGTACCAGGAATGACTTGACCATACATATCAGTGGAGGTTTCCTTTTCCATCACTAGGTGGTCCGGGATTTGTGTGGTCCGGCATTTACATCTTTAGGGCCTTTCGTCTTCAAAATGGCAGCAAGCATGTGCAGAAGTAGTATTTTGGGGAGTCTAGTTCGAAGTTGTTCAGCATTCAGTAGAAGAAATTTCAGTCAACGTCCTCTTCAAAACGAAGTAGAGAAGTTTAGCTGCTCAGTTTTTAATCTTCATTCAAATATCTTTAGGGGTGAGTGTTTAGAACGAAAACTATCAAAATGTACTGGATATCACGTATTACATTTGATCTGATCATATGTGCTGAACAATTAAATTGCATCAATCTGGAGGTATCTACCTGAAGAATAAAATGATATATTATTAATGAGTATTTGTCCCAAGGATAGTTTTTAATTTTGAGTTATATTTTGTAAGAAAGCGCGTGATTAGGCCAACGTTTGATTTTCAAATGTATCTATTGAAAATTGAAATGGGGGTAGTTTATCGTCATATCGCTTAATTTTGTTGTAGTTTCAGTTTCAGGTTTATTCAGGTTTATCAATAAATACAGCATACAATCATATGAATTAGGCTGTAGTTACTTTACATAATTGAAATGCATTAGTACTAATCATTTATCATATTTCCTTTAAGCAAAACCTTCCTTGGTTCGATGCAATCAAAGTAGCGCAGATTTAACTATCCGAAATCCATCAGATTTTCAAAAAGTAGAGTATGCAGTTCCAAAAGATGTTGTTGGTAAAATTCTTGGAAAAGGTAATTGCAGCCTTTGATGTCTTCTGTTTACTACTATCACGACCCCATAATAATTTTAGGTTCCTATTGCATATTGTTATTATTTGGAGTTTGGCTTGATATGAGTGTTCTGTCAGTAAAATGGTTTGTCCAGGGTGAAGTCACTTCAAAGATCTGAGACAGGCTCTTAGCCTTTAGTTATAGTTATAGTTGTAGTTATCAGTGACTTCAAAACAGGATTTGTGTAAATTACTGGGATTGAAAAAGAAAGTTAAAAGAAACAATTATTTCACACTGCCAGGAGTAGAGTGTACAATGCTCTGAGGTAAACTAAAAGCCGGAAGTGCAAACACTGGGCATTTAAAAACATTGGACTTATTGTTTGCCCTTGAAAAAAGGTTTAATTGTGCCATAAGTTGGTTGCCAAACCTGCTTATGGTTGTCCAGGGGACCAGTACCCCCATTACTTCCTTAAACCAACCTCTGCTCTATCTTCAAACAACATTTGATAACTTTTCTAGAATACAGTCACTTTTTCTCCCATCACTTGATTTAGTGCACCTCTCAGAATGACATTGTTGCTAATGGTTTGATGTTGCTGTTGTGGTAGCTAGAGCCTCATCACTTCTGCTACCCTGGGTACCAGGCTAACTCTGTACAAAATGAGAGTAAATCTGGTTCAGTGCACCCCTCTCCTCATTCTGGTGTGCTGATATTAACCAATCAGGAGCAAGAGTACATATTTCTGTATGTTCAGAGGTCATAGCGAAAGAATGAACGTTATTGAAATAAGCTCTGGTGTAAAATAATAAATTAATGATGGCAACTGTTTAATAAACGATTACATTTCAAGACGCTGTTAAAAATTTTGCCCCAGCATAGGGGCTCCACTTGTCATATTGCCCATATTTGCTATGATGAACTCCCAACGTGCTAATGCTAACCGTTGTGGTGTCTAAGCACACTGCCTTCACAATGAGGAAGTAAACTTTGAAAGTACACACAGTTCATGAGGAAAATTACAAAAAAAACTTATTTTAAGTTTTATGCAAAATTTATTAATGATTAAAATTTTGTAACTGCAGCTAACTTTAATTTCATGTTTTGCACATGCTTTTGTTGCCAAATGGCGTTTTCCACCTAATTTGATTGGAATCTTTAGGCAGAAAAGTCTATTATCACTGTATTAAGTTTGTCCAAAACTTTACAGTCTACTGACCATCTTTGTTATCTGAAAAGCTGGTTCCATTCCAGTCTGTTTAAGTTAAATTAACTAAAGTTCTTTCAAATAAATTCACTGGAGTGATGTCCAGGATGCATTGAATCAGACCCTCTTATTTTATATAAAGTTGGTCTGGTACCCAGGGTACACTTCTGCAGGATGCTTCAAATAATTGAAGTTTCCACCAATATTGAAGGAAGGTCATTTACAATTCCTACCCATTTCAATGCCAGAATGCAGCTTGTGAATGGATTAAACTAATGATCATAGTATAATCGTGCCTTTTGTTTCAAAGTAGTTACCTAGCATGTAAATAATAGGTTACCACCTCCTTCTTTTTCAGGAATCTTCCTTTATCTGATCTTCCCACAAAATATATTAAGCTCTGCAACTTAAGATTGACAAGAGTTACCTTGGGCATGTTTCACTATCAGAGTTTTCACCCTTCCGTATTTGTCATTGCTCTTGCTTGTATTTGTTTATGTTTACATTACATTTTTGAGCTTGGCCTACAGATATCTAAAGAATTTTAGTTTTTTACTCCCTTTTCCTCATTGTGAATCGTATGGCAAGTGATGATTGTATGCACAAGACCATTGTAGCGATAAAATTTGGACTTGCAAATCAAATTTAGAAATGATCTTTTATGGAAAAACTTTATCTTGCATGCCATTTATAATTGGTAAATGGAGGTTTCCACTTGAAAAAGCTGACTGAAATGACTCTGCAGACACAAGATATTGTCAATAACTGGTGTAGTCTGTAGACTGGTGTTCAGTCTTGCCAAGTGCTATTCAAGTATCAGGATCCCTTTCTTTCTGATTCACCCTGTTTACTTTGTTACTATCATAAGTTTTAATGACTTAAAACGCAAAATTACATTTAATTTTGTTCCTACTGGTCTACCTTTGTTAATTAACTGCTCATTGTGTACACAAAGTCAACATAATAACTCACTACGATGGTTCTATGTCAAATAAGATATATTAAAGATAGGTGCTTAACAGTATCAATTTTATTAAGAGTAAATTTGAAGTGCAGCAAAGATGAAATAACTGTACGGATAGGTTTTTTTAGGGGATTTAGAGAAGAACAATGGCATAGTATTGCCACTGTATTGCCACCGGAAATAACAAATTAGTCTCTTGTACTGTCAAATTTTAAAAAGCAAAATAAATGCACTTTTATGCACAAACAATATTTTTCTGACAATCCTCAGAGTATAAAGTAACAAATATTGACCACAAATATTTATATGCAAGTCATGACACTGTATGGTCTATTTAGTATGTAGAAAAGATAATTTCTATCTTAAGGTTTATCATTGGCCAGTGACAAGAGCACAAAGAATAAAACAATGAAGATTTATTTTTCAATGCCATGTTTACTGGTTTGTTGTGGTGTCCTTAATGCTGTGTGAATAAGCCTGTACATAATCTTAGGCATGCTTTTCCTTAAAACTAATTACACATCAAATTACTAAACAGAGGATTTAGGACTTGAGGATTTCAGAGCATGTTATACGTCATGCTCTGATAGGCCAAAATGTATTTAATTTTCAAAAAGCCGAATCCATAACTGGCTGACATCTTGTGTTTAGGCAGACATTCTTTCCAGAACTTTTGATTAAATTAATCTTTATAGGTTTAATGTTTTCATAGATCAAATTGATACTTCTATTAGATAGCTATGCAAATGCTTCAAAATATTTTTCTACTTTTTTGATATATGCATAATCTAGAAAATTTATGAAAACATCCTTTAATAAGGAATTTGGTACTGTCTGTGATCAGTAAATGAACATATAAGGTGATTAATTGAATTACCTTCACATAAACATTTTGCCCATTATCGTTTTGCAATAGATAAGCAAGTTGTCAATCAAATCAAAGCACTCAGTGGCAGTGTAATCAGGATCAAGAAAGACGAGGAAGTAAACATCACTGATGAGAAAGCATACTTTATAATTGGCGGTAAGTGAACTGCCTGGATACCTGGTAATCCTTATTCATCCTAGACATAGCTTGCAAAAGACCCTTAATGAAGTTATTGATAAACGTTAATTGGTTATTGATAGCAATTTATCACTTTGATTGCATTGAGGGTGACAGTCAAATTCCTCTTTATGTATTTCTGTGTTCATGATATGTTGGCAGACTCCAGTTAATAATCAGTTCTACACAAAGCAATTAAAGGAAAAAAGGTCTAGCTGCTTTAACAGAATTCTTTCCATAACACTATGATCAGCTATAGTAATGTGTCGGCAGGCTATTTAAAATAGCTATTGCGAGCCATGAGACTTGAGCCATGAGGCTTTTGCATCATCATTGTGTAACTGATGCTCCGTCTTATATTGATATTACTTTGAAAGTTTAACTAGTGCCTTTTCTCTGTATCCGTGTTTTCTTTCACTAAATTTATTTTATATCAAATTTTCCCCATTTTGATTTGGCTAAAACGAAACGATGATTCAGCTGCATGGCTTAAAACTGCCAAAGCAGCCATATTTTAAGCGACCTTGTATTTTACACGAGCTGCTAACCAGTAGAATATAGCTGCCTTCAAGGAAATGATTCCTTGTAGCTAAACCATTTCTTTCAAACCTGTTACTAGGAGGCCAGTTAAAGGATGCTGGCTGGGGGAATGTTAAGGAAAAATATTTACTCTATAATGTAAAAACCCTATAAATAGAATAGAAGTTCCCTATTTTGAGGTTTTAGTTTTAATGTCTATTTATCAGTTGTATTAACAATGGTTATAGCATTCTATATCGCAAGACAGCTTACCAATGATCATGAGCAGTGAGTCATGGATCAAGACTCACCCTCAGAAGAAATTCATTGCAAATCTACACTTTCAATTTTTTTATTATTGTGAAAGTAAAAGGTACCTGTTCTCCCAGATTAGTTGTTTCCCTTTCATTCAGTAACAGGAACAATGTGCCCCTGGTCGTTGTACTCTGTCATGGCACAAAAAGCTAATATTTTGTTTACTATTCAGGAAACAAAAAACAAATAAGCAAAGCAATTGAACTGATTGAAGAAAAGATTTCAAAAAAGTCTTTGTAAGTTTAGAAATATTTTTATTGTAATGATTACTTCATGCCAAATACATTCAGCGCCTAGCCAATATATTTGCACCACATTTTTCTTGATGTACCCTCATTTCTACATTTCTATAAGACACCAGTGACCCTGTTTTTTCTTGGGTTAAGTAAGCAGAAACCAAATAACTTTGTTAGTTCTTTGTTTTTACCAAATCCAGAATTCCTCATACTCTTTTATTAAAGTTCCTGTGCTCAGATTCTTGAAAGCCTTATTTCTTAAAGAGAAGGAAGACCTATCGTTTCTTGTTAGTTAGAATAATAGAAGCATATTTTCACCTTGAGGTGGTCTTTCTGCTTTTTCCGTAAAACCTGACCTTTAGTTGTTTTAATTTTTGGTATGATAAACTAAAAGTTATAAAACAATAGCACAAAGAATCACAACTTGCTGATTAATATATGTAATATATGTATATGTAATAATTGCAATTTTTGTTATAATTGGTCTGAGGTAAATCGCTTATAAAGATGATGCTTCTGCACTCTTCTACATTCTAAACTGTCCTCACTCACTGTCCTGAATGTTTTCTAAGGTCCTAGTTTGCAGATTTGCTATTATATTATAAATATTCTGTTCTTCATTATCTTATCAGCAAGACCCACTTGTTTATTTTTTGAAACATTAAGAAAGTTTATTTTGAAAGAGTATTCTGATTCCCTGAGTAGAGACTGCCATAATTGTTTTGACTTTTAGCTGAAACAAGGCTATGAGCAAGCAGTAAATCCTGAAAATAATGAGGTTGCTAGCTAGGCTCTACGTGGCTGTTTAAGCAATCTTGTCAGCTTTGCAATCAGATCCAGCGTATTCTACTCCTTTCCAGATTCTGAAAATATTATCAGCATATGCCAGACCACCTTTCCAACCTTGGCAAATGATTTTCCCTCAGACTGAAGAATAATAAAGTATTGTCACATGTACAACCCTTTCCAGCATATTCTACTCCTTTAAAGCATTACCGGCATATTCCAGCCCACCTTTTTTCCTACCCTTCCCAATGCTACCACTTCAGGCTTTGAAAAATTATGAGATACTTTGACAGTAGTTACCTGAATGGCATGTGATACCTTGACAGTAGTTACCTGAATGGCATGTTAGGTAAATGACAGGAAGAAAAAAAAATCTGATAAGTTATAGCATAATGAAAAAAGTATGATCAGTGAAAGGGGCTACATAGAAGATATATCTGTATTTTTTAACTAATCGTTTAGCAATGTTGTTTTCTTTAGAATAACATTGACATCATTTTTCGATAAGCTGAGGATCATTGCATTGTCACATAACTACAGGGTCATTGAATTTGAGTGACAACTAATAAAGAAGGAAAATGCAGTCCTTAGTTATGGCCAATATTAGGTCATTTAAACATACCGGATTAAAATCTGGTACAAAGTCTTCATAAAAATGCAACATTATATTTTACATTATAATCTTTGATAGCTCACATTGTTATTGGATAGCTTCAATTTTTCAACTAGATATTCAAATTGAAAATTCTTAAGTAAAAAGTTATTTTCACTGCTACTGATTCTGCTCTGTTTTAAATTCCAACTGTCTTTCAGAGCATTTTGTAATTGTCCACTCTTTTCCTTTTAGATTTGATTCAAAAGGTGGGTGCAGTGAATTCTACAACTGTTTTAACTTGTCAAAAGTAAAATGGCAGATCAATGTTTGTCACTGATTATTGATCAGTTAAATGTTTTTTTCAAAGTTGCCTCTACTGATGTGTCCACTGTAATGTATGGGTTTTACAATACTTTCATGCAAGAAATTTCAAGCATATGTTAAATGCAACAATATAGCTTCATATGAAAATTGATGTTTACCAGCTTGATGCCTTATAGGCAGGTTTGTACACATAAGCACAGTATTATATTTTCCCGGGGGGGGGGGGGGGGGGGGGGGAGGAGGGAATCAAAAATTAATTGCAATTGCTGATTGTGGCCGCCAATGGCACAGGGTAGAAAGAGGTCTAGCTGAGGGTCCTAAGATGATCTTCTTTTACATTTTTCATCATCACTCTTATTTGATCTTGATTAAATCTCTTGAGATGACTTTTATCTGTGAAACCTACAATATGCAAAATTAGTCTAACAAATCGATAACCAACTTCCTTATTTCTCAGGGGGGAGAGAAGGCTCATTCCCTCAAAATTTTCGTCAGGAGGGGCTCAAGCCCTGGAGCCCCCACCTATGTCTATACACATTATTGTGTGCATAGAACAGGGCAGTACCTTTATCTGGTTTGATGCCTAATGCGATCACCAGGCAACTGTTCACGTGACATATTCCGGTGGTATTTTTCAGGATGTTCATTCTTTTTGGTGTTCCGGCTCTTTTTCATTTTCATGTTGTATTTGATATTAATGATAAAAACGAGAAAAAAGAATTATGAATTATTTATCATAAAGTGTCATCTTTAGAGGGAATTGTACATGCTAACCTTCTTCTACTTGTTTTATGTTATTTTTTTTTTCGTTGACGATTTTTTGTTTGAAGGCAGAGGCTCTTGCTGTTTTACTTTTAAAGAAATTACATAATCAGATATACTAATTGTGTCCAGCAGCCTAAGGGCAGGTTCTATTGCTTGCTACTTTCCAATACTTTTATGCAGTTCTAATCTTTTTTGTTTAATCTTTCCTTATTGAAATCAATTGATATGCTAAAGAAACTGCATAAACATTTATTCACAGCTGCATAAAATGTCTTTATAAGGCAAAAAACTAGGTCTGTAGTATGGCTCAAAATTTTCGTTGGAGTTTTTGTTATCTGGCTCATAAATATTAAAGAATTGAAAATCCATTTTATCGGTCTAAAGATATCTCCTTTTTAATCTATATTTCTTCATATTTTTTCGATCTATATCAATTACAGACGGATTTCTCATCTGGTCAAACTATAGACGAAATTTTAAAGGACAAAGAGCACCCCAGGTATGAACATTTCTTATCATGTTTACATCGCTCATGTTTCCATTCTAACATTTTATGTTTTTGGTGTCATTAAACTTTTGTATGAATGCAGATAGTGTCTGAAACTTTTTTCGTTATGCTTTCATAGATTTCATTCATTTTCTATTTACATGTTTATTTTTCATGAAATTTTGCAGTGCACGTTTTTCTTGCACCAATGCAAATGTATTCGTGCCGAAATCTAGTCGAGTGCTATTGAGCCGCAGTTGAAATTACCCATGGTGTATGTAGAAGCATTATGTTGTCCCGTTTACAGTATGCTCATACCAGTGACTTTATGTTCATACCATTTAACAGTACTGTTGTTAGCAATCGTCAGGATACCACTTTGTTAATAGCTCTTGGCATTCCAATACCAATTGTAACGAGCTTTACAGTATGCATTAACTTACTGTATAAATAAGTCTTTAATTCTGCAAACTCTCAAACTCCAGTAATCTGAGTACTTTTTTGTCTGACATTCATCATAGTATTAAACATTTAAACATAAGATTCGGTTGTCGAGAACTTCCAAATGATACAGCATCTGAAAAAGGGCCATTTATTGAAAACACGTTTCGAATTTGGAAATATCAAAGCAAAAAATTGCTTATTCCGTAAAATGTTCCTGAAAACCTCGCATAAGATTTTCCTTTGGGTAGTTTTTGTTGAGCAGCGCTGTGTATTGTTCTTTAGCTATGGATTATATACAGCTAAGTCCCTTATTAACAGACTTCTACATGTAACAAGCGTAATGAGCAAGGAATCTTGCCTGAACTCTGCTTGAAACTCGTCTACCCGGTTTGATGAACCCACGGTTTAATAAACTCTTGCTATTTTAACTATCTTCTCAGCTCCCTTAACAGCTCGTTCATTTTACTGTATTTTTTATAGTTTTTTTATTCAAAATTTGATTTCTTGGCTGCATTAGCAAGAACTGATTGTAATCAGGCTTTTAGAAAGTTTTATTAATAGCAATATACGAACATGAGTTCTGAGCATGAGTTCGTTTTAAATCATCTTGTGAATAATTGGAAGCCCACTTTATTTCAGTCCCCTCCAGTCCACTCAGGTCTTCTTTACCCTGCCCCTATCGACTCCAGCTCTTTCCCAATCCATCCCTATGAACCCAGGTATAACACCAATCAATTTCAATGAACCATCATCCACTCTGATCCACAACAGCCCACCCCAGTTTACCCCCAGTCATTCCAGCCCATTACGGTCCACTCCAGTCCGCTCCAGTACACCCCCAGTCTATCCGTGTCCACTTCAGTCCATTCCAGTCCGCTCCAGCCCACTTCGGTTCACTCCAGTCCGCTCCAGTACAGCCCCAGTCTATCCGGGTCCACTCCAGTCCATTCCAGTCCGCTCCAGCCCACTTCGGTCCACTCCAGTCCGCTCCAGTACACCCCCTGTCTATCCAGGTCCACTCCAGTCCATTCCAGTCCGCTCCAGCCCACTATCGCTCCAGCCCACTCCAGTCCGCTCCAGTACACCCCCTGTCTATCCAGGTCCACTCCAGTCCATTCCAGTCCGCTCCAGCCCACTTCGGTCCACTCCAGTCCACTCCAGTACACCCCCTGTCTATCCGGGTCCACTTCAGTCCATTCCAGTCCGCTCCAGCCCACTTCGGTCCACTCCAGTCCGCTCCAGTACACCCCCTGTCTATCCAGGTCCACTCCAGTCCATTCCAGTCCGCTCCAGCCCACTTCGGTCCACTCCAGTCCACTCCAGTACACCCCCTGTCTATCCAGGTCCACTCCAGTCCATTCCAGTCCGCTCCAGCCCACTTCGGTCCACTCCAGTCCGCTCCAGTACACCCCCTGTCTATCCAGGTCCATTCCAGTCCGCTCCAGTCCGTTCCGGTCCACTTCGTTCCACTCCAATTTATCTGTTATACCCAACTTAGAGATTCCTAGCAAGTCCCTCAAGTGCATCAAACTCTAAATAGTGGCCCTCCACTATAAAAATTGTTTGATTTTAATTCCTTGTGTAAGCAAGATGTATTTTGAAAAGCTTTTTCGTAGTAAATTAGTTGGAACAGACTGTAATCCGTGCTCTTTTTCCTAGACAACAAGACATAAATGCATAGTAAGTTCATTTCACTTATAGAGAGGATTAGACAGGATTATCTATATTATATCTTATTACATTATATTTATATAATGTCAATTTGACAATATAATTGCTACTTAGTATTAGCTTATTTCCGGCTAAGCATTGCTTTTGTATGATATTTGCAAACAGTTTTCAAAAAACAAATTTTTACTTTCTCATTCCTATTTGCTATAAATATATTCACATCTCGATTTGCTGAATATTATTATTACAAACGGAGTGGTAGAACCTTACCAACAAATGTTTTATAAACCTCTTCAGCGAAAAACGTTTAGGTAGAAAGAATAGAAGATCCCCAATGAGCTCGAGGAAGTATCTCGAAACTGACAATTTTATTGTTAAAAATTTGAAAAAAAGTTATGCTCCAAATATTTTAAATAACAAACATAATTCTATCCACATGCCACAGACTTAACGACTATGTTTTTCAAAAAATTACGCCTGGATGGCCTAGATTTTATGTATTCGTATACATAAGGTTTTGTTTGATCTTGCAGCGTAGTGGTGGAAATAAAGTGTCTGGAAATCCTTGCCCTTTGTGTCGTCTGAAGCTAGAAAAAAACAAAGATGTTGATTACAAGGTATAATTTTGTCTTCCTGATTAGCTTTTCAATAATATGGTGCATTTAGAAAATAGTCGCTCGTTGCAAAAGCTAGCTATAGCCAAATATTTTTTGTATGTTTTCAGTGCATTTTCTCGAATTGGTAAAAGACTGAATACAACAATACAATGTAGTCTATTTCATTAAATGCACTTCAAATAGTCAAAAAGTTTGTTAACATCTATATACATTTCTTTGATTTTGGTTTTTCAATATTTTGAAGATTTTCTGTTACCAAAATTGTCGGTTGGTTTGCTTTCCTTATCAAACTTCAAGGTTCCATTCTAGCTTTCTTTCCTCGGCTGGTATTATTATCCAATTCTTTTTTGTTTACGAAGGATATTGATCTTTTGAAGCAATTCGTCTGTCCACATTCTGGTCAGGTACTTCCTGCGACTTTAACAGGTATGTACACATGATTGACATTTCAAGATTTTTGAGTGACATTGGCTCGTTATAGTGGTCACGATTGAAGTATTGTGATGGGCATTTCAAATTTTTTATTGACATTGTAAGTCTTTGATTGACAGTGCAAGTTTTTCATTGACATTGGAAGTCTTTGATTGACGTTGCAAGTTTTGTGATTGACATTACATGGCTAGTGATTGACATTTCAATTCTCTGATTGACATTGCAAGTCTAATGATTGACATTTCAAGTTTTGCGATTGACATTGCAAGTTTTGTGATTGACATTACAAGTTTTGCGATTGACATTGGAAACTTTCTGATTGTCATTTCCAACCTTAAGCCAATTTCTTTGGTGTCTAAAACCTGATATATCGATTTTTCGACAGCTAATGTAAGGTTAATAATGTAGAAGGAAAATCTCTCCTGACCAATTGTTCTGAATGATTTTCAGGCCTCTGCAGGCAACAGCAAGATAAAATTGTAGCAAATATTGAAAAGTCTCGCCAATATGGTAGGTCGTTTATTTTACGTTTTTGTTTTTGTTGGTGATACTTTAATTGATATCTTAAATCAAGTACAAACAGTTCCTATTTGTATTACCAAAGCAAATTAAGAAGACATTTGTGTTGGGACAAATCAGGACTTGAAGGTTCGAAATGATTTCTCGCAAATCAAAAGGCCTTGCATAACGTAAACAGATTAGTCGAAAGTCACAAGAATTTTAAGCGACTGTTGCATCTGTTTTGATTCATCAATCTTATGTTTCAAGATTGACCGACCCTTTTCAACTGAAATATATTTCTAGGCATGGATTGAACTTAGCCTGAGATGAAGATTGGTGCATTTCTGTTTACCATTCTTGCAACTGAGTGACTGTACAATGCAACAAACCTAGCATGTCCTTGCACAAGTGATTCTGCTTTTGTGCTGTTGACACCGAGTTGACACTGTCTACTCTTGTTTAGTGAAGGAAAATTTACTAAACCGCTAGCCATGATCTCAAGGCGATTTTTACTTAGATATCCCCTGCATAAAAGGAGGATTTGCATGAATTTTGCTCAGAAATTTATGAACGTGTAAACAGGAAGTTAAGCTTTTTATCAAAGTATCAACATTTAGGCAGTCACAGTATCACAAAGGTCAGTAATAGTGTCCTACGATATTCTAACTTAGATGTGAAGATTGAGATAAAACAATATATATATATATAAGTGCTAAAATGCGCGAGTTCGTCTGTCAAAAGCGTCTGTTTGTTTTGTTAAGAAAATGTCTGTTTTTCTTTTATTAATTGTAAAGTATATAGGCTTTCACCTTTGGTATGTAGAACAGGACGAATCTAATTTGCTAAATAAGTGTAAACTCCTGATTTTCACGCTTAATGCAATCATTAGGCAACTGCCAGCAAATAGGCTCAGCCCCAGACTCCAAATACTTTTAGTTTTGGGTCTGGAACTCAGGCTACCAGCAAACAGATCTTGATATGGATCCTGTATCTTTCAACATTTTTGAATATATATTATTAAGTAATACTGTTTGTTGTTAAATTTTGTTAGTACAAAAGTATGCTTGGACCCGGTAACTTAATAGAAAGAAACTATTGATAATTCTCAGATACAGATCATTATCTTGGATTCTTTGAAAACTTGTGGTTGTTTAATTGAGTTTGGACATGTCATTGTCTTTTGAATTTCGACAAAAAGTTTTTAAATTCATTTTGTAAATCTATGTATTTGTGTTTGGTATTTTAACCGACATCATGACAATGATTCCCTTCTTTTCAAACAGGCCTCCTTCCATTTACCGTCCCACTACCAGAAGAGATAGTTCCTGAGTACAAGCCTGTAGGCATACCAAGCAAACATGTCAGGATTCGCCAATAAACGCTAAACTTCGTTGTATATTATCTCCTAAATGATCTTTGTGAAACTGCAATATTGTAAAACACGATAGCCAGTGTGCTGCTGCCAACTCTTTGTCTACTTTTTTGTCCATACCATATCGTTGTACCATGAAAAGCTGCCCTGGATACAGGAATATAGCTCCATGAAAAGCAAAGGCGGCACTGTGTCGTAAGAGTCGTAAGGGGGCCCTCCAACCGAAAATTTTTTGATTTGTTTATTGACGAAAAGACAAGTACTTGATGCGTGTGTTGTGACAAAGGAGTTATTTTTGCTAAATTCCAACTAGTTATAAAGCCGTAAGATGAAAAGTTTAATTTTTCAGAGAAAAAACTACCAAAACCAAGATAAAATTCCTTACTTTATCTTGCCAAAACCGAATCAATTTGGCGATCCTTACCTCACGTTCGTCGTGAATTCCATATGTCTTCCGGCGTAGCGATTAACTAGGGTTCTCACCCCTCTCGAGGCTCCCTAGCATTGCACCCCTGTCTAGATGCAATGACCAGATCATTAAATGTTCTGTTGTTTGGCAAATGTATTGCATTGTTGTTTAAATGTTTATCTATGTTTATCTTCTCTTCGAGATGCGGAAATAGAGTCTGAAGTATTGATCGACAGCGAAAGTATAGTCGGAAAGTAAAGTGTGTTTGATGCAAGAAGGAAATGAACACAGGGCATGCCTTCCTCCCCACCTTTTTGCAAAACAATACACCTTTTTCAAATTTTTTTGTGATGATTACTAAATCTCCCCTTAACCCGCCCCCTTCCATCCTGCATCGGAGCCCATGGAACACTGACCATTTTTGAAGCATAATAAATCGAAGAATGAAAGATATGCCATCTTGGAATAGGTTGTTGAGAAAAATCAAGCAACATTTTCTTTTCCAAATGTATGAAACCTTCACCATACATTCATGAGGAGTTATGCCCCAAAGTTATTTTAAGGTTTTACACTTACGGTCCGAAAGTATTGCACCCTTCGCCAAAAAGGCCGTTCTGTTAGCTAAAGAAAATTTAAATAGCTGTTACAAGTAACAAAAAGTTTTAAGCTGAAAGAATAGAACATTCATCAGGGAATTGTAGTTAAGATAAGAATTGCAAAAAAAATTTCTTCTATTTCTAAACAATATCCATAATTACGAAAACACGAAAATTGAGCTTTGATGATAGGTATACCTGTAAAATATTTACAATAAAAAAGGTTTTCTTTGCATAAGCTTGAGGGATTTTGTTATCGTGAATTCAGCGATTCACTTACTTTGTGCTTGGGTGTCTAAAAACGTTTAATTTCCTTACGGAGCAACCGAAAGTCGAAAATCAAACTCAGAATTAAAACTGATGCTCTTTTATGGAATTACTATTATTGTTGAAAAAACATTATAGTCTGTTTCTAAATTCCAAAATTTCCAAGCTGTGTTTTGTTGTTCCATTGTGATCAAATTGAGACTCTCCTTCAATCTCTCTTTTAAATTGCTTTTTTTTATAGCTAAGAGGTTTAAAAAGTGAAGACTATTTTTCTTTTATAGAAAAGACAGACCTTACAAATGCTTGCTTTTCGGAAACAAATGTTTATAGCCAACACCAGAAAAACTAGAGGCATATTTTTTTGACCTTGAAAAACAGCCTGAGTCTGAAGGCCTAACATATTTAGTGACCCTCTCTCGTGGTCCCTGATGATTTCAGCCCTTTAGACAATGTGCCCTAAAAATAATGTTCAGGCATGACACACCCTTCCATCAAGCATGACACGCCCTTTCGTCGGGCATCTAAGCTTCATACCCCCCTAATGAAAAAAGTGGAGTTTCGCCCGAGTACATTTACGACGAAGTTAGTAGAGTTTAGGCGGGGGTTGATGTCCCCGTCGTATTTTTCCTGGGGATTGATTTTGCAATTCATACCCCCGCGTTTTTCTTTTTTTAATTTTTACCTAGGGATGTATTGCTATAAATTATATCGAGGGGGCCCTCACGAAAGATTTATCTAAAAACAACCGCTAAAATAGAAAAGGACCACATTTTGGCAATTATAAAAGGCTATAATCACCCAGCCTTGCATCCCTGATTGTACCTCAAAGCGGTAATGAGGGAGTTTCGAAAAATTGTGAAAGGGCATTCTGTTTTCTTTATCAATATAGTTGTCTTTGGTATTTTTTCGGCAGTCCGAAATTCCCAAGCAGGATATATTGACAAATAATTCGCGATATTTAATTTTCCATGCAAAGGAAATTTCAGTTAAAAGTAATTAATTTTTGTATCAAAGTGTTGCTAGTAACACTCAGAAAGTTGCAACAATAGGTAATCGTTGCCTAATTAGTAATCTGCTATGTAAAATTAGTAAAATGTTTGCTTTTTTCAAAGCCATTTTCAAATTCTGTACCGTAAAAAAATTGTTCTAATTAGTAATCAGAGACTTTTCTGGGCGTGTCTCAGTTTCGAGCTCCCAGGGTTGCGCGCTGGGTGGATTGGAATGTCAGGCTGCCACGAATGCAGAAGTGCTGAGCTGTTTTGTTTTCTGCATGTTGTTGTTGTGTGTAGGATAGAAAAAGGGCATGTCCAAAATGGAAGCACGCGAATGGACTGCCATCGTACTCACAGTACAAGATCAGGCAACTGCACAGGCATTCTTAAAAGGTATGTCTTTCAAGTAAACATGAGATAATTTATCATAAAATCATTCACATTTAATAAAAACTGAAGCTCACTGTAGGGTAATGACCCAAATTAGGAGCGATGTGTTTAGCCGGCAAATCATCTCGTTGATAACCTAGTCATATCAAATCGACGAAAAACTGACTCCCTGGAAGCTTTGCATTTGATAAATGTTTCCCATGGCTTTTGGACCTCTGAAACCCTCAAAATTTTGCTAATTTGATGTTTTCATCGTAATAAACAGAGCTTGAGAGCCGTCAAAATAAAGGATACATATCGAAGTCGACTCTTCTTCTGTGTGTGGAAGACCCCCATTGCAAAGTTGGAAGCGGGGGTGCAACTCTTAACGCATTGCTTGTTGTTGCTGAGCATCTGAGTGCACAGTCGGGACATACAGTAAGTATTGAGTCATAAACACGGTTTTTACTAATTGCTTTTTATGCTCGCCCTTTACATTGAATGGATCAAACTTCGATGCTAAGTCAATGGAAAGGTTTGTGATAATCCAGTCCAAATCAAGCTTTCCCAACGTAAAGTAAACTTGAGCATTATTGGATAGCATGACACACAGAGTTGCAACTTGGAGTCATCCTGTTTTGTATACCAAATCAGACACATCCTAAGTTGCAAGTCATTTACTATCTTACCAATCTGTCAAATATGCAAAATCAAAATGGGTGAGATGTCAAAACAGTCTGGATAGTGTGCTCTCTTTAACCCAATGGAGAATGATTAGCAATTTGGAGCAATCTACAACAAGGCATTCATTCTCTTTCATTAGGGCTAAATTGTCCTTGTTGAGCTTTTCCCTGTGGGTGTTAAACCTAGCTTAGGACTCCAGAGATCTCATTGAAATGATATAATTCTTGACTATCTTTATAAGTCCTGCCAAATTCTAGATGAACAGCTATTTTTATTTCAAGGCTGCTTTTTCCATACTTGAGCTATGGAGGGTTGACTGGACTTTCCCAGACTGAATTTTCTCATAAATTTTTTCATGCTATTGACAGATGTTGTTTCCCTATATCACAGAAATTATCTTGCTTTAAAGGATGCCACACAAATTGTATTTATAATTCCCATGTGTAAGTCTGAATCATTTAACTGTAGCAGCCAGTGTGCAATCAGAAACATTGCAATCAGAGTAACTGTTCCATATTTGCTCCTGCTGGATGTAGAATTTTGCAATATAAAACAGAATAGATGTAGTTATTAAAAAAAATGTTAAAAGTTGGGCAATGTTCCTAAATAACATAAATCACTCTTCTTTGTTTTTTAGACCATTTGACATTATATTGCATCACACTGAAAATTTTAGGGTATTATGTACAAGGTGATATATATGTAGAGATAGTAAGGACCCAATTTCATGAGGCAAGCACAATCAACACACAACACTCTGCATCCCTCATAAACCAACACTCTGTTGATTTATTTCAATGTTTGTTGACCTTACATGCATTTGGTTCTAAATAGGTTGTCACTTCTGATGTCTTGAAAGGCACAAGAATTTTACTTTGTCATGTTGTGAGTATTTTCAATTGATCTTAAATTTGTTATAAATTGGTTAATTTTTTATATACTACAAGATAAAATATATATTAATGCAATAATAGGCAGCCTTCAATCCAAAGAATCATGGTATACATGCTAAATAATGTCTTGATTGTGGTAAATCCAGGATTCTCTAAACAAGCAAGTCTTCACAAATAAATTCATCATGGTTTGCTTCTTTCCTTCCTTGATCTCCTCTTTTCTCCGTACCAGGATTTGTTGATCTCTCTTTGCTCCCATGGTCCATGTTTCCATCCAAGATAAAGGTGTTGCCCACACCTCCCAGCTATCTACATTCATATGAAAGGAATTTGTGCCACTTTTGCAATAAGCATGATATCTCAGCAATAGCGGTCCTTGTTTTCTGGAGCCATCAGTGTGCCTTGCTGAAAATAATTTTCTTCAGATATCTACTATCTTTTTTAACATGCCCACACTACCTCATACCATTTCAAAATGATCATACTTCTATGACATTGACAAACTTTTCAAAAATTTTTAACCAATAATTTCTCTAAAGTATACTTATTATTGTTTGTTGTTTTTTCTTCCTTGTGTAATATAGTTTTTGAATTGTAAGTGCTGTTCATGGTAGTAAATACCTCTGCCTCTGTTAATACCATGGTAGGCACAGTAATTTTTTATGTATTTGTTGCTTTTAATTGATGATAAAAAAACATTTTTTTCATTTTCCTGCTAGCCAACCCAGCTGAAAATTCTCCATAGGTTTGTAAATAAGTATCTGTGATAAGTTAAAAAGTTAAAAGCAAAGGTTACTACATTGTTTGACTGTTTCTGCCTTCTGTGGATAATTACATCCTAACCTTAAGCAACTTGAATATAGCCTGGTGTAAAATAATACTTTATGAACTTTTTTTTCATAAAGATTTCTTTTTTATTATTCAGGGAACACATTTTCCATTTTCTGCCTGTCAACGAGGATTCACAGCATTACCAATTGAGGTGTGCCAAAGTGGATTTGACTCATCAAATCAATGTGAAATCACTTGCATTTTTGATCTGTATTTGAGCATCATAATGCCAAAGGTGAGCTCTTGTTTGGTTTTACATTTCAGACAGATGTATCTTTGGCAATTTAATTTTTCTTGCTTCTAGAATTGATTAATGATGATTAGAAAACAATCAATCAGTTTGAAAGAGGTAATTTCAGAGGAATTTAGATTTTAGCAGGCACTGGCTAGAGCAGTCAACGCATTATCAACAAATGCGGATAATTGTGTGGGTTAAGGGGATAATTGTGTGGGTTAAGGGGATAATTGTGTGGGTTAAGGGTGTCTTTTGTTTAATTTTGTATTGAACTTAATTTCAATGGAAGTGCTGGTTTTTAGAATGGCTGGGTCTTTGAAAACCCAAAAAATAGCAAGCTGTGTTTTTCTGATCCTTCCCTTTTCCTACCTTTCTGTTTTTCTGTCTAATATGACCTGCATTTTTTGTATGATGTTGCAAAACCCTGAATATTGTGATGTAAAAACTCATTGCTTAACTTGAGCTAAAAATTCTTGATTTCTTTTCTATTAAAGCTGGCACATGATGCTCCAGATGGACTATGGATATGCAGTACTGATCGTGTCCTGTATTTGCCAGATCAAATTAGTAAGTCTGTTTTTTAACGATCATTCAAGAAAGTGCTAATCTTTCAATGTCATGGAGCTCTCTCAGACTTTGATTTTACTCAAAAATTTTTGCAAAATAATTTCTCAATTTTTCTGACCCGTACCTTGGTTATATGATACCTAAATTAAATAAATGAAAAACAGGATACTTTACTTGAAATCTTGTTTGGGCTTGTTGAAGTTTTCCTAGCATAGTGTCACTTTTCCAAATTGCTTTATTTGATTTAGTTTGTATGCGAGTTTATTCAAAATCAAAGACAAATAATTCAAAATCGCATGTAAAGGTTATAACGATAACATTATCTTCTTTAACACCAGATATTTGTTGGAATGATGCTGCTGATGTCCGTGTTTTCACTGTGCTAAAAAATCCAGAGGATGTTGCACTTTCGAATGGTGCATGCAAAGTGAGCGAGTCTGTAAGTAACAGCCAAGATTGTAGTTATTCTTATGAATTGTATACGTCATTTCAATATCTTTATAATTATAATCAACCTTTATAACCTTTATAAACATACCTTTATAACTATTTAGGGAGATGTTCAAGACATTATATATAATGGATCTCAAAAAGATGTCGAAGCCTGCATTCTTTCTGAAGGGAAAGTACCAACTGTAAGTATTTCACAATTATTTCTGATGTTTAAAATCGAATCCTGTAAATGTAATATTTTCTGTGCTGAAAAATGGATCATGTTCTTATATTGGACGAGTGTATTACCTGACATACTGTTTGTTGTAAGTAGATGTCTTTTGTTGCAATATAATTTTCTGAAAAACTATCTCTTAAGAAAAGTAAGAAATTATCAATTTTTGAAACGCCTGTTACTGGGATGTGTAAGTTGATGTAGGTTTCACTGTACCTTGCTTTTCAGTTTTACCCCTGAATTTTGATAACAAATAAAAGTAGGTTTAGGACGGTAAGAGACTTAATTTATCACGCAGTGTCCTGGTTCGACCATTTTCCTTGATTCCATGTTCCTTAACGTATCTATTCCTACTATATGTAACATTCACTTTAACGAGAAGTATTGTTATTTTGCTTCACTGTTGCCTTTCAGTTATTTGGTGTCGTCTTTATGACAACGACCGTCGCTGAAGCTCTGCTAGCACTTCACGTACAAGCGCCATTAGAAGCCTGCACATACATGGGAGTTGACAGTGCTGTTAAACCAGTAAAAAACGTAAGCTCACATAATAGATTTTTGCTAATTTCCATTTGTAAAGACCAAATCGGCTAGTTGCAAGTTCTGTAGTCATTCTAACTTTCTCCAAATAAGTTGGTTTCAACTTCTACTTACGATTGAATTATTTTCTTGTTTGATTGCTTTTAGTATAAGTTTTAGTATAAATTTTATATAATGTTCTGTATGGTGAACCTCGTTTTGATAACCTTCTCTCTTCGCACACCTTCTAGTTGTCTCTCTTCTATGACATGCTGCTTGCGATGGCTACAGGCGTTCAAGAGGGCGACTTCGTTGCTGGACGGCGAAGTGGTGAATTCAGCACTCGTCCTTTACAACTGGATGGGTTTGATAAACAAAATAGGAAAATGGCGAGACAGCTTCTTTGGGATACCCTGCAAGGCTATTCAATGAAAGCTGGTAGGTGATTTGTTTCAAACAAAACCTTACACCTTCTATCTTCAAGGGTATTTTTCTCTCCTACCCTAAGCCCTTCCACCCCAAATCATCAAAGCTTGCTGAAAAGTCATTTTTAATGGTAACGAATAGTTCAAACATTTGTTTTTTAGTCGCTTCCTTGTGTTCGAAAACAGGCTTGTGCTCTAATCACGACCTGTTGTTTTTTCTTTGCAATAGCTAAATTTTGGGTTTTCTTCAACTTGAGTTACATGTTGACGAGTGTCATCACTCTTTGTTGTTAGTAGTAATATTAGACAAATTGTTTAAATAAAAAGAAACGATATATTTTTTTACAATACCTATAGATATTTTTTAGTTGATCATAACATTTGGTTATAGTTCGATATTGTTTATTATCTTTCTGCTTATTATGCTTATAATTTTTCAGTGAATATAAAAGAGGGAGACTTCCACTATATGTACTCTTGCGCGAGGGATTTACACAATATAATGGTAAACACAAATTACTGTCAAGCTTCAATCGGCAAGAGGGTGGTTCCAAAAAGACATTTAAATGCAGTAGTTCATGTGAGTTTTACTGTGTCTTCATTCCTTTTAATTTTATCATTACTTTGATAGTTAAAAATTTTTATTTTGAAATTAAAGTTTTTCAACCAGAAATGCAAGTATTTCTTTCTATCACAACGCCAAAGGTCGACTGAATTGTATTTCTTGCCAGCGATTGATATCTAAAATTTATGAATGAAATATCTCCGCTCGTCAGTTTCGCTAGACAGTCAGAGATCTTAAGTTTCTCTGTCTGTTCTCTTTGAATTTCTAAACATAATTCGATAAGATATTGACGAAAATGTGTGCGAATGGCACAGTATGGACAGGACGCGAACCCGCGACAAGCGCAACTGTGTGTTGCTCTAACTGCAAGAACATAGGAACCTCTTCCACCCTGTGCCCCTCCAACTTTAAAATTTTTCCAACGTCCCCACTTGTTTCGTCTCTGCAATTTTTTGTCCGCTAAAGCTTATTGTTTCTGTTCAGGATGGCATCGCTGAAAGTAACACGACCATCATCAACTCCATTGTCAAGCAGGCTCAACTTGGAGAGGGAACGGTTGTTTGCCATTCACATATACACGTAAGTATTTTATTATTGTCTGTAACTTTCGTTAGTCAAGACTAATTAAGGTTACTATCGAGCGATATAGCTACAATGTATAGACATATTGCCATCACCAAAATTGCCGAATAAAGTAAATCTTTATTTGTCATTTTCAGGAGCGTGTTTCTATTGGGGAGCGAAGCTTGATTTTAAACTTGGTTCCGGGAGATCTTCAGGTTTGTACTTTAGACATTTATTAATAATGTTTATTAATTGTGTCCCAGAAATTGAAGCCCAGACTTTTATGTTGGTAGAAATAAACGAAACAATTGTATATATCTATGCACTTAGAGATCTGATAAAGGATGGCATGTATAATTTTTAGAGGTTCAGAAGCAGTTGAATGTAGAGTCAATTAGGATTTACATTTTTAAACAACAAGATTCATACTACAGCTTTTCCAACTATTCCAAGATTCATACTTAGCTCTGTTCAACCCAACTTGTCTCTGCCTACTAGAGGATTAGTACAGTTTGCCCCCTGTGAATTTGAGAGATTGGGTACAACGAGTCATACCTCTTTTGGCGCGCGTTGTTAAAAACTAGAGTTCTCAATTGTGACGTCACAAAGAAACTATTTTTAGAATTTTCGACTTTTGACCACATAACATTAAAGAACACCATAAAATACTCCCATGTCTGCAAAATCAGTTAAATGTGTCAAAAATTGGGCGAGCTATGGCCAATAGAAGATTTGAAGTTTGCTAACGGATTACTGTTATTTTGGCTCAGTTCATAAAGTTATGAACTGAGAACAAATTACAGAGGTTTGATGGGGCCAGAGCTTGCGCTCATCTGGACATATTTCGGCCAAATCGTAATACCTTTAACTGATTTTTCAGATTTAGAGGTATTTCATGACGCTCTTTCAGGTTATGGGAAAAAAGTACAATGAGTCATATCATCTGACTTTCTTACGTTCGAAAATGGCGGAATTTCATCTATAACAGTCTTAAATAAACTTGGCTATGATTTGTGATAAGTTTGTTTTACATCCACTTTTGTTTTGCTATAACGTAATTGTTGCATCGAACTGTTTAATTTTAGTTATCAACAGCAGGAAAGAAAATCGATAAAGAGTTGGTGATTCAAGGTTTGACCATAAGGCTTCCCTCCGGCCGAAGCCATTCAGTCACAGGCACTCAGCGAGTCCTAATCATACTTGGGCTCCATGACAATTTAACGGTTAGTAGTTTAAGCAGTCTGGCAATGACCACAGGCTTCTTAACGCCGCTTGATGTGGGCAGCTAAGGTCCTTCTTCATACCACATTAGAATTATTGTAGACACTTGCATCTGTGCCTCTTGTGCTTACAAATATATTTAAAAATATTTTTTAAATATGTTTGACTGTCACCAGGTAGTGGGTAGCTCGCTGGTGCGTCCTTTGCACTTTTGAAGAAAGATCGCTTTAATTTTTTTCTAATAGTAAGATGTTTTTGTCATTATAAACCAAGCTTCCTAGCCATTATTTCTGAATAAAAATGATGAGGATCTGTGATAATTATTTATGCTTCTGGTTGACAGCAAAAAATTATGCTTCTAGATGGACGTTAACGATCAACGAAGCACTTTTTGCAATGCCTCTTGGGATAGCTTCTTCAACCGTACCGGAATAATGGCGCAAGAATTGTGGAGCACAAATACCGTATGTTTGTTTCTTATCATATCGTACTTTGCACTTCTGCAATGTCACTGTTGTCAGGTGACCTGTTCTTACAATATCTGCTCGTTAAATGCAGCTCGCTGAAACATGGTAAGAGCTTAAAGTCTCTTTTTTCTTTTAGGGTGGACGTAAAAACTTGATGAACGCAAGATTATTTCCGATTTTCAGCCCAGGGGATTCATTGGATTTTCTTGACTTGCTGTGGTTGCAAGGATCCGATAGTGACCCGACCCGACTTTTGAAGTACGTTGTTTATCAGCTATCAAGTAACTGGTTCCCTGTTGTAGCCGTTTTTAATCGTATTTTATTGAAATTATAAGAAAATAGTTAAAAATTATATGTTCATATATAGCGAATAGAATGTATATTAATGGATGGCTCTACGTTTTTTATTATAATAGGAGTTTGATACTATGAAAAAAGATGTCTCTTAAGCAAAAATTTTTTATGTAGACCATGGTTGTTTTCATAGACGTAGGTTTTTTATTTAATTAAAACCAGTCAGTATCAAGGTAAAATAACTCATATTTGAGTTCATAAATATACTAAAATACTTGCGGTACAATATGATGCTATAATAACGATCAATGTAAGTAAATTGTACCAGGAAACATTTTTTTAACAACATAACGACGTTTCGAGCATAGCCCGTTATCAAGTCAAATGAGCTATGCTCGAAACGTCGTTATTTATTTTAAAAAAAAATTTTCCTGGTACAATTTACTTACATTGATCGTTATTATAACTCATATTTGGTTATCTTACAATTGCGATATTTTTTATGATTTGTCTGTTGTTTACCAAGTTTCCATAGATGCTTCTCGATTTCCTTGGTTTGGCTGGATAATAGCTTATTTGTACTTTTGGATAATCCATTAAGTGTCGGAAATCAGTTATTTGGTTTTTAGCTCAGCCAGAGTAGTAAGAACTAAATTAGGTCACAATTTTTGCATTAATGTGCTACAGATGGAAAGCTTAACCTCTTGTATTGAGCAGTCAACGTTTTATATTTGTAATTAAAACTGTGCAATCATTTTAATAGTTCTGCTAATTTGCCTCTTGCTCTAGAGAACTCAGCATAAAATTGCATCATTTTGCAAAGTTTAATACTTTTTGTGTATGAGGTATCCAAGAAAAGCGTGTCTGATAATGATTTCATCAGTAGGTTATATGATCATCCTACCGACATTAACTCTCCAAAAACATGATTAAGTGGCTGTAATAAATAAAAAACAGCTTGCATTTTAATATACTCTTCTTATGACCTTTATATTATCTTTTAGGTGGAGAAATTCTTGGCGATTATCGATGGCAGACATTGTGAATATATATGATGTGGAGTCAGAGTTGTCCGCAAGACGGTAAGGGATATTTACTTGAAAGGCTGGCTGAAATTTATATGACATGGCATTTAATGTCACATTGACTTACACTCAACGTGATGTTTCAGAACTTCAGATTATCTCCTAAGAGAAACTTCTATTAGCGGACACTTTCAAATAACGGACACGGCCAGTAACGGACATAGCCAATAACGGATATAGCCAATAACCGACACAGCCAATAACGGATATAGCCAATAACGGACACGGCCAATAACCGACACGGCCAATAACGGACACAGCCAATAACGGACACAGCTAATAATGGACACGGCCAATAACGGACACGGCCAATAACGGACACAGCCAATAACGGACACGGCCAATAACGGACACAGCCAATAACGGGAAATTGATTTCAATAAAACAACTCTTACCTGCTCTTTAGGCCTTGTACAAGTTTTCTCCGGACAACTGACACCACCCTATAACAGACAGTGCACCACAGTGCAGCTAGGACATCACCCGACCCTATAGGTGCCCTTTATTCGGCAGATACCGTGTATATTTTGGAGCATTGATATGCATTGATCTGACCAATTGGGGTCGCAAGTTAACAGTTTGTAGATCAAAGCGTGTTTCGCTAGGCTTGGCTGTTTAGAACATAGTTCTGATCTGAGTCAATAAAGACTGTTTCAACCTTTAGCATAGATAGCATAGCGGTCAAATCTTTGATTGGCTGAGAGCTCTGTTCGCTACCATGTTCTAAGCCAATCAGAACACAGGATTCTCACAACAAAATAGCTTCGCAGCATAGATAGCATTAAACGTGATGTACGCCAGGAAAACATTTATGTCATATTAAATTTTGTTATAAATTCATTTAGAAACCTCCTGTACAGCATTGGGAAGAAGTTAACAAAAGAGGCACTGATTGGAGGGCACGATCGATGTTTGCTGCCATTTTTTAGATATTGTATCTTAGAAGGATACTTTGAAGAAATACTTTCAGTTCTTGACAATGGTAAGTTTTGAAAATAGGAATTGATGTGAAGACCTTGATGTAAGATACATGCTGAAGTGTAAATAATTGTTTTTACTTTGCTGTTTATGTGCAAAAATGTCTGATTACATTGTTTGCAGTTTGTTTTGGTTATCGATAGTTTGTTGGCTATTTTTGTGCCAGTCTGTTATGAACGAAAAACTTTCCTCTTATAGAATGTTTTACCAAAGTGAAGTTCATCAAAATTTGTGTATAAAGTATATAAAATTTGTTGTCAAAGCGAAATTGAGAAAATACATGAAATAAGGGGGATATTTTCATAGAGAAAAAAGAAAGTTTAAAATATGAATTATCAAGTAATAACTAAAATTTAAAATAACTTAAAAGAAAAACAAATCTTTGATGATAATTTTGCACTTGGCAATGTCACAAGTTTGTTTCTTCAGAAGAAAAAATTAAAGCCCTTATCATTCACAAAAAAGTGTCCTTCTCAACTGAGGTGATGTTGAATATATCTTGAAATGCTACTTTGTAAACATTTTAGTTGCAAGTCAAAACAAGGAGAATCAGCGAGCAGTTCTGTCAAGGACGTTTGCCTGCATAGCAGATATAATCGGAGACAAAGCGCAGAATAAAGGAGGCCTTAGAAGTGGCCCAGCATCCAACCTGTCATGGCAGAAGGGATTTGAGCTTCTAGAGGTATGGCTTTGTGAATGCGTCAATTTAGGCCCATCTTGAAAACCGGTCTTATCAAAATATGTTTAGATTGTCAAACAAAGAACAAGATGGCTATACCATTGTTGTTTATCATTCAGCTACTGGTTAATTTTCATTCATGTTTTTGTGACTACCATGTGTTATACTTATGTGGTTGGACGCTTTGCACGATATTAAGAAGAGGTTTTATTATATTTGAAATTTTTATTCAAATGCATAGGCTTGAATTATGACAATATAGTTAGCGAATAAATTAGTGTTTTAACTTTTGTGTGATGCGATTGTGTTGAGTTCGTTTTATTTCATTTTCAGCAAGACAAAATTGCAGATGCAGTTTCTTTTTTTGCTAAGGAAAGGCAATCGTGGCTTTCAAGGTATGTCTAGTTTCAATCAATCAAGCCCGAAAACATATATTTTTACACATCAAACAATTTACACCCGTGAAGTGATTGCATTGTGCAGGAATCTAGTGAAAGCTGTTATATTTGGCATTTTGTTTCTTTTGGACTTTTTTAATTCAGATAATCGTACTGGAGTTTACATGATTTCCGCAGACTTTTGTGCATCGTTACATTTGACGTATACCGTGATTTTGTTACGCTGCTGTTCCTGTTTTGTGACTATAATGCTATGCGCATTGTGATTGGCTCTTAAAACGCTGATAATATACGTAGCATAAATCGTTTGATAGCCAGTAGTTAACTCGGCTTACTTTTTTGTTTTCTTATGAGTGTCTGATGATAAATCATTTATTGAAATGACGTATTGCTTTGTAGGCCTGATCTACTTGTGCGAGCTGCAAGGCATTACGAAGGCGCTTTTCAGGTGCAAGTCAGGAAAGCTGTTGGCACGGCAAGACAGGTTCGTTTCAATTGACAGCTATTTCTCTGAGCAAATTTTGGTTTACTCAAGGAAGTTCTGTAAAAATAGGTAGTACCCCGATTATATTCTCTGTACTGTATTCTCTTCTTTGTTTTCTAGTTTATTCAGTTAAAGTCATGTCAGCCTGTTCCCATCGGAAAAAGCGTCATCGCAGAGGCTCCAGGTAATCTAAAACGGGCCTACAAGTTAATTATATCGTTTTAGTCGATTTTCTTTTCAGTCCCCTCTTTGACCAACGATTTGTTTTCAATTTCTTAGCGAGGGTTGATATTGCTGGAACTTGGAGTGACACGCCACCAATTTGCTATGAGCATGGAGGCTCAGTCATTACTGCTGGTGTGAAAATAGACTCAAAGGTAAACCTTTCTTTCGAGATATTATTCCTCCTCTTCCCTTCTTACGTTGCCACTTATGACCTGTTAGCTCTCAAATCTTCTCTGCATCAATCAAATACCCTTACATATCAATCATAAGTTTTAAGATTTTGTAGCCCCTCTCCCATCTTGATATCTCTTCTCTTAAAGAACATACGCACAAGCTTTCAAAGGAGTTGTTGGACCCAAAATTGTAGGCGGTCAGCCACCAATTCAAATGAATTTACAGCTCATTGTTGAATAATATTAGTCATTTATTTAATAAAATTCTCCTTTTGTTTATTCAGAAACCTATCGGATGCAGAGTAAAACGACTCGCCGAGTAAGACAGCCAATTTTTTATCTTTTTTATTCATCCTTTTTTGTAATTTATCAAATCAACTTATTTCTTGAATTATTCATGAAATTAAGATCGTATCTCTTTTCTGAGCTTGATTATAATTTGGAACTGTAATTAATAATAATAATAATAAAACATTTCTTTATACATTTCTAAATGTACTTTTTTCAATCATGGCTCTTTTAATATTAAAGAAGAAACAAATCACAATAAACCTAAAATTGAATTAATTACAATTCGAGATTATATTAAGTTACAATAATAAATATTGTCTAGGTTTTCAAGAAATTATCGTCCATCATTACATGTGTCTTACAATAAAAAGTGGTTTTTCAGCTTCGATTTAAAACTGAAATAGACTCTAGGGAGCACATGTCTCTAGGAAGTTCATTAAAACAATACGATTCTGAAAATAAAGAGACTTTTTCGCAGCTTCTGTTTTTACCGACAGCAGTCTAGGTAGTGATTTACTGCTTCTTGTATTATATCAATGATCTATAAAACCGTTGCTGTTGGCAGTGGCGGACACTTGGGGACAGCGAGGGGGGGGGGCGACGGCCCCCCAATACTTTAGAGGACAATGGTCTTTTGTTCGAAAACAATGGGAAATGTTAGGTCATCTTATTAAAACAATGGGCTTGCTCCCCAATATTTGACCAAGTGTTCGCCCCTGGCTGTTGGAGCCAGGTTGGTTGTATCCCTGATACGTCTATAGCCACTGTCCAGTTAATAAAGATTTAACTGTACGGTGCTTAATCTCGCATAAACAGAACTGTGCACCCCGTGGTTCTCCGATGGTCTCATGAAGCTCCGAGAAGCATCTTAGAACTCCTGTTAAGATCCTCCCAAGAATCATCAATCTAAAAACAAATTCCTTTTCAATCTTTTATACTTTATGCAGTAATGTGCTCCAGAATCACTGAGGCAATCAATGTGCCACTTTCTTTTTCCTGGAAAATTTTAACTGTTGCAGGAAACAGTTGTTCAACGTACAGTGCCCGATGCTGTATAGACAGAGTCACACACGCATTTGTTTTCTGATGATCTCCTGAAGCGTGAAACTCGTAGTAGCATAGCATCTTAGAATTTGCCTTCCAAAGCATACTATATTTTCTTTGTGCAGAGATGTGCTTCAGAATCAATGAGACAATCAATTTGTTACCTTATTATCTCTGCCACATTATATTGTGCTAAGTATTCCATGCTTTTAGTTTTTCCTTGTTAAATCATAGTTGGCAGGGCTATCATAGTATATTTTCTGTGTATTTTAGGCCATACATTGTCCTTGTGCTTGGCAAAGGGGATAGCAATCTTCGTCTAGAATGTCGGGAATTAGAGGAAATGGCTAATTACAGACAGGTTAACTCACCGGGTATGTTTATTTTTCAAGCAATGACCTCTATGATTTGGATAGCTGCAAAAGAAACGGGGGTTTCTTGTTGATATTTGGATACGGGAAGGTATACCAACTGCTTCTTCCACCAGGCCATGTTGAAATGTTCTGCTTTACCTTTTTGAGAACAATCTAGAGGGTGATGTTTTAAAGGGTGTCCATTTCAGTGTTTTTCACATCTTGTTCTTTTCTGCTCCGAGAGAGAAGCAGTTGGCCCAATCTTGTCATTTTTAACGCTACTACAAGTTAGACAAAACTCCATATATTTAAAGTCTTCAAGCATACAGCTCGTAATAAACTCTCCTTTTTTACTTCGAGTAGCATAGACAATTAATGTTTCTGTAAATATTTTAGGTACCTTGTTGAAGGCTGCATTTTTCTGTGCTGGAATACTTACACACAACTCAAATAGTTCTTTAGAAAGTCATCTTAAAGAAAATTATGGCGGTGGGTTTGAGCTACAGACTTGGTCCGATTTGCCTCATGGGTCTGGTCTCGGAACAAGCAGTATTCTAGCTGGTACTATTATGGCTGCATTATGGCGAAGCATTGGGAAAGAACCGGATGTTGATTCAGTCATTCATGCGGTAAGCCAGTTTTCACGACAACCTAGCTTGCCATGTGTTCCAATGTTCGGACACGTATATACCGCCTACCATATTTCCATTGCAAAGAAGCAGATTTGGCAAGCTGTAACATTTTATGTAGCAATTTGTCTAGGCCGTTTAAATAATGACTCAAGTTGACGCAAAACCCACAGGTGATGAGATTCTGAAAGGCTCGGAGAAGTTTTCTTTTCCAATAAGATAATATCCAATAAGAATGTAAAAAATTTTTTGTTGGTACAGAGTTAGTAATTGGCTTTGAAAAAAGCAATGATTAGAAACATGCAAAAGCTTTGCAGCTGATACTCTTTGAGAGTATAAGTTATGAAAATAATGATGGAATCTCAAAGTTAGGAGATAAATGTATACCAAGTTGTAGGTCGCAATTGGATTCCAAGGGTGAAAACGGACTCCTTTCGTGCATACATTGAAATCTTTGCTTTACTCAAAGCCATATATGAAATGTAATTATATGTTTCGATGAAAATATTGAGTCGAAAACCGCACTGTTTTTAGGTGCTGGACCTGGAACAATTAATGACGACCGGCGGAGGATGGCAGGACAACGTTGGTGGACTTGCGCCTGGAATCAAAGAAGGAAGTTCCAAACGAGGCTTGCCTCTCAAAGTGACAGCCACCCCTCTCAGTATGCCGCAAGGCTTCCTAGAGCATTTTGAAAAGCACCTTATATTGATATTTTCGGGGAAAACCAGATTAGCTAGAAATATGCTTCAGGTATGTCTCATTACTTTTTTATTCATTGCTTTTCATAAACTATTGTTAAATGGCTATGTTTTGTGAGAGGTCCAAGAGTCTTTACTGTCATGGATAAGAATAGACGCTTGATAACTGTGCTTTCCTTCGCACTGCAAGGACTAAAACTTTATGTTCTACTTGATAATAATTGTTGTTACTCAAATGCTGACGTACTAAGACAATATATTTTGATAGAACAAATTAGAATCATATGATATAGTTCTTGGCTCGAATCCCACCTAGACTAGAATGCTACGTAAGATTCGATAAATGTGAATGTGAATCGATAAACTGCCCAACATCGCCGGACCTTATTATTCGCGATGCTCCTCAAGGAAGTGTTCTTGGTCCATTTCTCTTTTTGCTGCACATCACTGGCTATTCGACATTTGCAGAACACGATTGCAGGTTAATGCCTATAGAAGAGGTCTCTTGATACAAACGTATGTGGATTCATCAGTGGGCGTGGTGAAGAAGTAATTGTTTCATGAGAACTTTAGAGGTTCTGATTTGTGTATGTCTTCATTTCAGGATGTCTTGCGAAACTGGAATGCACGTTTCCCTGCAATAGTGAATACGGCTGACCAGCTAGTTGAAAATGCTAAAAATTGTATTCAGGCCTTTGAGAAAGGTATTGTATAAAGGGATTGATTATTTTTATATGAAGCAAATGTTAGATTTGAATTTAGAATCTATTAGATTGCAACTCAACATTTTGTCAGCATAAAACACAAGACCTAATAAAAGAGGCCATCGAGGAGTGATTTATATTCAATGACTGACTGAGAAATGTTTGACGGGGCAGTTTTTGGACCTGTTTCGAATGCTTTGAGATTTCGTGCTTGTTATCCGCTACATATAAATTATTCATAAAATACTAATTTTTTTGTTCAACAATTTGCTTAGTTTCTGAAATTTATTATAAGCTCTGCTTCATTTCGAGAGCAATTCTTGAAATCAACTAATTATCATCATCATAAGAATTCTCTTTATTTTGATCTTTACGATACTCATTATCTTTGTTTTTCTCTGATTCAGGCGATTTAGAAGGTATTGGTGAAACAATGAATGTTTGCTGGAGACATAAAAAGTTGATGGCCCATGGATGTGAGCCGAAAATTTGCAAAATCATTATGGATGCAATCAGCCCGCTGGCATACGGTAAACCCTTGTTTGTTTTGCATAAGAAATTTATTACCTTTAGTGCCCAAGAAAAAAGTCAGATCTTGCCTATTTCCAAAAAGCTGAAAATAACAGAGAGGCTACACTTGCACTCTATTTTGTTTTTTTCATGGGAAAACTAGAAGATCTGGTTATTGTCTATCTGTTATATTCCTGAAACCTCCCCTCCATGTTGAAAATTTGCAGTTCTGTACTGTCAAACACGAATGAGCTAGACTTGGCGTAAATATTCTAATTTTTTTCTTCAAGTTTCAAGATCCTATCAACATTTACATGTATTCAAAAAATTGCATTAATCCTTTCACTGTTCCTTGCTGCCTTCATTTAAAGCGAAGATTTGGAATTTTCCCTCTATAATGTTTCCAATTTTTAGGTCAATGTCTTGCTGGTGCAGGAGGAGGTGGCTTTCTTTACGTCATAACCAAGAACGCTAATGCTGCGAAGGAGTTATCATCGAAATTAGCTGAATTAGGGGTAAGCTGGCGAATTTCAATATTGTCCGTAAAACATTTCACCGTATCAATTATACAGAAAGTTTTAGTTGCCAACTTTTTGAAGGTCTACGCAAACGACTTGCATAAATAAATGACGTCCTTTCTTTCAAGTTGACTCCTACGCTTAAAACCACACTGCAATGTTTATAATCATCGATGTTAAAAGGGGAGATAATTGCGTTCAAAACAGTTAGACAGCGATAGCCATTACTTATTAGGCCTATTAAAGGCATCAGCAGAGGTTTCATAGGTTTACCTCGGAATGATTGACTAATGTTGATTCTCTCCCGATTCTCAATTGGCTGTTATTTTCAAATATAACCAATCAGATAGCCGAATACCATCACATTCAATGTGAAATCTGAGGAGATTCTGTAGCTATTGCAGCTTAGGAGATCGTTTCCGTTCACGTAGCAAAATGCATTCAAGTTTCAAAAATCAACTGGATTGTTTTATAATCAGGTCTTCTTTTACTTTTAGGATATTGGGAGAAAGACTAGTGTTCATTCTGTGGAAATAGACAAACAAGGACTCACAGTTAAAGTTGAAGATAATTAGAATTTAGTTTTGCAAATAATTGCCAATATGTTTCAATAAGTAGATCCTTCTGTTGACATTTAAAGGCTATTGCGCAACCGGCATGCTTTGCGACTATATTTTCATAACCGGCCTAATATAGTACTGCATGAAAATAAAAAACACAATCAATTTCTCAGGACAGGTGTCGCTAAGCATGCCGGTTGCGCAAAGGCCTTTAACCAGGATTTTCATTTTGGTTTTCTTTTTTCTTTTGATGGACAACCCACTTATTAGATGTGATATTTTCTTCTGACGCTTGGGTATAACTGATATTGTAAATTGTATTGATTTGATGTGAATCTCTAAAAGGGGTTTATTTTATTGAAGTATTATCCTAGAATCGTTAATAGATAAAATATGTCCAGCTATTTGTCTTCTCTTGGTATTGTTGATCTTTTATTAGAATACTTCTTTCTGGAATTCAGTCATAGCAAACAAGCTATTTGCTTGGCTTTTTCAGATAGCTACTTTATTTTTTCTAACGGGCTTAAATGTAGAATTATGTAAAGTCCAAGACAACGCGTTCAGGTTGTGCATTTAAAGAATTAAAAATTTTTCTGTTTAGTCAAAATCTCCATCCCTTGTGAAAACTCTAAGCAGCAAGTTCCCTTTTAAATGATAACTTCGAAATGATTTCAATTTCCAAATGACGGACAAATTGGACATGTTATTTTGTTGCTTAAAATCCTTTTGCTGCTCTTCATTTCCACCTTGCAAGACACATAAAACATAAATGCTTTCAAAGATCTACTTTGTAGTGAATGACATTTTTTAAAGGAGAGAATGGAGATGCTTGAATGCGACATTAGAAAATGGTTTTGGTGATTTAAGACTTTTGTCAACCAGTCATTATGACTTCTGGTTCAGTTAAATTCTCATTTTGGAATTCCACTGTATGCAATTTACTAAAAAGAAGTATACTGTTAAGTTATGAGAGAATATTTGGAAAAAGTCGATAATATGTCGATATAGAAAATCAATGAACTTTAAAGATACAGAACAAGAGACAAAATGACTTGCACAGGGCGTTTAAAAGATGAACCCTCTTAGTAGTTTTAAACTATTTGAGGAGTGGTAAAATGGTACCCTCTGGTAAACTTAGAAACCTATATCATATTTGCTATGTTAAACGAAAAATTGGATTGTCACAGCCATGCCATGTTTTGAATCAACTGCGGGAAAAACGGTCAAAATTTCGTTGACAATCATCACATTTAAGTAACTATTTAGTTTTTGTCGAAAGCTTCTATCAGAATTAAAAAATTAATTTGCTAGTTTGCCGGGTACCCCAATTGATAAACAGATGTCAATGTAATAAATAAATTATGAAAATTTGCAGGAGAAATGTTATCAACACGGTAATGTACAAAATTTGGCAATTTTGAATGAATAAAATCATGCAGCTTCCAAATCTAATTCATGAAAGAGAGGAGGTAGCAAATATGGACAGAGATGTAAAGGTTGTTGCGAGGGAGGAATTGAGCGCGCACGTTTGTATTTTTGAAGTGGGCCTAGGCCAAAAGTAGGGAAATGGCGGGGGAAGTGAAAAACTACCTATATTCATGGTGTGGAAAACAGAAAAAAGGGCAGCCAGTTTACGAAGCTATTCCGAATGGACCTCAAAGGTTTAATTACAAGGTATGCTTTGTGAATATGGTCAATTTTGAATTGTTTATGTATCACTATGATTTTCTGCAATTCAACTTAGGCCCATATCAAAAGGTTCACCAATGCAATGAAGCTTATGGTTATGAATTACTTCAAACAAAAAAGTAGCAATCATAAAAGGGTAGTTTAAAAAAAAAGGAAAGAAAAAAAAGGCCTCTTTAATTTATCATCCTTCTGCTATATCAATGCCAGGACAACTTTCCTATGGGGAAAACCCAATTGTGTATCCTCAGCATAACCCAGTCTGCAGAGTATTATGGCATGTGCACACCTGAGATATTTTTGTGCAAAACTTGTTGCACGCCAGGTATCTTTGGGTGTGGCAACTAAGACGGGCGTGGCTGGGTGTGGTCCCATAAAAAATGTCAGGTGATAAAAACAACCATAGTTGTGTATGAACAATTTGAGATATCATGAATCTTACTTGACAAATACACACAAAAAAACTTGCTCTATCTTCAACAGTGTACTTCACACACATTTTTACGGTGAAATGCAAATTTACAAATTTCAACCAAAACAGGGGAAAATAGTCGGTGCATACCAGCACACCAAATAATTTTTGGTGGTGCACACTGGCATGCCAGGCTTTTTGCTCGTGCACACCGGAGATCTCGTCCAAAAGTGCCATACTCTGCAGACCGGAGCATAACTAATTTGCCCCAGTTTGAGAGAATTGCAATTCTTGACAAGATCTTTTGCGTTGAACAGAAAATAATCCTATATCAATATGCATGCATGTAAATGTTTAGAAATAGTGTGCAATCTTGTGTGTGCACATGCCAATATCTACAGACTTTTCATTTTTGTGCAATATCAAGTGAAAATGCGAGCATGTTTGTAGACATGTAGACAGTGGCGGATTTAAGGGAGGGGGTAACTAGGGGCAGTTTATTCTGAAAAGGTATCTGAAATTGTTGTATACAGTGTACTCTCGTAGCCAAAATTTTTCAGCGCCCCCACTACCAACTGCCCCTACTTCAATTTTGCTCTGGATCTGCCCCTGCATGTAGAAATAGTGTACAATCATTGGTGTGCTCATACCTTATGCTGAAGTATTTTTTGCCAATTGTGCATGAAAGGAGTCACTGCACTGTTCTTTAGGAATGGAACCTGTTTACTAAGCTGAAAAGAGGGTTATTTTACCTCCCACTCTTGAACCTGTAACATGTTCTGTTCCCTTTGTATATAGTAATCTTTCTTTAATGCATGATTTCTTTGCATCTGCAGCTTACCATCCAGGGGATTGATTTTGTTGCACAAGGCGGTGCAACCAACAAAAAGGAAGCAGAGGCAGCAGCTGCAAGAGAATTTCTTAACTACCTTGTTGACAATGGACATCTGGCAGCTAATTCAGTTCCACCAAATCTTCTGGTAAGGGTCCTTCTAGCCAATCTTGTTTGTCTCTTAATGTTGACCAGAATAATTCACTTTATACACATGAAATCAATCTTTTTTCTTTGCATATTAAATTTAAAGGTGAAATAGACAACTGTATCATTTTTATGGAGAGTTTTGCAAATTTCCATAAAAGAAGTAATTTTTTTAAAAATTCTCAGTCATCATGTGATTTCCTTTTTTCGCTGCTCTCAAAGGTTTATATGTGCTCTTATCTAAATTCCCAACTTTATTCTTCTTTTTCACACATTAATAAACATATCTAGAAATTTACAGTTGTTTTCTGCCAATAAGAGAATTTGTTAACAAAATTTTCAAATTTTTTGTACTCTATTTCAACTATACTCCTTCCCAATTTTCTCCATTGATTGATGTAAAGGTTATTTGAGAGTAAAGCATTGCTTAAATCATTTAGATTTATATATTCTTGTTTTCAATAAATCAGTCAGGCCAGCGATTTAGTGTTGGAGTGAACCCACAGCCACTTCCAAATTCAGTACCTACACCTATGTCAGCTACCTCTCAAAGTCCAGCTGCAGCCCCATCTGCTGTTGAAAATCAGATCCAAAGACCAGCTCCCCCTGCAAACTTTCAGCAACCAGGTTAGTAGGACTGACCATGTCTTTGTTAACTATTCTTTGAAAAGCAAGAGGCAGCAGTGTTTCTTTTTATTTTTCAGGCCAATACAAACAAGATCAATATTTGTTTGAAACAGTTAGCAATAAACTATATATTTGACTAGATGGTAACATTGGCTCTTGTTGAGATCCTGATTTGGTTGGATCGAATAACATAGATATTTTCCAATTATCTTAAATATTTTCAAACTTGAGACCCTCTTCACAAAGATTTGTTATCCTTCTCATAAGAAGCCAGTCAAATCTTGCATTCTAGTAATGTTTCTGAAAATGTTTATATTTGAATAAATATTTTGTGTTTTTCAGCGATGTCATCATATGGAAATGAACAAAGAGATTACCATTATAATATGTATGATAGGAAAAGAAGATTAGAGGATCTTGATGTGAGTTTTTAGGTTTGGCAAAGTGTTTTTGTTATCAACCCATGCCTAATAATCTATTTTTCTTTTGCATTAACCAGTAAACTTCTTCAGTACAAACGTTTTCAGATTAGCTACGTTCTTTTTGTATGTCATAAAATCCCAACCACTTTTGGCCATTTAAGAATATTTTTACTCTGCTAGCAATACATATACATTGGTATCTGTTAGAACATACTATGCATCTGATTTTGATATTTTTGAGCAAACAGATATGGTTTATTGGTGGAAATTTGTTTATTGAGAGATTGCTCTTACAAGAAAAACTAACTGAGTGCTAGACCACTCACATAGGATTTTTCTTATGAAAAGGGCTGTCAATCATGCCAAGGAAATGGGCTGTCACTCATGCTTGGCTATACCATTGCATGTTTAGACAATCTCTGCTTTGGAAAGGAATGTTTTGTCTCCTACTAGTTTTATGCAGCTTACATATATAACCTGTGGTATTTATATATGCTATTATGGTTTTCAACAATGGGAAATATTTTCATTCTGCACTATTCCTACAAAGTTGTATCTCTATTCTAATGCAGTACAAAGGTGTAAATTGGCCAAAAATAGATTTAACAACAAGAAAGGTATCTGTAAATCCAAAAGTAACCAAATCTGTTGGATTTAATTGTTAATTGATTACAGTTGTTTTGGCCTGGTTTATTTGAATAGAAAAATAGCTAAATAGCAGTGTTTTGAGGGAGAAGGGCTTCAGTAAAGTTGCTTGGTGTAACTATAGATCACAGACTTAATTTTGACATTCACATATCCGTACCTTGTAAAAAGCCAGCAACCCAGCTAAATGTGCTCAAAAGACTTAAATCTTTTATTTGGCTTTGATGAGAAAAAGGTATTGGTCCAAAGCTTTGTTTTCTCTAACTTTAACTACTGCCCTTTAGTGTAGTTCTTCTCCTCAGCAAGATCTATGGAGAAGATCTGAAAAATACAGGAACGAGCCCTACGATTCCTTTACGATGACCACGATTCATCTTATAGAGATCTGCTTTGCAAATCACAAAAATGCACAACGCATGTAAATCGGCAAAGGAACCTCTGTATTGAAATTTTCAAAACTGTAAAAAGGTTAAATCCTGAATTCATGCAAAATATTTTCGAACAAAGAACCTCTGATCGATCCTCACATCGTCCACAAGACTTGCAGCACTACAGGCCCAACCAAACAACTTTCGGTACAAACAGCCTCAGGCCCCTTGGACCACAAATTTGGAATGGCTTACCAAAGGAAATAAAATCTGCAGAAAATCTGATCCAATTCAAAAGATTCATTAAAAACTGGGACAGGGCAACCTGTACATGCACTGTATGCAAAACTTAATGATTTTATTGTAAATTTGTATTTAAAAACTATTAAAAATTGTTAATTTAATTGGCATATTTTGTAAATAATCGAATTAGACAAGTTACGGTTGTGTAGCTTAAAATTATATATCTTCGATTTAAAATAAGATTATAAACAAACACAACCATCAAATAGATATTTGTGACATCATTACTTTCTTGCAACTCTCTAACCATTACTTGAATTATTCTCATTTATAGGCAGAAAGCGTTGATACCAATTCTCATCTCCATGGCAACTGGACATTGTCAAATGCAAAGGCTCGGCTGCATCAGTTCCTTCAATCAAGGCGATTGTCTGCGGATTTCAAATACTTTTCTGAAGGCCCTGATCATGCAAGGTCACTTTCTTATTTTTATCTGACTTTCAATGTGATTAATGTTCCCTTTTGACTTTTGACATTTTCAGATTTTGTTATTTCCTTTTGACTTTTGACTTTTTCAGATTTTGTTATTTCCTTTTGACTTTTGATATTTTTGAATTTCAGGTAACATTTTGATCATTATTCACTGTCCAAATTTCTGGTTAATTTTCTATGCAAATTGACATTGATAGCAAGATTATGACCTCAATATTATGCCTAGTTTTTTGTGCCACATTATTAATATCCTAAAATAGCATAGTTATTGAACTGCTATAATAAGGGGGGGGGGGGTGAGCTCACTATGTACTGAAAATGTGATTCTGTAAAGAATGTATCCAGTATGCTTAATGCCCAAGATGCTGTCACTCAGCTCAACAATTAACCAATCTAAAACCAGCTTTGAAAAAAAGCTTTTTAGGGCTCTGAACCCATTGAATTTTGCTTATATCCCTTATGCTTAAACAGTTAATGTTTTACTTCAAGGGTAGGATAATCTTTTTTCCTCTTATTGCAGATTTTTTACTGCTGAATTGCAAGTTTTTGTTAAAGAATTTAGAAGAAGTAAGTGAAGAATTCAGGATGTTTCCAGATATGATAGTTTCCACGAGATAATGTCAGCAAAATAAATCTCTAAAATAGTGACTGGAAGACATTATCATTGAACATATTTTACCATAATTTACCAATTTATAATTTTACCATTATTATAATTTACCATAATCTGTCTAGAACAACCAGCTAAAGCTTTTTGGGCAAGATCAGCATTTGGACTGACGCAAATTATCTGCTCTGAAGTGATTATTCTGTTCCTGTAAGACCTTATGCTTTTGTCTTCACAATGAACACAATTTGATGAAACTAAGCAAGCTATTAATGCTGGATTTGATTAATTTTATGAATGTGGTGCTCATCAAGTTGAAATTGTTATGGTAGAACAGCAATATAATTATTTTGCAAGTTCGTTAAAGAATAAAGCTTTTCCAGCTCGACAAGCTTTACTTTCCTTGATTGAGAACTAACATGCATCCTCCAAATCCTCATTAATATTTAAGCGACTTTATATCAATTCACATTTATACGACGTTAGATATACTTTAATTCAAAGACCTGTCCTCTACTTTTTTTTATTTGTTGGTCCGTGATCTTCCAGAAAATCAACTGCTTAAAGAGATGTAAAATTAATCTAATGTAATAATAAGCACCATTTTCAAGCCCCAGCAGCTTCTTTAGGCCATATTTAGTATCATTTTGGCTTTCAATTATGCCGAGTATTTCAAATGCAGGATGGTCCGCTAATTTGTATGATTATGGATTGATGTTTGCATGCTTTTATAAATTATACATTGTTTTATAATGACAGCATTGACTGCTCGTGAATCTGGTTCAAATAAGAAAATGGCTGCACAGTCCTGTTCTTTGAGCCTCGTTCGTCAGCTTTTTCACATGGGTGCAATAGAAGCCGCTACACCAGGACAAGTCCAACCGAAAAGGCAAAAGACAGATGAGGTAGGAGGGCTTCCAAATTTCATAAGTCAGTAGTTTTTCTTTCTTAGTGTGGCGGTTTTCATCGATTTGGTATTAAAGTTGTTTTTAATCACTTCTTTAATCTTGGATGCATAGGATTAGTCTAATACTTCCACGAATAAATCAAAATCCTTTGTGAAGATGACAAGCAGTGTGTCCATGTATATCGCAGTTGCCTGCACGTTGGTTAAAACTATTGATGAAATTCTGATACGAATCGAGATGTCTTCTGTGATTCGATTGGTTTAGAGCAAGCTGCTTGTTCGCTGATTGGTTTAGAGCTAAATACACTCCCTCGAAGCATGCCACCTATACGGGGAAACTATCGTCAACGCTGGCAAAAATATATGAAATCTCTTGAAACTTATAGCGAGCAATCTGAGTTGACATAAATCCGCTAAAAGTGGACAAAGGATAATTAAGTCGACTATAAAGCTGCCAAAATAACCCATTAGTCCATTAAACTCGATCTATCTAGCTTTTGTTGGAAATTTCATCTTGTCGCCACATGCAGAAATTCTTTTAGGGCCGTTTTTCTGAAAGGAGACTTTTTACTTGAAAGCATGTTTCGGATTTTTACTAAAGTCTTGCTCCCAAAAATTTTGCTAAAGAGGCTCAAGGTGTCTCGTGTCCGAATAAAGCTGTAGTGGTCTTAAAGGATCAAGAAAGTCTGCAATGCTTGATAATTTGGTTTTAAGCACTCAAACTTTCGCAGACGCATTCAAAATTATATTATGGACAATTTCAAATATGACAAAACTATTAAATCTATATAAGAGAGGATTTTAAGTTCATTTCATAGAAGGGGATTGTCAGTGGTCGCCAAAAATAAACACACTTAGCAATAAAGGACAAATGAGGGACGAAGTCGATCTATTTTGAAACAGCGGAGACCCTCGCCCTTTGCTAGTATTTAAAAAACAGCTAATATTGCTCAATTTAGCAGCTTAATATACGAACAATTTTTCGTGATACAGAACTTGAAAATTGCTTTGAAAAAAGCAAACGTTTCACAACATACTACTGTATTATGTTGCGAAATGTTTGCTTTTTTCAAAGCCATTTTCATGCTTAACATACGCTCTATCTGCCCGTTTTCCTGTTCCTTAGATTCCACCCTATAATGTTCAGCTGAATCCGGAAATAGCTTTTCAACTAGACAAGGTCGTTGCAGAGCTTGGCATTCAACCTATACCCAAGGTATGTTTACATCTCTATCCGTATTCATTCTGAATGGAACCATTGGGTGAGTAAAACTCCGCTTAGACTACCTATAGAAGACTCGTAATGCCATTTTACAAGTGAGACATATCATGGCACTTATCATCTCAGCAATCCTACTTAACTTATTTTTTTCATTACTGTATATATCTTGTCTTAGTCTCAATAGTGGTATTGAAATTTTTTACAGTCGACGACTCGTCGTTGTAGCCTGTATGTTTCAGGGTATCTTGCAGTATCGAAAAATTGTAAAATTCTTAAAATTATGAAACACTACATACTAGAAAAAGAGGATTTCAGATATGTATGTTATCAGGTTCACTGGTCTCCTGTGGGGTGCTACTGCCGTATAGACAGCTTTACACATGTTGTTATTCGATTCTATGTAATGCTTTATTGTTACTAAGAATACAAAGTACGACAAAAACAACATACTTGGATAAATATAGCAAAAATAGTTGAATTCGGGGCTGCCAACAATGTCGGATGTGGGGAACAACGTTGCAGAAAATTTCCAAAGTTGGCAAGAAATGTTTTCTTTCGGGATAGATTTTATTATAAATTTGTACAAACATTTTACCCTTTACGAGGTTAATAAATTAAAATTCTTTTGCATTGAGATACCAATCGGTATCGTATTCCAAAGCATGAATCCGTATTTCAGTCTGTATTGCAACCAGTCTTTGCTGATGCAAAAGATAAACTCATCGGTTATCATCTATTTGAAATGAGCTTAATTTGCATATTTTTCATCTTTGTTTCATATGTGTTTTGCTTGAAACTTTTCGCATAAATACCTGGGAATCTGACACTCAATATTCCGCCACAGCAGTTTCTTTTGAAGTCAACAACCAGTGCTGTGTTTGATGAATTCAAGTTGCTGTATTTGTTTATATACCCAGAACACGGCCACATCTGTCACCTTTAAACTTAGAGAAACAATCTAGACAGCCACTACTATAATACCATTGGTCCTGCAGCAAAAGTACTTCTACCTATTTCTTACAAAAAATTTATCGTTATCTTTTGAGTTATAAAAATAATAGCTTTGCCTAAAGGAAGGGTGGTGAGGGTGGGGTTGGGAGTAGGGGGTGGTGGGGTGGTTGGTGTAAAGGCTGAAAGAATTTTGCAAGGTAGGTGTTTTATCTGTCCATTTCCACTACTTCGTGCTCCTATGACCGCCGTATTGATGCTGATTTTGCCATGAATACGATAAATTTCAAATTGATATGATTATGTATTAAGGTGGATGTATACCAGATTTTTAGATCAAAAATAATTTTTTACATTTTTTGACATTTTAACATTATTTAAAAGATTCAAGCTTTGCGAATTCATTGCATATAAGGATAATTCAAAACTAACTGTTGAAACGGCATAAATTGCTTATTTGTTGCATCACTCCTCCTTGACAACCATTTTTTTGGTTGCTATGGAGAAAAGTCTTTGCTATTAGCCCCCTTCCCCCCGCAAAGTCTAACATTTTAGCAGCTTTACTTTTTTTGATTGAGTTGCATTTATTTTGTGAGCCAATAGTGATTTACATAGAGTAGTATAGGTAAGGGTATGGTTTAAAGGTTTAAAGTGAACATTGAACGGCAGTGCAACTGAATTTTCGAGAAAGAATCTTTGACATCAATAATTTTCAAACGTAGTCATTCTTGGCTTAATAATGCCAGGAAATAAGCAGAGAACTAGGTACAGAAGAAAGAGGACTGGCGTTTTTACTGGTAAAAGGACGCAAGATGTTTTATCCGAGGAAATTGGTGGCCATGTTGCATTAGGCCATACGACACCTTCCAATGCAGCTCTAGCCCATTCACCACCAAAGAAAAACAGATCCGAAGAAAAAATAAATGAGAACTGTCCTTTGATTATTAAACAAAACGAGGCAGTGGTAACCAGAAGAAAAGCACTGGACCTTGGTATGCATTCTCAAGGAAAAACAACCGTACAAAGTTATGGAAACCATGTCGTATCCAGTTCTTGTTTAGAGGAAGGATTTTTATCAGCTGTTGTTTGTGCCAGCTGTCGAAGCCCGAAAGGGAAACTCGTTTTAATGCAAGATAACAGCAAAAGAATTGGGTTGCATGAAACTTTTTCTTTAAAATGTAGCAACTGCAATGAAGAATCTACATTTGAAACTGGAAACAGGGTACACAATGGGCGTACCGAAGTAAATGTGCGTTTCATTCAGGCCGGTTTGCTAACAGGGATTGGTCTGACGGGCCTGCAGAAGTTTTGCAGTACTCTGGATTTACCATCACCAGTTTCTTCTAAGGCTTATAATGCAACAGTCAAAGAAATTCAGATGTCTGTTGACAAAGAATGTCAAAAATCTCTAGAAAGTGCTTCATTAAAGTTAAAGAAATTAATGAAAGCTTCTGACCCAAACTGTTCTGGTCTCAATGTTAAAGAAGACATTTTTCCTGTCACAGTGTCAGTTGATGGTACATGGCAGAAAAGATATGGTTTTTCTTCTCTACTTGGTGTGTTATTTGTCATCTCCATGGATACTGGAGAAGTCCTAGACTATGAGGTGAAATCCAAAGTCTGCTTTCAATGTCGTTCTAGAAATTTGTGGCCTAGAGACTCCAAAAAGTATTTAGATTGGTACAAAAGTCATAAACCTTTCTGCAGTATAAATCATACACAGTCTGCTGAGGCAATGGAGAAAGAGGCAGCTGTGGACATATTTAGAAGGTCCATCTCCAAACTGGGTTTGAAATACACAACTTATGTTGGGGATGGTGACTCTTCTTCCTTTGGTGAAGTGTCAGATGCTATGTTCAAACAGTTTGGAGAAGAGTATCTTGTTTTAAAGGAAGATTGTGTTGGCCACATACAGAAGCGTATGGGTACAAACCTGCGCAAGTATAAAACACAAAAAAAAGGATCAAAACTTGCAGATGGCTCTTCAGTTGGTGGACGAGGGAGGCTCACAGATGCTGTAATTGATGGATTCCAGAATTATTATGGTAATGCCATTAGACAACATTCCCAAGATATGAATGCCATGCAAGATGCTGTTTGGGCCATCTTTTATCACAGTATTCTTGGCAAGAATGAGACCTTTGTGCAACAGCATAGGTTTTGTCCAAAGGGTCAAGACTCATGGTGTAAGTTCCAATGTGATTTGGCTACAAAGACAAACACTTATTCAGATAAAAAATGTCTGCCATCAGTTTTTAGGGAGGAGCTGAGACCAATTTTTTAGAGATTGAGCAGCAAAACACTACTGCAAAGATGCCTAAAAGGTTTTACCCAGAACCAAAATGAAGCCCTCAATAATACACTATGGGCCAAATGCCCAAAACGTGTTTTTGTTGGCAAAACAAAACTTGAGAATGCAGTTGGGGCAGCAGTTTTGTTATGGAACAGGGGAGCTGCTAGTATGGGTTCTGTCTTAGAAAGGGTTGGAGTGCAAGAATTGGGTTGGAATACAGCAGCTGGCTATAGATCAGAGAACAAGGCTCGGATTGAAAGCATGGCTGTTAAATGCAGCAGCAGTTATAGAAAAAGACGGAAGCAGCTTCGTCAGGAGAGGAAAAAAAGAAATGTCATTGGTGTTTCCTACATGTCAGGTGGTTTTGTTGTTGGCAAAACTGCAGAAACAAAAAGAAAATGTTCAACAAGTGTTACACCAAAAGAGTCTGACAAAGTCAACAAAGAGGGTGACATTATTAACATTTGTTTTGTTGACGAGTCGGATGTTATCGTAAAAATGCATGAGAAAAGAGGGAAGCAAAAGAAATTATATTCATCAAAATAAAGGTATAGACCCATTTTTAAGACAAGGACATATATATTTGAGTTGATTTTATCAGACTAACTAATATTGATAGTAGATAGATTCATTTGTTGAGCAAAAACAACTTTAACAGTCTCAGACCAAGGTACCTTTCATGTGGAAAACTTTAAATGTTTTTTTCTCAAAACATCATTTTCCGCATTCAAGAAAGGATATCTTATAAAAGGTATGTCAGAAAGTGATGGTTTTTGGAGAGTATATGTAATTTACCATAAGTACTGATATGAGCAGAGGAAATTTGAAAATTTTATGCTAGCACATTATTACAGCGAAAAAACACTTTTTTGTTGTTTCCATGGTAACAGTTGCTATGACAGCAATGTAATCTGCTCATATCAATCTTCTTCAGCAAAGAGTTATTTTGTACCAATACCAGCCTCTTTTGAATCCCAGAACTAGAGATATCTTTTCTCAAAGTTTTCCTATTGTTTTAGTTTCCATAGTGATAGCTACCATATTTGAATTTTCAGAAATTTTAGTTTTAGTTGGATTCCTTGAGAAAGATATGTAAATTGGAATTTTGTTCTTTATTCTCCTTTTCTACCTTGTTTTACAATGAAAAACTCAATTTCTTCAAGTGAGGTCTATGTTTAATATGGTGGTATACATCCACCTTAAGTGGTTGCCTCTCATGGCGAATGGTGATCCCAGTCGAAAAAAAACAGTGAAAAAGCCAGAAAACTGCGAAAATATAATGATGTCATCGCTTTTGGGATGCTCTAAAGTGTCGTCCTCTACAGCAAACCTTTTTATACCGCTATATCTTCTCATCTTGTTTATTAAAAAGAGTCTTCTTGACATCTTTGTGTCACACCCGTAGAATGATGGCACACGAGGATATTCCTGTAGAGAGTTAGTTGAAGCGATTTCTGGCTTTTTCAACTAAGACTGGAATGACCATCCGCTGGCAACATCATTTCACAACAAGTACCTCCCATTCCTGTAGGTACGTGCACTATACTAAGTTGGTTGATAGGCTCTTTATAACTGCATTCTATTTTTTCTCCTATCCTGAAATTTGAAAGCTGATGATGGGTGAATGTATTTTAATATTCAGGGACATTGTAATAGAGAATTCAATATGCAGTTTTCAGGTAAATTTGGCAGCAAAATATCAGAGGGACTCAAGTTTTATTCGGGTCTTCTGTCAAAGAGAGAAATTTGGAGAGATGTATTCACCACTGATCTATAAGAAAATATTTTTTCCTTTAAATCCATATAAGAAAAAATTAAAGGTTTTCACAGCTTGGAGCTGATATCTCTTTCTGTAGGCTGTTAGTACACCAATTCAATTCACTGCCTCCTTTTTAAATAACTGCAATTTTCTAAATTCTTGACTTCTGATTGGCATAAAAGGAATTAAATTTTAGTCTAAATATGAGGTTTTATGATGTGGTAGTAAGTTGTAAAAGGACATCAATTTAAAACATTTTTAGGAATTTGACCGTGGAAAGCAACGAAGGATAAAAGTTTCTGGAGGTGATTTTTGCGGTCCAATGTCCTGTAAGCTGTCAATCTTGACATCGTCGTAAAATATACACTACCAACGCAAACAATATGAAAATTATATCTGAACTAAAACCTTTGGTAGTTGATCCTGATCTGAGGCTAGAAAATCGTACAATGAAGTGTTTGGTAATTTTCAAAACGTGATCATAATTTGAATTAGTGTATTATTTTTTGGGTTGGTCTTTAAGCATAATAAATCACTGTTTATTAGCCAGCAGATGGAGAAAAGGTGTCATTGGTGCTACCACGTATCGTTGCGAAACACAAATGCTTGGAAGGTGGTACAACAGATGGAGTCATCAATTGGGGGCCCCCTGATTCAAACTGGAACCCGTGGATAAATCAACCAGTGCTGATCGAAGGCGCTGAAGAATACCAAGTAATTTCTTTTGTTTTAGGTGCTGTTTTGTATGGATGTTATCTTTGCTGCTTTTCGTAACGCCTGTGGTTTTTCCACTGTTAATAATGTCGTTGCTATTACAGCTGTTTCTGAATCATATGTCTAAACAAATGATGTTGACTCAATTCTCAATGTGTGTTCAGTAACGTTGCTTGGTAGATTTACTTCAAATTTTGAGACAAGCACAAGAACTCTCAGTATCTCAATCTACAGTGATAATCTGCTTACGGTCAAAACATTAGTAAAACAGAATTTTGTGTGCCTTTGATGGACAAAAGCTGCATATTTTACTTTTAATGAAAGGCCAATAACTAACGGCAATTCTGTCCATGAAAGCTGCCACTGATTGGTTGTCGAAGAAACATAATTCACGGTATTGAAAAGTAAATGTTTAATGACAAGAAGACAAAATTAATTCTGTTAGACGTTAACACACAAAGACCTGCCTTCGTTCGTTGTTGTTCTTTTTTACTATTGTTTGGCTATCGGCCATTTTAGGAATTGTGAAATGAGGCATTATGATACACAAACACATATTGTCCATCCCTCTCTTTCCTAGTGATCTGTATTCCTATATATTATACATTGTATATATCGTACTCCGCCTCATACATTTCATTAAAGACTTGTAAACATTAGTTTCCATACTCAGAAGGGGTTATAATTTTTGTTGCTTATTGTAAAGTGATTTTCTGGTTAATTCGAGTCTGTTTACGTTATATAATTCCCTGTGTTTCGCAAAGGTGCCGCCCCCCACGGGCAGGGAACTTAAGCAAGAGTTTGATGTTAAGTTCCAAGAAGATTCTTTCAATCAACTTCTGGAGAAACGGAAAAGCCTGCCTGTTTACAATTACAAAGAACCTATACTTGATGTAGTCAGGGCACACCAAGTGGTCATCATCAAGGGGGCAACTGGTTGTGGCAAAACGACTCAGATACCCCAGTATGTTTTGGATGAGTTCATCATGGGGGGAGATGGAACAAACTGCAATATTGTCGTAACTCAGGTGATATTTTGAAACCTGTTATGAGTTATATTTCGTAGATATCATTGTATATATCATTGTATTTATGAATATCCATGTTTGTTTACCCAGATAGCCAATTATTAGACAGCAGTGTCCCGCAAGTTAGAAGCAACTTTTTTTTATTTCTGGTCTGGTGCGATTCTTATAAAATGAGATATACACTTAAAAACAGGGAAATGTTTCTTATACGAAAAAACCTATTATACTATTGATCATCTACTCAGACACAAGCTCAATGATTATGATAAAAATACCATAATATTTTGAGTTGAGTTTGTAATTTTTCACTTTTAGGAAAAGCTACAATTATTCCAGACAGGTGCTTTTTGCTTTAGTTTGCATTCAAAATTCTTTTTCATTTGACCAGGCTCAGTTTGATTAAACTGGAAAGCTGGAAACAAACAGTTCTTATGTTCAATGACTGTAAACCCTCACTTATCCTTTTATTTAAATAACTGAAAAATAGTAAGTGTAGAATAATTAATGTTTTGTTCTGTTTTTCAAAGAATCAAGTTATATGACAATTTTGAATAAGAAACAAGCATTTTTTCAGACCTTCACCAGTTTCTTATTAAAGGGGCAATTTTTTTTGAAAATCAGGGTCTATGTTTCTTAAAATTGTGTTTCTTATATGCGGGACATTACTGTATGTCGACAAATTAACACCCGCTTAATTAGCATATAGCAATAAAAGTATTTAATTTAAGTATGTTTCAGGACTGCAAATTAGATATATTAATTTTAATGAATGTGTATGATCAACTAATCAGAGCGATTAAAACAAAACTGTATTTTCAAACAGAGAAAAGAAAGTTAGAAATAATAAGGTTTATGCAATATCTAAAAATAATATGCTTTAAGCTTAATTTTAGAATACTTTCCTCTTTATCAACAGTTGATTTCTTTGAAAATGACAAGTTAAAAACAGATCTTTCTGGATTTTGTTTAAATATTTTCCTTCTATCAAGCAGCAACAATAATCCCCTAAATTTTTTTAGTTATTAATTTTCCTATGATATAATTCCAATAAATATTTATTTAGGAAGTTTTTCGAAATTTGACTTGAGCATTTTCTTTTAGTTTCTGAGATCATGCGATCAAAGTTGTTTTTATCTTCAACCCAAGATATATGATTAGATTTTCAATTTTTATACATCAACGCCCATTTCTATGTTTCGTTATCAATCAGTTCCAAGGCGTCGTTTGTACAGTCTCCTATTTCTGAACCCTTCACGTTATCCGAACAATTTGAGAATTTCAAAAGGCTGCCATTCATCATAATAATCATAGTCATTTTTCTTACAGCCAAGGAGAATCAGTGCCATCAGTGTTGCTGAAAGAGTTGCAACTGAACGAATCGAGCCTTTGGGACAGTCCATTGGTTATTCTGTCCGTTTCGACACAATTCTTCCCAGAAGCCACGGGTCTATTCTATTCTGTACAGTTGGTAAGGCGTCCATTAAATTGCATTGATTACCCTTAATGTGAAAGCTCTAGGTACCGGACAGATCCTAGTATCAAATACCCCCCCCCCAAAGAACGACAAAATTGTGTGTTCCAGTATTTGTTTCTGATTGTGAATGCTTTGTAAAAGAAGCCCCAAGACAAGGGACGATTCATGACAACGAACAGTGTCTCTTTTTTCTTAAGCATCTGCTATGGACATTTCATTGAATTTTCTTTTGAAAGCTACCCAATGAACCTTAAAGTCCCTCTTTTTATGGTTTTTGCTCACATGAACTAGCGAGCCCTATCTAGCACCCCGCTGTATTTGTAGGACAAAGGGAAGTTATATCTGGAAAGGAACCAAAGCAAATTTAAGGTCTTCTCTTCTGCCGTGGTGATCATTTTCTTATTCGAAGGTGTTCATTATCTTTTCGTATTTGTTACACAGGTGTACTTTTGAGAAAGCTCGAGTCTGGGATATCTGGAATCTCACACATAATCATCGATGAAATTCATGAAAGAGATATCAATGTAAGCTCCCTCTCTTTTCTTTTTAATTGCAACAAACATATAATAATCTGAATCATGTTGCCATGATAATTTTTGGCACATTCTTGCATTAGGCAGCATTTGCTAGAAAGCCCACGTTGCGCCAAGCAGACAGTATTCCTTTTCAGCCCAAAGAGTTTATTTGTGTAAAGGAAGTCTCATCTTGATCAGGTTTTATTGTCAACCAGCCATGAACGCGTAATTTTGTATTTTTCATATATAACAGTCATTACCAAACATATAACCATATTTGTTATTCAATTTCTAGGACGACTTATCTTTGTGTTAGCCAGATTTACCTAGACAGAAATTAACGATGCTTAATCGCAAGATTTTATTACTTGAACGAATCGTTTGGAACAGAAGTTCTTTCTTTGCTTCTAGACTGATTTCTTGCTGGTTGTTGTCCAAGATATGGTTACTACTTACCCACAGCTGAGAGTCATTCTTATGTCAGCAACAATTGACACATCTCTATTTGCTGATTATTTCGGCAAATGCCCTGTCATGGAAATAGAGGGTCGCTCGTATCCTGTGCAAGGTACTTTTCACCTAGATTTTATATTTTGCAGTCAAATCCTATATTCTGTTGATACCCGTATAAGGAACTTCCCATTGCTATCATCAATACATCACAATTTAGTTTTGTTTTCAATACAGTAAAGTTCACATGGGTAACAGGGCGTGGTTAGCCCCTCACTTCCTGAATAGAGGAATCAATGTTTGATTATTGAACAATATAACCATCGTTTAACTCTTTATTTTGCGACTAATACACTCCACAGTATTATGTCCTGTATCGCAGGTAATACACAAGAAGACATACGTTTAGTAAGAACATAACAGAACATATATCCAAGCAAGCATTCTTACAGCATGGTTCTCTGATTAGCTAATTATTCTAATCTATGCAATGGTAAATTAATATGTGCATAAATCACAACATTATATCTACCCCTAGCTTGAATTCAAAGTCCAGTTGTCGAAATTTTAATGACTACAAAAATATCAGCAGCAAGAAACTAATGTTCACAAATACTATGATTCAATCAAACAAAATCTAACATCAGAAATTCCTTCCTTTGGACGATGTTATCAAAGATTTACTTCTTATTTTTTTCATTGCTTGATCTTCCTATTGCTCACAGAATATTTTCTGGAAGATATCATTCAGATGCTTGGTTTTGTGCCCCCAATCAAAGAGAAAAAGAAAAAGAGAGATGTTGACGTCGATCTTGACGATGAGGTTTGCCTGAGTTTCGTTACCAGCTCCTTTTTTATCTTCGCTTTATTGTTCTAAACTACAAGAATGTAGCTGCATACATGTATAGTAAATCCCTTCTTGTAGCGGGCACATGTGAGACCATGTGCAATCACTGCCAAAATTACTTGGAACACCCAACACTTTGCGCTGTGCTTTTCCGTTTTTAATTTGTTTTCCCGAATACTACTACTTCCGTCCCCCTCTCCCCCAAAAAACAATTTTGAAAGTAAAGAAAAATATCGAACAATCCACAAGAAAAAGCATACTCCATAACTCTTTTTAATTTTCTATAGTAAATCAACATTGTTCCTAGTGGGATAGGGGGATGGCTGAATTTGCGTTTGAAAACCTACGTTAGTGTTCAATACTTTTGGCAGTGATTGTACGTTCTATGTAGGTGTCCTGTGCTGGTAATTTAAAGAAGCTGCAACAAAATTGTCCGCTATTTGAAGTGTCCGTAAGTTGCGATTTCCCTTTGTAGCTGTACAAATGAATAGACTCTGTGGATATTGATCATTTTTAAAGAATGTTGGCAGACTTAGTTGTGCATAAAGGTGTGTTGTGATGCAGCCCTTTTCTGTAGGAAAACATGAACGCCGTATGCGGAGAAGAGTATTCAATAACAACAAAGAATTCAATGGCCCAGCTGAGTGAGCGAGAAACATCATTCGAGTTATTAGAGGTCAGTCTTTTATTTGTTTTTTTTTATGGATCTTTTTGTTGTAGCTATTTGTTTTGCCCACCTGATATTGAATCTTTACCTTAAATCATATGTCTAATCATTATCAAAAATTGTAGAATTTAATTCAATTTTGGTAGAACATTTTAAATAGACCTTATCTATTTCTGTTTTGCACTATACATTTTAATTCTATGTGCGTCAATGTTGGACAGATAGGACGAATGCCCCCTTTTTTAAGCTCTCGTCAAGCTTTAGTTGGCTATCTATTGGAACTATATGCATCACTCTCTGCCCCCCTTGCTTATTCCTTCAATTATGATTTTAAACCACTCTGTTTTATATTGGCTATCATTTTAGATGTTTTTATTCCTTTTTATGTAGACATCATTTTCAATTGATATATCACATACTAATCAAATAACGAACCCCGACGTTTGTAATTTCATCATTTTGCTCAATGGTTTTTCTTGTATGTCCCTTTTGCAGGCTTTACTTGGGTACGTTGCTACTTTGAACGTTCCTGGCTCTGTATTAGTTTTCCTTCCTGGCTGGAACTTGATCTTCGCAATCCATAAGTACTTGACACAACATCCTGAGTTTGGTGAGGCACAAATTTGCTTTTACCTCTCTTTTTGCTTGCATTTGAATTAGCGTTAAAGGGGTTAGCGTTAAACTCTCAAAACCTTTTTGTGTACGGGGTTTGTGCCGCAGTATAGGGTCAATTTTTGGATCAACGCTTTATGTAGATCTTTTAAATTGACAGAGAGGTGATGAAAAGTTTCCATTTATTGTCCTCTTCTGCCTATAATGCGTTTTAAAATTTTCTTATGTAGCGCGACCATGTACAGTAACCTAGTCGAGTTACCCAAGCCCTTTCCCTCTCCGAAGGGCTAAGATTCACCAGATTTTGTCTTAAGAATCTTGTGAGTTCGAGCTGTCGATGTGATTTTGTGAAGCACAACTTAATTCTAGATTAATAGGAACTTTGTCTTTACTTTGTCGTAGAGTATCATACCCTAGCAATTCTTCAAAGTGACATCAAAGTTAAGTCATTTATAGCAAAATTTATATTTTGAATTTTTTACATTTCAGGTAGCAGCAAATATCTTGTTCTTCCTTTGCACTCACAAATACCCAGAGAGGATCAAAGAAGAGTCTTTCAACCTGTTCCTGAAGGAGTGCGAAAGGTATAATGCTGTTAGATTTGCTTTTAAAACTGAAATTAAAACCAGAAATGTAAGTTTTGCTTACACGGTGACACAATATGTATCGAGAGTTAAACTATTAAATAATTTCAGGCTCATTTTGGTCTTTAGAGCGTTTTGAGTTATCTGGTATAAAAGCATCTTATGTGTTAAGCAGGGGTTTTCCTATTTCTTGAAACTTTGGATTAAGAAATTAATTTTTAGCAAGTGAAGATAACAGTTTGTTCTTTCTTCCATTTTTAGATTATACTGTCCACGAACATAGCTGAAACCAGCATTACAATTGACGATGTTGTTTTTGTTATTGATTCAGTCAAGTAAGTTTGGATCCTTATGTATGTGTTCACTTTATACAACATACATGTGTATAGATTTATTCAAGGAGAGATAGATAACATGTCTATGCAAATAAGGCTATGCTATACAGAATACACGCAACACGACATGTGGGTTCCCACAAGAGTTTGCACCAGGATCATTGCTTTTCAAGCGAAATTCTGCTCTTGAGATAGAAGGCTTTCACAGTTGCTTTAAAGGAAATTCACCTTTGAAGCAATCAAATATCTAAGCTAATTGATATGGTTAGATAAATCCCTATTAGGTACTGAATTTTGAAAGCAGAATTGTTTCCTAGGATTTTTTACTATTCGATACTTTATCACACGATGAATTGCTGTTGATTTTATGAATTAATCCTTCTAAGAGCAAAGATCAAGCTGTTTACTTCACATAACAACATGACAAATTATGCAACTGTTTGGGCATCAAAAACAAATATGGAGCAAAGGAAGGGGCGAGCTGGTCGTGTTAGGGATGGTTTTTGTTTCCATTTATGCAGCAGAAGCCGGTGTCAGAAGTACGTTTGGTCTTTAGTTGATCCATTATCTAAAGTTTTCTTTATTTGATATGTTTTCTCTTTTTTAATAAGCATCAGTGATTGTTAAAGCAGTAGTTGGATCATGTTATCCTAAACGAATGTCATTTTGTTGTCACCAGTTAATAAGTGATAACAGTTTACCAGCAGATTCGATTCAGATAGACTTTAGCTTTCTAGATCCATTAGATTCATTGAAAGTTTTGTTGAATATATAACATAGTTAAGCGAGTCTTGACAATACAACTTACTGATTTATACGATGTGTTCAGGCCATTTCATCATGATAGTGACGTTATATTTGTGATCAAGCATAGGAACAATTGATATTTTTATATCCATCTCAAATTCACCTAATATTTCAAGTGGAGTGAAAATGTTATCAGTGTTAGACTTTTTGAGTGCTTTCAGAGACGTATTTATCTTCGTTTCCCAACGATAGCTTACGTATTTTATTCTGCCTCTTCAGACTTGCTGAACACGCAACACCAGAGATCCTTCGAACACCGCTGCACGAAATTGCACTCAACATCAAACTCCTGAAGCTTGGGGGTATAAAAGAGTTTCTTAACAAAGCTATTGAGCCACCGCCTCTTGATGCTGTGATGGAGTCAATCGCAATGCTAAAGGGCAAGTCGTTTTCTTATCAGCCTCTTGTAAATCTGTGGGTAGAGGGGCAGCGGAAATTTTATTTGTTGGGGGGGGGGCGGTTTGTGGAGGAACAAAGCTTTAACGAAAATCTGTATTAGTTCTTCAACAATATGAGCCACTTATTTTTTATGAATCACACATTTCCACTAATAAATTTCAATAAATTCAACTTTGAAGTTTCCAGGAAAATTTTTGATTTCATTTTGTTAAGGGTGGCAACGAAAGTGAAAAAGGTTACACTGGTCTTTGATATTGCAGTGAAAATAGTGCAACACGGGATCCAGGGCTTTGGTGGAAATGTGTTATTACTATCCTCCAGCTCAAATAATTTTACAAATGAAAATTAACCAAAGTTCAGACATGATTTTGGAGCTATTTGGCTCTTGGATTTATATGGGAGCACTTATCTCTTCTGCTGGTGAATCATAAGTTTAATTTTATTTCAGAAATGGAAGCCTTGGATACAGACGAGACACTAACTCCTCTGGGATACATTTTGGCCAAATTGCCTATAGAGCCGAGGTTTGGAAAAATGATTGTCCTGGGCTGCATATTCAGGTTAGAATAAGATGGTTTCCTTCTCTATGTACCATGGCTTGATACTCTCTGATTTTAGTCATAGATATTGGTTTAAGTATATTCCGAATATGTTTGACTGAAGAATTGTTTGACTTCTGTATTTGTATGACTGGACTTTGTCTTATGATTGGTTTGTCTAAAACCTCTAACTGTTGAATAATGTTTAATGATTACGTGATTAACATGATCACAATTTTTATGAAGGTAATGATTGTTTGATTGATATGATTCTGATTTCAGTGTTGGTGATGCTGCATGCACCATTGCTGCCAGCACATGTCTGCCGGAACCATTCGAAACACCCGCGGATCGCAAAAGACTCGGCTGGATACACAAAAAGTTTGCTGGCAACAGAAGCAGTGATCATTTGGCCCTTCTCAGCGCTTATCAATCATGGGAAGATGCAAGGTAGGGCAGCTTTGTTATTCCTTTATTCAATAAATTCCTTCTCTTTGAATTTGGAAAACAAAAAGACCTGAATGTTGTCATACTATTGAACTGTTATGTTTTAAGCAATATTATGTTATGTTTTTTGTATTAAGTCATTATAAATGAGCTGAATATGTGTTAGTTTTGTGAGCAATAGGTGTTAACCTGAGACCATATTGATTGGTTTTTCTTCGACACCATCCTTGCCAAGTTAAAACGACATCATCCTTGCCAGCCTTTAGTGTACTTTCGTATTTCAGGTCTGTTAGTGAAGATGCGGAGATAGGTTTCTGCCAATCCCATCAGCTAAACATGTCTACCCTGCGAATGACATCAGACGCTAAGGTTCAGTCTTCTTTTATTTCTATTTCATAGAGCACTGATCATGTCTTTTTTGTCGCCGTCGGTTTGTTCCAATGTTCTATCTATAATGAACTTGGTTGCTAATAACATCTGTGGAAAAGATCTGTGATGCTTGTTACCATTTTAAATGCTGACTACCACAACATTTAAAGCTCTTTAAGAATGTCATGTTGAAAATTTTACTCTCTGTTTGGTCATGACCTTTATAGTGGATTCCTATTACTGATTACGTCATAACCAAAGTCAGAAAGGTGTACTCAGCAGGGATAAACATTGGCAGAATTAACTATGAATATTAAAAGAGTCAATTGCTTAAAAGTTGGTCTAAATTTCAAGGTCTGGTTGAAATCGGAAAATGCTTCAACCGGTAAAACTTTCTAAAAAAGAGTTTCTAAAACTTTCAGTTATGTCAGAATAAACAACACATGCTAAGATAACACTATGTCAATTTTGCTCTTTCTTAGATCTATACTAGTTTGAAATTTTGCTAAAACAGTGGAACCTCCATCAACGTACACCTCTATACAACGGACACCTCCAAACAACGGACAGATTTTTGAGTCCCAGCACAAAAGTTATAAAAAGATGACACCTCCATACAGCGGACACCTCTCTACAACGGACATTAACATTGGTCCCACTAGTGTCCGTTATATGGAGGTTCCACTGTAACTAACCATCATTGTTGTCAAGTAATTCCATTTTTTCAGGCTGCTTTAAACTTCTTTTTTTTTTATCAACAGATGCAATTAAAGGACCTTCTTTGCAATCTAGGTTTTCCAGATGGTAAGTTTAAATTTAGCATATCATCTACAAAGCTTTCTGCATTTGTTATCAAAATTTTACATCATTTTTGACGTTTTAGTTGAATTTTAATTGATGATGTATATTAATATGACAATGCCTTGTTGTTTTAAATTTGTTTTTTGTTATAAAAAATGTCTACATATCATATTCTGCAGCTCTTTATTTCGTTGTAGAAATTTAAGAGTTTAGTGTTAGTTTGAAATTAATGTGAAGTATTAGAAATTAAAGTTGAAACATTTAAAAAAGGACAGTTAAGCATTTCCTTTAGACGTGATGTTGCTCTGTCTAATATCTGTTGTTTCCATTACAGACTGCATGCACCCTCAACCTTTCAATTACAGTGGGCCTGATACTGCACTCGATCTGGTTTGTAGTTGTTCATCAATTTTCATTGGGTTGGATTTTAATATTTTGTGTTGATATGTAATGAATAAGGCTGGGATTATCAAGATCATAGTCCTAGGTCTAGGGAGTCACTGCTGCGAGAATCACCTAAGATAATGAATTTAATGTTATTCATTGATTGAATTGATGCAAGAAGCACAGTCTTCATTTTATTATTCAGTTAGTTTTCTTCATAATCTTGCTTTCCAGTTCTGGAATCAGGTTTTACAATAATAGTATCTTGAGACAGTTGAAGATCTGTGCCTATTATTTGATTCAACTGTGAATGTAAGCAATACTGTTGCTATAATTAACATTGTTGATCTATGAAATTGCATTGCATTGATGTTGTGTGTTTCATCATCTTTCGTATATAGTACCACATGACTTCTCGTGATTCTAGGTGACAGCCTTGTTATGCTTGGGTCTCTATCCAAACTTCTGCATGCACAAAGACAAAAGGAAAGTGTTTACTACTGAAGGAAAAGCTGCTCTTATTCACAAATCCTCAGTCAACTGCACTAACCGAGAAATCACTTTTCATTCACCCTTTTTTGTTTTTGGCGAAAAGGTAATGTAGTTTTGTTAATTAATTTGTTAATAATTAAACAAAATCAGTCTTTCATCTGGAAAATCAGATGCAGGTTCTTTCTATGCCATGTCTTTTCTGCCGAGGGATATTTCCTGTGGAACAAGTATTTTTGAATTTATATATATATATATATATATATTATCATATATCACCTCTATTTGCATACTCTAAGGGAATTTGTCTTGTTTGCAGATTCGCACTAGAGCAATATCTTGCAAGCAAATGTCAATGGTTTATCCTGTGCAAATGTTGCTTATGAGCGGCTGCCAAACTGAATCAAGTAATGGAATTGTATCTATTGATGACTGGTGAGCGTTGAAGAAGACTGTTTTATGTCCTGACCTATCTTGGAGATTACCTGAAGTAGTCACTATGTTGCCACTCTGTACAGGGCCATTGATAGGAGTTGTTAAATGTCAGTCCCTGGCCCTCATTGTTTCCAATGATATTTTATGCCTGTATAGATATTTAGAGTCTGGCTAACAGTTTTATCTTGTTGCCAAAGTTAGCTTCAAAACCATCCCTTTTGTTTTCTATGGTTTTCTTAGTTTTTATCGCCATTAAGGATCTCATTACCTTTAAGAGTTGATGTGAGACCGAACTTTCTACAGGATGTTGCCCAGTTTGATCCATGCCTACAAATACAAACATTTGCTTACACTTAGCTAATGATTATGGCTTTGTTTAAAGTGCCTATAAAATCAAATTTCACATATAGTTTTTTTGTAAGAAACTGAAACTTCTACATGTTGTTGCAATATAAAACGAAAATTAATTTGAAAATTTGCACGGTAAAGTTTGTTTTTGGGGTTTTAAAACCAGTGAGTGCAAGTGACAAAGCATAAGAATCAGTGACGTCACAAGGTTTGCAGAAGGTTCCTTCTTCGCAGTAAACACACCATACCACTTAGTCAGGGCTGTTAGTCGAACAATCGTCCAAATTGTGATACCAGCATGAAAATTTGCAGAAAGGGGTAGTTTGATACCCTGAAAAAGATAGGATATGGAACCCATCTGAAAATTGCCCCCTTTAGCTATTTTTAGACATGGGGTTCTTTGCCCCAAGTCCCAACGGCATAATTACAACATCTCTCCTGAAAGTAGGTATAGTAGAACGAAACTTTACAACATGGGACAGTTTGATGTGGTACAAAAGATAGGATATAGACCTCGACAGAAAATTGCCCTCTTGGGCTTTTTTTAGACTAGGGTATTTCACCGCATGACTCCACAAACGACGTTATTTTGATATCTCTGCTGAAAGTAGGTACAATAGCAGGAAAATTTGCAATAGACGGCAATCTGATACGCAGGAAATGATAGGATAAAGACTCCTTGAAAATTGCCCCCTTGTTCTATTTTTAGACTGGGGTACACCGCCCAAGATCTTAATAGACGGTATGATCGTATTTTAGTCGTACTTTGGTACAACAGTATGAAACTTTGCAAAAAAGGACAGTTTGATGCACTAAAAAAGATTGGATATGTACCCTGACTTAAAATTGCCCTCTACGGCTATTTTAACGGTAGTTCAATTAACGACCTCCGTGGACTAAACGTCAGCTGTTTCCGTGTTTGCAAACTTTGCTACGTCACAGATAGCGGCGCTTTGTCACAGTAGAAAACGTGAAAATGGGATATTCAACCTAAATTTTTAGACCGTTCCGCAAGAAAAAAATCACCTCAAGATATATCATTGAAATCAGCAAATTTTGCTTATAAAAAGTGTGCTTCTATCTAAACTTGTCAAATTTCATTTCATAGGCACTTTAACTTATCTAGCACCTATAGATCTGCCAGCGAGTCCTTTCTTTTAGAAAGTGAATTCTAACAAAAAGGCAGAAACTTGATGCATTGTTCTATTTTTAAATTTTACATCACAAGAGTGATATTTCATAAAATAATTGCATTCAATTTTTTTTACAATAGGATCTCATTGGAGATGCCACATGAGCAGGCAGCAAGTATAGTTGCATTACGAAATGCAGTTGAGGAGATGATGATTGATATAGCAAATGAACCACAGGCCCTTGTTTTGAATCCTGGAGCCAAATATGCAGCTTTATGCTCATTGATAAGGGCACTGTGTTGCTCTAATGCCGGGAGATACAGGCAGCCAGCACATGGTGGGAACATGGATAACAGAGGGTTAGTCATTGATATTTCTATGTTTTGTGCGCAAAATTCCTATTTAAAAAGCCTGTTTGTTGTGTAGTAATGCAATATTTCTTGGTATTCCTTGTACTATATTTCTCTTATTGAGCCGTGTCATCTATTTACTTATGGCACAAGGACAGCTTCAGGCCTGGCCATAAGACTTTTGACAGGGGAGCAGTAAACAGCTCTCCTAGTAGTATTCAGGTGAGCTATAAAAATTGATTTCAAGGAGAGCAAATTTGCTTTTTAGAACAATTTAGGAGAGCAATCTCTAGCTCCCCTCCAGCGTTTGAAGAGAGCCTGGAGGGGAGCAAGAGCTATGGCTCTCCTCAAATGGCCAGGCCTGCAGCTTCTATTTTCTCTAAATAATATTTTTAAAATCCTTGGCCCAAAAAGCCAGTGACCGAAAACATAATATTTCAAGTGATTACTCGAAATTGCAAGTGATGATTTTAAAAGTTTAAGACTGTATTGGCATTATTCTGGAAACATTCAAATTGGGTTATAAAATAAGTTCAACATAGGCTGAGATTTTAATGTTGATTTGGGTATGGCAAAAATTGTATCGGTTTCTTCATGATCAGGTTGCGATTTATAATTACAATTGATTATCCAAGAAACAATAAAAATATCCCACAATTCAGGGGCATTTTTTGCAAAGCTTTATGATCATGGCTACTTTGAATAAATTTTTATAATGGAGCTGAATCAGAATCAGAGAAAAACTGTTCTTGTCCTTGCCCTGAATTGAATAATTTCAAGTCTTTCTGTGGATATATTCTTTGGTTGATGTTCCAAGCTCTTGTCCTATACTTTTAACTGCAAATCCTCACAAATCAACTATTTGAGGAGAAGAATTGATTCTTGACGGATTCCAGAGAAGATTTGTGTTGAGAAGAAAGTGATGGCAAAAGAAGAAATCTGGAACAGATGAAACTGACTGGCAATATAGAATGAAATTGAATGAAAGTGGAATGAATATTGAACTTATGATTTCAAGAAAACCTTTGGACAACTGTCCTCTTAATTGATCCAAAAATTTTTTGTTAAAATCAATTTTTTATTTTTTACAAATGTTTTGCCACTTTCGAATCGAATGTTTAAACTATTTTAGTTACATTTAATGAGCAGGCCTGGCCATAAGACTTTCAACAAGGGAGCAGTAAAAAGCTCTCCAAGCAATTTCCAGGTAAACTATTTGAAGGTTAATAATAAAAGAAGCAAAGGAAAATTGATTTCAAGGAGAGCAATTTTATTTTCAAAGCAATTCAGGAGAGCAATCTGTAGCTCCCCTCTAGCATTTGAGGAGAGCCTGGAGGGGAGCAAGAGCTATGGCCCTCCTCAAATGGCTGCGCCTGTTAATGAGTATAGATAAATTGAAGGACTGTCATTATTTGGCTACAGAGGGCCATTTGTAGCATTTTTGCTTGGCAGTGTTTCAATGCAAAAAATGTGAAGACTGCATCAACCAAGAAGCATTAACCAGATATGTAATCGATAACAAAAATTGCAACAAGGGCAAACACAAAATAATACATTTAAGTTAGGGGTGTACTGGTAAGGAATGGCATCAAAGTGAATGACCTGAAAAGTGGAGATCTCCAAGTGATTTCTGTTGTGACAATAATAAATATTTTGCAACCCAGCATAAAAAACTGGTGTTTCATATTCTGCTGTCATTTTCCACCAGTAATTTTAATTGGTTTGCAAAGTCTTCCCCAATCATCCCCTTCAAAATCCAAATTTGTTCATACTCTAAGGTTCTTAGTAGAAGGGGGGGGATCAGAAATTTTTCAAAAAATAAATAACCGGGGGGAGGAGTCCTAGTAAGTGGGGGTCGGAAATGTGAAAAATCTGAAAAATCGCACGATGATTATTTTTTGGGGTCAAAGTAAGGTTCCAACTAAATTTCTATGTATACTGGCGTTCATTAAAAAAACAACGTGATTACGACTACAAATATAAAAAAAACTACCCTGAGTAATTGGAAATTGTGTGATGTCAAAGTGCAATTTTCAATCACCTGTGGTAATTTTTCCTTGGTAACCCTGCATGTAAAGGAAAGAGGACAATTCCAACAAATATCGACACTTCTTCAAAATATCAGAACAAAATGAGAACAAAACAAACTTTTCAAAGCTCATATATAAATTAATAAACGGGGGGTCTAAATAAGCTCTGGGGGTCAGAAAAAAATTGAAAAAATTAATAAACGTCCCCCCTTCTATTAGAGACCCTAGAGTAGGTCTTTTTTGGTACAACAAATTCTTTGAAAAACAAACTTCTTCTCTTAATACATTAAATATATATATACATCATATATACTTTATATATTTATGTATCTATCCTTGAATGTATAATATGTATAATATAACCTAAATTGGTATAAGGAAAAGTTTTCCTTTTTTCAAAAAATTTAAAAAATATATTAAATATTGAAATTTTTAAAACTTTTTGAGAGGAAAAATCTAAATCGCATTATTATATTTCCAGTTGGTTAACTTTAAGGGTTGTATGTATTGTCCTTAAAATAAGAGTTTGTTTGGTATACAGTGTAAATAGATGAGATTTTAGTGTTGAAGTGGCATTGGACCTTGGTAAGCTATTTGGCATTCTGTCCTGAAGCTATTGATTGAGACAGCAACATCAGACTGTAATTTAGCTGCTCTCCAAAGGATGTTAAGGATTTTGCCATTGTCTCAACAACATTTTCCAACCTTTTGGCAGATTGTTCTAGTTTTTCTGCAATATTTTTCTTCACTTCTAATTCTTCCTTAGCTATTTTTATCAAAATCATATCTTGTTGCTGAGCTGAAAGTTTTTGGTCCATCTTGGCACGTTTTTTGTTGCTAAGATACCCACCCTTTGATTGTTCTGATGGTTGAGATTTTTTTGAATTAAAGATTTGATCCTCTAGTACTTCCCTTCCTTGTGCCTCAGTCTCATTAAGTAGAATATGATTTTGTTGTTCATCAACATCGTTATTATCATTCAAGATAAATACTTGTGGGGTGATTGCTTCTTCTATTTTGATCTCAGAAGGGCACTCACCCCAAATCTTCATCAGGTACTCCCAGTTTTGGAGAATGACCCTTCCACTTTCAGATCGGGTACCTTCCCTAATTGCCGTTCTAAAATTGCGCCTGATCTTTTTTACTTTTTCCCTGATTCGTCCATAACCAAGTTTGATACTTTTCCTTTCTTCTTGTATGATATTGAATTGTTTGTGATGTTCTTCACTATTTAATCCTTGAGTTATGCTGGATACTTTGACTGGACCAAAGTTTTCAGGGGGGTACAATGCAGCCATCATTTGTCTGACATCTTCATACATTTTTACCAAATCTGATTGAATGTCTATACCCTCAAGTTCCTTTCTCTTTTTATAGTCATGAAGGCAAACGATTAGAAATTTGGTCATCTCATCATTCCATAGCCACCTGGTTGCTTTTATTTTTGCCTCTGTCTTTTCAGCTTTCAAAGGAATGGGTGGTGTACTTTGAAAGTTGCCAGCAGAGCTTAAGGATACTTTTTCCTTAGAGTCACCTGACTGGCTATCTTCACTTTCTAGCATCATCCTGGAGAAATAACAAATTGCAATCTCTATACAGAGCAAAAATAAAATATTTGCTCTTAGTTACTCTGAGAAATAGCTATATGTGACAGGTCAAAAAATTAAAAGCTCTTCTAAGAAAGGTACTACTATGGTTTAAGTAGGTACTACTGTGGTTTAAGAAGGTACTACTGTGGTTTAAGAAGGTACTACTGTGGTTTGATCTATCTGTCAATGAACTACTGGCCAATCAAGAATTTGCCTTTCCCCTTATTCACAGCATGCACATTGCATCCCGGGAACAGGTGTATCAAGCCCCTCCTTGACAAAGCGGGTCACTGTGTTTTCTACTATACGTGTTTGTGTTGCCATTACAGAAAAGTCGAGTAGAAGATCAACAAGAAATCAGCAAAAATGAAACCGTTCAACTGTCAGAACCTGTGCCTAGTTTTGATAAACACTCTTGCAAGGGCCAGGAGATGATAAAGCATTCGGAAGAAGGAGAGCCGGGAGCTGAAGATATCAAGAATGTTTCCCAATAAGCAAATTGCATTGATGACAGGCAACCTTCAAAGAAGTTGCAAATGAAGAACAAACCCAGAAGGGGTGGATCATTTCATTGGAAAAGTTACCTGAGTTAACTGAACGTAACTTGGAAGATAAACTTATCAAAGATGCTGAAACAATGCCTGATAAATTAACGCCAAAAGCATACAGAAACAAAATCCAGGGTTACAAGCAGGGGCAGACACTTGATAAGATATTGGGGGGGCAAGCCTATTGTTTTGATCAGATGACATCACATTTTCCCATTAAACAGGTAGAACAAGTCTATGGTATTCCAGAATATTGGGGGTGACTGCCCCTCCCCCTCGCCCCCCCAGGTGTCCACCACTCGTTACAAGTTATGGAAAGAGGGCTTTGTTTCCAAGGTTAGAGTAAAGCCAGATATTAGCTACAATGACTGCTTGTTTTTCCTGGTGTAAGCATTTGCATCTGCTTCAATGAAAAGTGCAAAATATTCTGTGTTTTGTAATTTAAATTAGACCTCTGGAAAAGTAATGTTTGCTAAATGCAGTTGTAAAGAAGGCCAAGGAGGCTGCTGCAAACATGTAGCTGCCTTGCGCTACACTATCCTTGACTTTAAAAGTCTTGCCTATGTTCCAGAAGATTTGACATGTACCCAGGTTCTCCAGAAGTGGAGTGTTCCAAGCAGGAATAATTAATTTATCAGGCATTGTTGCAGCATCATTGATAAGTTCGTCTTCCAAGTTATGTTCAGTAAACTCAGGTAACTTATCCAACGAAATGATCCACCCCTTCTGGATTTGTTCTTTGTTTGCAACTTCTTCGAAGGTTGCCTTAGGCCTAGGCCTGTCGTCACAGCAATTTGCTTGTCAAGAATCATTCATCCCATAGGGGCTACACCCCTGCAATTATTTTGAAAGTGTTGTAAAAATTTCCTTATAAATTTGGCTGTTTTTTTGTAATCTACCCACCTTAGGTGTCAAACAGCCCTACAGTTTTGTGACTGGCCAATCCAAAATATGTAAAATGTATAGCAGTGACTGCTTCTCCGTTTTAAATAATCTACATTAATGGGTCTCTTGCACTAAACGCATCCTTTGAAATATTATTGATTGCAAAATTGTGTTTAAAAATTAGGGGGTCCTCTCTGCTTGATTAGAGAGAATTAACCCACAAAAATAGGGATCAGAGTTTAATACATGATTGAACAAGGCTTTATTGGCAAACTTCGGCCTTATTGGCAAAACTCCCAATTTACAAGTCTGTACCTAAAACCTTGACTATAATAACGTATTTTTGACATGATCAAATTTATAACGTTACAGAGAAATATCACATTTTAATCACAAATGATAAATTTCCTACCCTAGAAAGATGATCTAAAGGCATAGTTATGCAATATTAAAATCCTATTCAAACACATGGACTTGTGACCTGAGTGTTTATTTGCTGTTTTCATCAGTCTCAGCAACATGGAGTTTTTCGATTACAGTCAACTCCGCTTATAGTCACTCCGGTTAAAGTCGCATGACTGGTTACAATTAGCTCCGTTTACAATCACACTCTGTTTACAGTCACAAGTTTTCAAGCAACTTTTGGTGTGACTATAACCGGAGTCTACTGGAGCAGTTTCAATTGTATTTTCGGCATTTAGTTGAAAATCTCACCCTGTGTTGAAATCTCAGCCCGAGGTGAGATGCCGTGTTGGGTTCAGCCCATATTGCGATTTTAACAAGTAAACACCATCATTGCTTACACCGTAAACCTATTTGAAATTCAGCCTGTATTGAATTCAAAACAGACTGTGATTTCTCGTGTAAATGGCCGAAATTAGGCCTATTTCCTAAATTTCTTATGTGGGTTGAAAAAAACCAGAGGGGGGATGGCAAGATCTTGTGCGAATAAGATACACCAACATATAGCTTCTACAATATAAATTAAAGAAACGAATGCTTACTTTTTTCGTTTGCCAAGCAATATCTGACCTTCCATATTGTTTCATTCGAAGTAGTGCCAAATCAAAACGACGAGAACGAGCTATCCCGTGGCCGTTCAACACGGGCTGACCTGAGAAGCGATTCAATGTGTTTTCGACACTGGCGGATATCAGGTTACGCTTTATGATCATGATTATCGAAAACACAATAAAGGACGTCCCACAATTCACCGCATTTACTTCAACACAGCTCGAGCTGAAATTTTGTGACAAGGTCACACTGAAATTTTCTGCCGTGTACATGAGAGAGACCACCCGTGTTGAAGTTTCAAAAAGGGTTGAAATGATTTGTTGAATTTGCCCCTTGTTGCTATTTTATCCTGTACCGCACAGGGGCGTAGCTTGAGCATGGGTAGGGGATGGGGGGTCACAGTAGTTCTCTTGGATAGCCCTTCAAAATGAATCCTAGATACACTTTGCTTTTGCCAAAATGATCAATGTCTTTGTGCTGTGGCATATGAATTGAGCTGCTTGGGCACAGGCAGGGTTCAGATTTGCATATCAGCTGCGTAGAACTCCTATTGTCTACACTGCATAGTCTATTATTCAAAAGGATATTGCCTTTAACTTCAATACGCCCCAGCCCGTGCTGAGATTTTCTTCTATACAGCTCTGATATTCATTTCTCCTTGGCAGCCATGCTTCTTCTGGAAGATCCACTGGCTCCTTTCGTGGCAGGCATTTTAGTCAGCAGTATGCAAGACCAAGGGGGTATCAAGGACCACGGCACTACCGAGGCAGAGGAACTGGTTTCAGGCCAGATAATTTTTCCCGTGGTGGCTTTCGCGGAGGCAGAGGTAATATGCAATTTGGATACATGAACCAAAGAATGCCGAACCCACGTGGCTCCTATTAACGGTCTACAACACCTCTCTCTTCAAAATATATATACAGTTGAGTTACATTATTAGAAACTTTTTTTAATTGTCTCCGTTTACATAAAGAATGGATATTAAGAACTTTGGATCCTTTTTTTTCTTGTCATTCTTTCTGTTCAAAATTATTTCTTCAAGAATTACAAAGACTCTCCTTGAATTTGCATAAATAAGAAGGAATGCTATTTTCATCATCCTTTTAATAAATTGATATTCATCTTGCTTTATGTCTATCCATTTTTTATCTTTGGAAGTTTGAGATTAAAATTTTACACAAAGAATTTGACATAAAATAGAGTTCGCAATTGTGACGTCACAAAAACTATTTTTAGAACTTTCAAGTTGTGATCACATAACGCAAAAGATCACCACGAAATACTCCCATGCATGCAAAATCAGTTAAGTTTGTCGAAAATCGGGTGAGCTATGGCCCATAGAAGATTTGAAATTTGCTAACGGATTACTATGGAGCGTCGTTTGTGTCCGCCAGTAAAAATACAGTTTTTTTCAAAATCTTTTGTTCTGGATGTTAAATTTTCCCTTGGTCCCCCACTTTTCAACCTTTGTTGGAGCCCATGATTAAGATTATAAAAAAATCTTCCCTTCGGCGGCAACCATGGTGCTGCCTCCGGTAGTAACTTTATTCTACCTTTGTCCTAATCTACCAATCTACAGAGTTGCTTGGTGTCAGGGGCATTCACAGTAAGTATGAAGAAACAGAGACAAAGATAAAAAAGAATTTTAAAAACCTTTCCAGCTAAGGCAAAGGTTATGTGTTGTGGTTATGTGTCTTTCATAAATTTTGTCGGAAATTGTTTCTTTCTGGCAACCTCCAGCCACGACGCCCCTGTGACTGACAACTTTCCGTATATCTTCGCTCGACATCTTAAAGCTGAATACGCGAAGTCAATACCTAGGCACAACGTGACTCATGTTCCTTGATTCTCCCGCCAAAGCGCAATGCATCTTGGTCACATCATTCCGCAATGCATCATGTCATATGAAATTTAAAACGCCATATGAAATTTGAAACGCCGTATGAAATTTGAAACGCCATACAAAAGGAAACACCACTCGAAGTATAAAGCCATATAATAAGTAAGGCCACGCAGAATGTATAAGCAGTGGGAATTTGATATGTTATAGAGAATTTGAAAAGCCACACGAAAGGGTAAACAAATGATTTAAATGCCGTAGAATAACATAATGTCATTAGAATTTAGTAAAAGACCATGTAGAATGGGGGTAAATAGCATGTGAAATTGAAAAACACTCTACAAAAGGTACAATTGTAATATAAGACACAAACGAAGCTCCATAGATTACTGTTATTTTGGCTCGGTTCATGAAGTTATGAACTGAGAGCAAATTACAGAGGTTTGATGGGGCCAGAGCCTGTGCTCATCTGGGCATATCTCAGCCAATTCGTAACACCTTCAACTGATTTTGCAGATTTAAAGCTATTTCACGATGCTCTTTCAGGTTATGAGAACAAATTTAAGAAATTCCAAAAGTAGATTTTTGTGACGTCATCACTTGACAACTCTACTAGCATGAGAATTCAAGAAAAGTTTGACAAACTACTGTTACCTTTTCTATACGAAATAGTCAAGCATTCCCTCCCCTCTTTTAGCAGCCATATTGCCTAGCTCTGCTCCGGAGAATGGGATGTAGAGCCATTTGGAATAAACTGAGCAACGGGAAAGCAGATAAAATGCACTAGTTCGCAATGGAATAAGCAAAACTAGGTGTTCCTGCGCAAGAAACTCATTTGTTATATATTAGGCATTTTTTGAATTTACATGAAGAGTTATATTTCTCTGGAATTTTAAGTTTTGGCATATTTCTGATGTGCCATGAATTATTTCTGATGTGCCTGAAGTTGTTGATAATGATTTTCAGTTGTAAGGTTTATCATTAAATTGTTTCATTGCAATAAAGCTTCCCGTGATACCATGTTATTCATCACGTAAACTTTGCTTCTATAAGAAACCCATTACTAGAAGATTAAAAACTCTCAAACACTCTCTTTGGATTAGAAACTTGTAGGTCTTAACCGACTGTAGTTAATAATTATTCTTTCAGAGGAATGTTTTTATGCTTCGTAGAAAATTATATCAGACTGCTAAGCATTCAAGGACGAAGGGCGCATTTGAAAGATGTTGTGGTACATTAATTTGAAGGTACCCTTACCAGACCTGTTTCAAGAAGACGTAACACGATAATACTCATCCTTTTGGATAGGGCAGTTGCCGTTCTTGTCTGGTAAGACATGATGAGAAATTATGGAAGTGCATATTCATCGTGCATTGCTGCAAAGATGCCTTTTCAGAACAAAAATAAGCCCTTCAAAAATGTGAAAGGAAGGTATGATTTTACCAGAGTCCAGAAAAGTTGTCGATCTTCCTCGTGCCAAGCGTATCTTACTATAAAACCTTCCTCGTTTTTAATGTGGATTAAATGGGCGTGGTCTGAAAGTTGGGGGTGCTCATCTAGTTTTAACCCCTTTTCTTGCAACTCTGTTTTTCCAAAACATTTTTAAAAATTGTAGTTTGTTTTCAATTACAGATATTTTGGAACAGATAGAAAGTAGCATCCCTATGTCAATTAATAACAAACGCGTGTCATAATTTAAATATATAAATTATCAAAAGTTTGCGCCTAAATTTTACAGTGCAAAGCAGTTCTGTGACAACTTTAATATTGAAAAACAGGAGGTTTATAAATATTGATAATTTTTTATTTTTGCCTGACTGCATTTTGAAAGCCCCAAGGCAATAGGATTTTTCATTTTCCTCCTCCAGCCTTTCATTTTCACAAGCCTCCAAATTTTTGGCCACCTTTCTCAATTTCCTTTTGTTTCTACAACCTTCCTCCGGCCGGTGGCTGTGGGGCCGTGATGTTTTCCTGATTTTACCCAAAAGACACTTTTTTGGAGGGCACATGCTCCGTTTTCCCTAGTTTTAAATCTCTTTGTTTTTGATTCCCCGGAAATCGGATCTTACCTATACGCCTATTATCTACTTATGTTGACAATAATTTCTGAAACTCTGACCTCTGTTTTTGGACGAGCTCATAAAAATGGGTTTCGGAAGGTTCAGCCTTCAGTGCAAGTTTCCGCTGTTCAGGGTTATTTTAAATTTTTGCCGCGCCTTTAAAAGACCTTCAAAAATTTTAGTAGCGCGGGAGACTTATTCGATAGCGCTACATTTAATTCACGTATTGGAATAATCCAAACAATTGCACAATGTTTTGTCAAAAGCTTAAAACTGCAATCATTATAAGGTTCCGACAATGCTTACTTAACCTCCCTTTGAAGATGCGTTATCAAAATTTGTTGTTGCAGTGTCGTTGTTAGGAAACCAGGTTAAAGACGCTCGTGTTCTTGTTCTCGTGGGGATCAGAAAATTATTGGACATTTCGATGACCAAGTAGGCGTCCAAAACAGTTAACAAAACTGAGGACATAACAGTTGAATTCTGACACGAAAGGTCCTGAAATTTGCGATTAAGCGGGTCCGTTCGAATCTGGCGGGAGAGCCAAGGAGGTCTATATCCTTATGTAAACAAACTCGTTTCATCGTTTGAGAAATGGCTCTTGTTAGGAGTAAGTCGTCTAGTTCGATTCATGTACGAACAGAAGATAAACTACCTTACCAGAAAATAACACAAGCATTCCTGCGCTCCATAACGGAAGACCCACTTGGTTGTATAACCTTCCTTGATCTATCATTCTGTGACATCAAACGTATACAGGGCCTTGGTGTTTGCGTTAATCTTGAAGTGGCTATTCTTCAGGGTAATTTCATTGATACTCTTATTGATGTTAGTATGTGCCCACATCTATGGAAACTCAATGTGAGCTGTAACGAGTTGAAGGATCTGGCAGGGTTTGAGAAGTTCAAATCATTTGGTACATTGATTGCATCAGGAAATCAGCTTGATTGGTTGGAGCTGTCAAAGATTTCTCATCTTGAGATCATATCATTGTACTTGCTTGGAAATCCTAAGCTGAAGAAGGATTTGAATTATCGCAGGCATGTCATAAAATGCTTGCCAAAGGCCTGGTCACTTGATGGAGAGCTGGTTACTGCAGAAGAGAGGGCAAAAGTTGATTACTTCTTTTGTAAATCTGCAAAGAGTCAAAAACCAGTAAGACTGAAATTACCAAGTCGCCAGTTTGTTCCAACTTTCATGAAAGATGGGTCAACATCCAATATTTACGGCAGAAGAACTGTATCATTTTCAATGCATTTTGGAATGAAAGAGGTGCACAACCATGCACTTGATCAGAGAAGACTGAAATATATTAGCAAGAATCTAAATGATGACACTAATCTGGAATCATGCTTGGAAACCAATGATTTGCTACAGCATTGTTTTGAGATGAGGACTAACTGTGTCGAGAAGGGAAATATGTTTCTCTTGCTGCTTGTTTCATCCTTGATTTTTGCAATTCCAAAGGTATTGCTGACATCATGTCTGGAGGTGATAGGAATGAGTGGTGAAGAAATTGATATGTGCATTGAAACACTCAAATTGCAACTACAAACAAGAACAAACATAGCATCTACTCTTTTCTCAGCTATCAAGCTGGAAGGTTTAACTAAAGGAGTCAGTGTCCGTCTTTATGATACTTTAAGATCATTAAACTACCGGCTTGTTGAAGTTGCTTATGGAAAAAGTGATATCGATGTAGAGGCTAAGTATCACCATGTTATTGCTAGTGAGATTGCTCATTTATTTTGTCTTGTTCCAGATTTTACAATTTTTCTGGAAGATCCAAGTGTCATTAGCATACTGTCTTCAGCAACACTTAACCCTAATATTGAGCATGACATCCATGAAAACGTTTGCAAATGTGATGTGTACAAATCAAAAGAAAGACTTTTAGAGTTAATAACATTGCAAGTCAAACAGGCAAAGCAACGTAGTCTCTTTGTTTACAGTAATTATTTCAAAGAACCTAGAGATGGGCTCAAAGGTCTTAACATTACGTATTATGAAGCAAGAAAGTCTCAGAGACCATCAACTGCTCCTTTACTAAGAAGCAGAAGTCTAAATGCAAGCCTTGAACATAGTCCAGCTGTGGGTGAAAAAGTACTGCTAGGGCCCCAAAGACTGGCACATATTGTGTCAGTTCCAGATACAAAGGTTTTGCTTGTACAAGTACATTCTTTGCCCTCATCCAAACATCTCCAGGCAGATTACCAAGAATCTAGTGAAACAACCCAGTCTTTGTTTTACATCAATAGAGAAGATTTGCAGTGGAATCAAAAGTTTATGTCTTGGGTTATGGAGAGTAAGTTGAATAAGCTAGCTGACAAAGTCCAAAGTAAAAAGTCTCATGATCAAAGACCAAGGCTGGTGCTGCAGAGGGTGAAAAACTTTCCAAGTCAACGGAGTAAGTCTTCATGCTCTACAAATGACAAAGATAGGTTTACTAAACAAGAGTTGTCAATCAGCAATCAGACTTTGTTGGATTTGAGAAGCAGTCATAATTTCAAAGATATCAGAATAAGAAACTATGGAATTGAAACTAATTTGAAGGATGAGCATATAGTTGGCAGCCAAAGTCAGAAAGACAGCAGCAGTAGCAAGATGCCAACACTGTCTGAGGGTGACTTTACTGAATACCCAGGTCAATACAGGGTGTTACAAGGGAATGTCTATCATCTGTTTGAATCTAAATCCAGAAGTACTCAAATGCCAGTTAACTGTTTGATTCAAAGGCCACAGACTAGTTACAGTAAAAGATCAGACAATATGTTCATAAGAAGGTCAAACTGGCCAAAAACTATTTGCTAGTTTTGATGTACTGTTTTCTGTTTTCTTATAGAGCAGTCTTTCTTTTGTACAAGTTGGCCTTTTCTTGTAAGTAAAACACTTGAAAAGGCCACAGTCAGTGATTGTGTCTGTAGTGTTTATTCTTGAATATATATTCATAAAAAAATTTATTTTCAAAGATATTCAATAGATTGTTTCAAGTTGTGGATGTGTTGTATCACATGGTATAAAGATAAGTGTCAGTGGAACAAGCTGAAAATTTCAACTTTTTTGAAGTATCTCATTTCCAACCACGAAATGATCTTTCATTTTAAGCCTTTCCAACCTAAATTAGTGAATAGTAAGAATTCAAAATAATAAGAATTTTGCATTTGGTTATTTGTTCACATGTAATTATATAAAGTGAATACTTTTCTATTTTTGTATTTTTACCCAAGATTTTTGAAATTGGGAAATCTGTTTTGAAACAATGTGATGCTGCTCCAGGGACTAAGCCAACGAGGCACAGGGGCATTGCCTGCCCAATTAGAATTTTTTGCCCCCCTTTGCCCGTCCAAAAATTTTAGGAATAAAATATGTTCTTGTCCAGTAACTTAGAGAACGGCGTCTTCCTACATGACTGTCGAAAAAAGTCGATCGAAACGAAGTCTGGGCATCTTTGCATTCGAGGTGAAAACCAGTATCGACTGTGCACCAGTCCACGCACCTTGATCGAGATGATCCAACTGCTGTTCTGCTTCACCCTGCGTTAAATACTTGTTTTCGCCACTGAGCAAGGTAGATGCTCCCAATGAAGACGCCAAGCTGCAAAACTAGACTCGAACTTCCTTCATTTTAAAGGAAAATATTTGATGTTAATGCAGTTTGATGAGTCTTTAAATATTTGGGAGTCAAAATTTTAAAAACTCTCTTCCAAGTAGACGAAATTATAATACTCAGCTTCACCTATCGTTATAGCTTAGTTCCCATATACAGTCAATTTTTATTTATTCTAATAAATACGTAATGGAAAACAAAACTTCCTTTAGATATTACCGTTTTTAATCGCCAGTGAAGGAAATTTACAAAGGCAATACAAGCAGCTCATTACATTGGAAAAATTTTTTTATCCCGTGCAAGATGATAAATTTGCATCAAACTCTGTATCAATTGCGAGATATTAAATTTTTGAGGGTTCTCCAATATCGCTACTTAAGCTCTTGCAGGTACCGCGGAGCAAGTTAAAGACCCCCCCTGCTTTTTTAGACCCCCCACTTTTCTCAACGCTCCGCTGTGCCTGTCTTGCCTTCAAGTAACATGCAACGAGCTCATTCGCTTCGCTCAGTTGACAAACATTGCCCGCCCGGAGGTTCGCTAAAAGAGGACGCTTTTCCCCATAATTTGTCCGTTGCCACATAATATTTTCTCATCCTGTAGTATAATTATAATCTTTTTGCAACAGGTTGTAAGGTGTAAAGATTTCTATGGCAGCTCAACTTTCAAATATGACACTATTGAAACTTCAAATTGAAACTTTTGAATTCTGAATATGAAATAGAAACACATAAAAGCAGCATATAAAATTAATTATCTTATGGCCACAACCAAAATATCGCTTCCGGGTATGCGGAATTCTAACCGTATTCCCTGATTTAAACCAGTTGTTTTTCGAAATCCGTTGAAAAACCTTGGGGGCGGGAGTTGGGCTGGTCAGATTGATTTCGAGTTTCGCACTGGCAGAAAAGCCACTGTTGCAAAAAATGTTGCTTGAGAAAGTTTCTTGCCCAAAAATTTCAAAATAGGTAAAAAATACTAAAAAATTATTCTCCAAGAGTCTGAAGGGCGTGGCCGAGCAAATTTGTTTTTTTCCACCCCAGTTTTTTCGAGCTGGTGACGCCACTGGGCTATAGAATTTTGTAGATAATCGATGACTAGTTTAGCCACTCTCATTATTTTAATTTCCATTAGAAATTAAAAACAAAATAGAAAAATATCCTTTTGTGCTGTCGGTCTTTAATCAAGGGAAATTATTTTTCAGAAGACGATAATAGACTTCAGAAAGATTCAGAAACCAACAGCGTCTTATAAGATACTGACTTTTTTTGCCCATTTCCGGAACGAGAATGTTACGCTTATTTTATATCTTAATATAAGCAACGCGCTGAGATAAACAATTATTTGATTTACCTTTCTTTCTTGTGATTATTATTTTCCTATTTGTATTCTCAATGAGTCTGCAACCATGGAGTATTGAGACTAAGCGGAAAGTCAAAGTTTTATAACCAGCCCATTTATAATTGCCATGATTTTTGGAAAACCAGACATTTCGATTAATGATAAGGCCATTTATTACCAATTTGCATAAGGAATTTTGTCAACATTATGCCTATGCGTAGAGTCTTTGATTGCAAAAACCACAGCTGTATAGTTGGAGCAGATCCATGCCAAGATTTTATTTTGCCCCCCCCCCCTCTGCCTCACAAGTACTCGATTATGGTAGTGGAAAAAACTTCTACTATTTGCCCTAGGCACCAACACTGCCCCTCCTGCTTTAATCTTGTGTAGCCGTCCCTGGTTGCAGGGTAGAGCAAAAACCATACCGTTTCCCGATAATCCTTTGTTTTGGTGAAATCTATATGGCATCGTTAGCATCGATTTTCCCACGGTCATTATCTGGGCAAATCACATACCGTTGATCGACTTACCTATACAATTTTCCTATTGGGATGCTAAGCTAGATATCATATTTCGCACAAGTTCGCACACATTTCGCACACTCAGGAATGCGAGCACATTCCATACTCTTCAACGCTCAAAATCTCACTTTGACAATGGTGCAGGCAATAAAGATGTCATAGCTCAGGTGAATTTCGTCATCGTTCGCACAAGCTTTCATTGCACTGGGGGGTTTTCAGTAAGAAGCAACCAAACTTTTTTCTTGTGGGAGAGGGGCGTTGGAGGCTACGGACCAATAAGCGTGTAAGAGCATATTTATGATCATTTTAGAAATCTGGAAAATTGACATTCTTACGTGCGAACGATGCGAACACCTACATCCGCCCCTGCACTGTTCGAAAAGATACAGAGAAAACTGGCTCCTTTTCACAATCGAGAAAACCCAGGTTCAACCCTGTTTGGCGGTTACACTATAATATTTCAAAACAAACCTGGGTTTAGCCAGTCCGGATCGAGCCAGCCAGGGTTGAGCCAGCCAGGGTTAAGCCAGCCCGGGTTGAGCCACCCCGGGTTGGTTCAACCTAGGTTCGATTGTATTGTGTTCGGTTTCAAAGATCTATGACGTCATGTACATTAGCTGACTATGATCTAACGCCGACCCGAGAAAACTTTTTGGCTTCGTCCTGTTGCCCGCCCACCTTTTAAGTGCTGGCTTCGTGCCTGTCAGTGGCGTCGCCACGGGGTAGATTTCTAATTTCTCGAAATCCGTTGAAAACCTTTGGGGTGGGGTGTTGGTAGATGGGCTGATCAGATCGATTTTGACTTTCGAACTTGAAAAGAAAGCTGCTTGAGAAAGTAGCTTGCTCAAAGATGTAAAAAAGATAAATTACTGTGCTACATTACGAAATAGATAAAAAATATCATAAAGACCTTTCCAATAGTCTGAAAGGCGTGGCCGAGACAATTTGCTTTCGTCCACCCCAGTTTTCTTGAGCTGCCGACGCCACTGGTGCCTGTGCTGTTTTCACAAATTTGGTATTTAACACCCTCATTTCTTAAAAGATTGGGGCCTAAAGGGAACTAGCAGTTGCTTAAACAAGAAGGGGCTCCAGTTTCTGATGCAAGTTAAAAGTAAATGCATTTTGCAAAAACGAATTAAAACTTGACCTGGGGGCATGTGACCCCCGTCCATGCGTGCCCATATTGATTTAAGATTATCTTTTTAATTTACTTTTTAAAAATGATGTGACATCAAGGTAAAAAAAAACTGAACTGGCTGAAAAAAATTTATCTCAATGATGCTTCGAGGTCTAAGGGGCCTCATAAGTAATGAAATTAATGATGATATTTTAGGAAGGGAATTAATGAAACGTAGCAAAAAGTATGCCTAAGTATAGTAAAACTTTCTAAACGATTGCCATTAATGACTGCAAGAAGTACTCTGAAATGTATTTTAAGAAAGTCTAAAGGGCTTGGTCTCAAAAAATTTCTGTTCGCTCCGCTCGCAGGGCGAGTCGTCTTTCGGTTTTGCCCCCCAGGCCTCCGAATCTTCTCGGCGGCCTGCCTCTGAGAACATATCTTTTGATGAATAAAATCAACTGTGTCAAAATGCCACACCCAAGAATTAATATATTTTAGCCCACGCCCTACTTTCTCGGCAAATTGGTGACTGGTACCCCCCTAAGTGAAAGTGTTTAGCGACGGCCACGGTACACTCATTCTCTATACAATTTTGGAAGAAAAGGGGTTCGCCTCCCAAACCACCAGTGCTGAGGAGAGGGAGGGTCAGGGTGGTCACTGACCCGGTGGCCCTTGGCTATAGAGGCCCATAAATAATAATTCAATTAAAAAAATTTCTGAGCAATAATCCAGCCTCTCCATTACCTCAAACTGTCATTAATAGAGACAATACTGACAAGTCTATGAATGAATTAAGGTAGAAGCAGTTTGAGTCTGACTGCCTGAGTGTTCAATATATTTTTGTTAAGAATTTTCTCATCTTTGTGGGCTTGGGCTAAAGAAGTTGAAAAGCTTCTGAATGTTACCAAAAAATGTCATTGCAACAGGCAAAATACAACAATTTTTTAACCTTATTTTTGTTTATGTTTGTTTATTTTGACAGGACTACTAGGAAAATAGTGTAAATATGTATATATGCATATCACTACTGAAGTATTATCCTGTTTAAATATTCGAGAATAATAATAATAATAATAACAACACGCACGTACAGATTTGCACTATGGGATGCGCATCTATTTGCAACAGTGTGTCGGTTGTGTTTGGATTTAATTAACGAATTAAACGTTTTCCATATTCTAAGACTTTTAAAATTTCTAAGAAATTTTCATGTTTATGCTTTATGGTATTAAGGTATCCGTTATGCTCGAATTGTATCAAATAGCAAATAGAAGTAATAGCCACAGGACAAGGACCTAGATTCATAGGAAGGGTGAAAAACTTAGGTTTTCCGACAAAATTCTAGTATTACTATTTTTTTCATAGATTAATAAATATTTTGATATATTCAGATATTCTTATGTTTATTTAGCTTTAAATTATTTTCTATCAAAACATAGCAATTAGATAAACATAGACAACCATGTTAATTTTCCGACAAAGACCAGAGGTTTTCCCACAAAATAGCAGCTTAGCCTTAAAGGGGGGGGGGGTTTCTTGCCCTCTCTGACCCCCTCCTCTATCTACGCCACTTACACCAGAGCAGTTTAGCCACCATGGCAATTTTAGCAACCAAAATAGCGACCAGAGCAATTTTAACAACCATCATTTTCAAAGTTCCTGGGGAGCTTTTCCCTATCCCTAGAAACATCTGCCTTAGGCATGCTTTACTAGTTATCTTTCGTCTTGACCCGGGGCCCATATATCCTCTCCGCGGCCCTGCAAACCACCAACCAACAACAGGTGAACTTGCTAGACAACTACTTGTCGCCTATCACTCCATAAAGTGCTTGATGATTTTTTTTTTTGCGTTTTGCCAGAAGTGAAGGGAATTTTCTTACTATAGACAGCTTGAATTAAACCAATAATATATTTAAAAAAAGACGGATTAACTCTGTAAAAAAGGTTTTTCACCAAGTTTATTTGTTTTTATATGGACCCGAAGAAAGTTATAATTTTGTCTCTTTCTTCTATTTGTTTTTTTCAACTAATTTTCCATACTTTGAAAATTCCAGATTGGGAAGTTGATCATGGGCAGCTGATATAATTAGTAACATGTAATTTAGCAGTAAATTAGCCCTTGGAAGAGTGATCAAGCTAAAAGCTACCATAGGGCCAATAGAGAAACTTCTCTATAATAAATTCAAAATTATTTTTCTGTGAAGTTTAAAATAGGCAGAAACTTGATCCATCGTTCTATTTTTAAATCTTACATTACACGAGTGATATTTCATAAAATTATAGCATTCTATTTTTTTTACAATAGGATCTCATTGGAGATGCCACATGAGCAGGCAGCAAGTATATTTGCATTACGAAATGCAGTTGAGGAGATGATGATAGACATTGCAAATGAACCACAGGCCCTTGTTTTGAATCCTGGTGCCAAATATGCTGCTTTGTGCTCATTGATAAGGGCACTGTGTTGCTCTAATGCCGGGAGATACAGGCAGCCAGCACATGGTGGGAACATGGATAACAGAGGGTTAGTCATTGATATTTCTGTGTATTGTAGTCAATTTTCCTGCAATTTTACTACAAATTTGTTTTGTAGTAATGCAATATTGCTTGGTATTCAAAGTACTACAATTCTCTTATTCAGTGGCGTGGTGGCAGAGGGGCCAGGGGCCATGACCACCCCTGAATATGGGCGCAATTGGAGATAAGGGGGCGCCAAAATTGTTTGCTTGTAAAATCTGGTTAGGAACATCAAAATTGATCGTACACGGGTATAACACTTCGCAGTAACTTGCTGTGAACAATCTAATAAAACGCGCGATTCTACAAGCGAAGCACGGTGTTGCGTTGCTATGACCCAATCAACATTTGTGACATATATTGCCAGGGGCGGATTGAAGCAACAATGATTTGGTGGGGGCTGTTGGACACTTATTTTGGTGCCACACCCTTCAGGTCACTGGTAAACGATGGAAACGCCCATTTTTGAAATTTGGAAATTGAAAATTGAATTTGGAAAAACACCCATTTTGTAAATGTGTTTGAGAAAGCCATGGCATTTTTACGTGACAATTTCCCTTTATTCAACGTCATAGGTGGCTGACCATATTCTAAAACTGTCTATTTCCCTCACAGTTCCACTAATATTAAATCCTGAATTGTGTAAGGGGAGGAATCTCTACTTGTAAAAAGTGATTTTCCAAATATCTAAAAAAATTAACAGTATTCAAAAGTTCTAAACCAAGTCTAGACAGGACATATAGCTTGACAATCTGACATTCAAGCTAATGTTTACTTTCTCAACGGATTCTGGTAGTAGGGAGTCCAGGCTTTCATAATCTGCCAGGTGACTTTTTAAAAATGCCTTGATGTCACGTGAATGATGACGTCATTTAACGGTAAAAAATCAGACAAAATCATCGTTAGCTCCTCACTAAGGGGCTATTTTTTAACGCAACATACATGTTTTGACTCGTCTCATTGCAAGCTTTCAAATGATATATATTTAAGCAAGATTTGCTGACATAAGTATTTTCATTATGACGTCATAACAAATTTTGCATGACGTCATCAAATATCTTTTTGTCATAAAATGATACGTTAGCATAATTTTGTTTTATTATGACGCTGGATGTCAGCAAAAGCTTTTCTTCCAT